AGCTGCAAGTTAGAAGAGGCATCATTTAACATTAGAAGTAGGCATTTGGTAAATCCTTTGAAGGGCATTAAGGTGCATGGAATCCATTGCAGTTTATAGTGTACTGTACTAGTGTGTAGGTGGTGGGTTTGTAGCGATACATGATGTCAATAAAGAGGTGATTAATGGAGACTAATCCTATAGGAATAAAGACCTTGCTAAATTAACAATGAGCATGTTTCATTGAATATCTTTACAGTTTGATCAAATGTATTTATTAAGGGCAACTTTATAATTATTTAAGTTATATAGGAATTTTGAATATATATACACATACACCCAATAAAGGGCAATAATTACAATTGTACGGTTCCATCTCTGAGCACAGTTTTGAAGTTGTACAAAATAATTAGTTCAGTTAATGTAATATTAAATCAACAGTTGATTGTTTATCAGTAGAACATAAACACTATTTCAACCAGTGTCATACAGGGTTGAAAAGGAACAAAACAAAGAGGCATGGAACAAACTGGAAATGCTGTGTTCAGTGTTAGTGTATATGGGGAGAGCCCACAAGACAACCGACACCATACATGGGAGTAAAATGTGTTACGACCCATGTCCACTGTTACACCCCTTTAATATTTGGTGCACCAAACTCTCAAAAAGATTATAACAAATGTCTACACTGGCTCAATAACTGTGTAGATGACTTTAAGAAGGATATAAATCCCCAGGTGCTCCATCAGAGCTGCTACACGTCATATGTCTAGTTTTCGAAGAATGTTTTACTCTGTGAAACTGATAAAACAGTTTGTATTGATTCAATGATGAAAGAAATACAGACACTGCTCTCTTTAGGCCACAGATGTATGAACATATACAAAAAATACCTTATTCTACATACCTGATCGTAGTTGTCATGACCGTGGAAGAAAGGCTCCTTTCTGAAGATCATGCTGGCGAGCATGCAACCCAAACTCCACATGTCCAAGCTGTAGTCATACATCTATAAATAAGATAAAGAGTTAAAATGTTTGAACTGACTCCATGGCTGCATTTAACAAAAGTAAAAAACAATTGTCTCTTCTTTAATACTTTAAATTGTCATTTTGACAGACTACATGCATAGAACAGTGTAGGAGGCTCACCTGGTAGTCTACCAGCAGTTCAGGTCCTTTGAAGTACCTGGATGCCACTCTGACGTTGTATTCCTGGTTTGGGTGGTAGAATTCTGCCAAACCCCAATCGATTAGGCGGAGCTGGAGGATTATAAAAAACAATAAACGTGAATATATATTTCATTCTTTTTATGCGTTTAGCCGGTGACACAGTAAAGAAGACGAAACATGATCAGAATAAAAAATGGTCAGCATGTGAGACAATACCTTTCTGTGTTCGTGATCAATCATTACATTGTGTGGCTTGACATCTCTGTGCATAATCCCCATACTGTGGCAGTAATCCAGAGCCTTTCAGAGAAAAAGAAGAAGGAGATATACGTTGAGAATAAATACTTAATGTTAAACTGATATAACGTTTCTGGCAATTTGCAAACAACTAACGCAGTCCATAAAATTGAGGGAAAACTAAGTGCAAAAGCCGTTTCTTACCTTTAGGATTTCGTACATGTAGAACCGTATGTCAAAGTCAGATAGGGTTTGATACAATTGCTGTAAAAAAAATAAGATGCATGAGCCATTTAAAAACAAAAATAATAATAATATTAGCATATCTAAAATGATGCACTGGGTTTTACCTTGAAATCTGTATTGTTCACATGTTCAAAGACCAGAGCAGGGGTTCGGGACTGAAAGGACAAAGACAAATAAATGTATGCATTAAAACCTTGTACCTACAGTATTATACATGTACTAAATTGTTACAGTGCAAAAAGGGAGATAAAAATTACCACAGGATCCTTGACGATATCTAACAGTGAGATGATATTTGGGCCACCCCTCAGATTCTCCAGGATCTTTATTTCTCTCTTAATTTTCTTTTTTTTGACCGGCTGTGAACAAATATAATCTTGTTAGTAAATTAACTAGAGGTGATAAATATTACAACTATGACCGTTCAATTATCAGGATACTCAATTGATTATTTCCATACCTTCAGTATTTTGACGACCACTTTTTCATTGTTTGTGATGTTTATGGCTTCAAATACTTCACTATATTTGCCTCTCCCTAGTTTTCTGACTAGCTGATAGTCGTCTTGGTTCCTAAAAAAAACAAAAACACGATCAATAACGATGACATGGCTTACCTAACAAAGCAAAACAAAACAAAACCAACTAAAGAACTAACTATTTCCCTTTGACTTACCCCCATTCAACAACATGGGACTCATAGTCCCAATATTCCCTAGGTCTCTGTGTGTTCACATCAGGGTAAACTCGAGAGCGGCTTGGGACAGGGCCAGACATATTCTACACAGGATCTTCTCTTAATCTCCTAAAACAAAATAGATAATATAAACAAATTGAGTTACATATAATCACACATTCCGTATACAACAGATCAAGCCAATTAAATAACATTTAGTCTACTGGTTAGCACTAGAGGACATCCTATAACTACACAAAGGTGATACGGTACTTTAATTATAAGGCAACACGATACCTGGGAGGTTCCCTCCAGGATGATGGTGATAGATGAATTGAAACAGGAGCAGTTGAGATGCCTTTATGGTAAGAAAGCTACATGGGCACACAGATATAAAAAGAGACCATTAGCATTCTACAGTCAAACCAATAATACAAACACATATTAAGTATTTAAACTGAGAAATGCTAATCAAAGCAAACCGATACATATCAATATTTTAATTAACATGGAAATGTTTCCCCTCCAATTTCACAGGATGTTGATTTGAGTTTCAAATGAAACTGCAGATGTTTCATGTGAAAGGCAATAGGTAGTTAATGAAAATACAACAAATGCTATTTTAATAACACAGGTATAACAGGTTTATTGAGAATATATATTATTACACATGTTAGTGTCCAAATAATGTTGCGTATGAAATATAGAGACCTGAATGTTAAATGGGGGCATCCAACCAGTCTAATCAGGAGGTACAGGGCTCAATACAGTCATCACTGGGGGCTACACCAAGGCAGTATCTCCTGATGAAAAAAAAAAAGTAGGTTGATTAAAATCAATGCTGTCAATTAAGCAAACACGAACAAACTATGTGAGCTATCTATGTATGCCAGCCAATCAGCTCGTAGGGCTACATTCGATTAATGGGTTTAATAAAGTAATCTAATCGAAAAATGGTTACTCCGGTATAAGACACTGGTTCAGTTGTAGCTAGTTCGCCCGCTAAATAGTTTAATGAAAAGGTGAGTGTACGCAGAAACCCTCTGTGGCCCAGGGCCTGTACAAGTGCAGTGAAGCTAGCTGCTAGCTCTTAGGCAACCGGGCAGCTGGTCGGGCTGCTAGCTAGTTAGCATTAGCTCGCCAACAGCAGAGGGAAAAGCCGGTTGGAAAGTCACAACTATATTGCGGCTAAATGATGGGACTATAACGGAAATAGTTAAACGTCACGCGTCCAAAAAGGTCAAATAATCATTATAGGGGCTATTATTGACGTACAGCTAAACAGCCAGCCTCGAGAAATATATTTTCTAAAGCTAGAAAGTGCTAAGCTAACAGGCTAGGGGAGTGAATAGCCTGCTGGCTGGCGAGGCAACTGACTGACAACGCCTTGAAAAAACCTCCTAAAAACACCGTGATCGAGCAGTAAAAGGGCACCGCGGTTGTGTTACATGTTCACAGCTTTTCGACACGTATAAAACACTCAAAAGCAGTTCCCTACCTACGACGATTTGTGGTTAAATAACACGATTACCTCTCAGCGTTGTTGGGACGTCAATATGGCGATGCTTGGGATCAAGAGCTTAGTGCGAACAGCCTTTCCCGCAGAGGGCGCTCTCCCTTTTTTCTCTTTCATGGGGGAGACTGTAGCACCCTCTGCCACCAACAGGTCTGCACAGAGGCAGAAACTTTTATCTGCATGCGTCTGTAGGCATGTGTGTTTTCGGCTACATCTCAAATGTTTAGTCAGTGGATCTGATTTGTATAGCCACACGAAGTGTTCATTTCCACACGCAACATGCGCCATTAACCACCTCTCTGGCCCTGCAAAGATTGTTAGGGGCAGTCAGATATGATTCAGTAGGAGTAGGCCTATAAGTCGCATGGTTAATATAGTAGTGTAGTTGAGAAGCCTGGAGCAGGCATACACACAAGACTGCAATTCAAATAATTGTGTAACTTGTGTAAACTGCTTTTAATCACTGCGTTATTGTGCTCTCCATTTCAGGATGTTTCTATCAAGAGGCAATTCTATGGACTGATGCTCAGTCAAGGGCTTGGGCCTGTTTTTGAAAAGCTCTTTGTTTGGGTTCACTGTTTAAATGGACAATGGTAAAACAGTGATGGAAAACAATGCATGTTGTGTGGCATCATTTAAAAGGCTACCTCAGTCATAGAAAAAGCCTGGGGCATTTTCCTGAAGAACCCACCAGTAATCAACACATAATGGAGGGAAAGACGACTCCATGAGTTTGAATGTTGAGAACATTTGTTTCCATCTTGATTTGAGATAATGAGATAATGGACCCCTGTAAATTATTTCTGTAGCCAAATTGTTACTTCTCTGCCTGGAAGTCATGCGCTGTTAGACAAACCGAAAAGGTCTTTGACTACTATATCTGTTACATCTTTTTAGCATCTATAATTAACTTGGAGTGGAGACCTATTAAAAGTAAAAATTCAGGATAAGCGGTAGTTCAAAACAGTACTCTTGCCGACAAACAGTGGATACAGCTGAGGACCAAAGTCAACAATGAAGCTGTAAATTGTTTTTTTATAATATAATTAATGTATTTTTCATCAAATCCGTCAATGAAATATATTTCAATTACCAGCTGAAATTGACATAGCTATACAAATCCACATAAACATGTATTTCAACCTTGAATTGATTGCAGTCTTATTCGTTTCAGCTTAATGTGTCTACTTCTTTCATTTGCAACTATGGTGCTTACTGCCCCAATCAGAGGTAAACCAACTTGAATGGAGAACAAATTACCTCGTTTTGTGTTTATTTCACTTTTGTAAACATTTCAGATTGCTTAAACAGGACGTCAGAATGATAGATATTGTATCTTTCTTTCTCTCTTTTCAAGCGCGAAGAGAAAAAGGGTTAAGCAATCTATATGGTGAGATTACTTTTGTCAACTTTACTGTTTGTTCTTTTTTACGAGCAAAATAGTCAGATTACTGCTTTTTGAAACAAGGTAAATAGCTGCTTATACTACTGTTGCAAAAATGATATTCAATAACTTGTTCATTATTCTTCTCTTAGATACACTTGGCACAACTACCGAAAAGGCCATTCCTGCAAATACAACAGGTGTGTGATTCAAAATGTTGCTTTCAGGTACAATCAGATAGTTTCAGTTTTAAAACAGGAAGGCCTTGTCTCACCAGATCCTCAAAGTACTTTTTGTTCCCTATCGTAAATGCGAATTTCAAAGACCAGGCACACAAAAACCAAACAGAGACATATGGTATTTGTGAAGCTTTGTCATTGAGATATATCTTCAGGGTGTACTGCAGAAAGCACCTTTGACACTATTTGGTTGTTACCATAAAAACACCCTGGTGATTATAATCATGTTTTGTTTCATGTTTGCAGAATACCCTACACCTAAGAACGAGCAAGAGTCTGAAGGTACATGTTTTTCCTTTTTGTTGATGAAAGAAATACACAGTAAAGTACAGTTATTAGCACTATATATGTGTATTTATAAGTACGTTTGTTTTAAACGTGGTATTACACATGCCTCATATGTGGCAACACAGCTCCTGATTATTGGAACTTGTCACATCTTTATTTTTACATAGCTGCAAACTCAGTCACAGAAAGGTCTGAGGCTAAATCTACAGCGAGTTATGGCAGCAATGGATTTACAGGTATGTGCATGGGCTTCCCAATGTCTGTTATTTGTTTTACTCTATATATATAATTAAGATGTAACAATAAAAGGAATCTTGAATGTTATGTACACAATTACGCAGAAGTTGTAGCAATAACTTTGACTCTTCCCAGATGCATTAAAAGGCCTTGACAGTGATGTGACCAAGATTCCCAAAGCTGAGGAGAAATACGCAGCACCATCGGGGGATAAAACCAATGTGGGGTCAATGGATCTGAGCAGCGTGCCGGTTCAGGGGAGCAGGGAACAAAGTGGGCCACTCGAGAAACAAAAAGCAAGCGGTGAGGAAGGAGTGATGGTGGAGGCTCAGGAGGTTGAACATTTGTCAGGAAAACCAGTTGTTCGTTTGAGTAAAGACAGAGTGACTGGTAGTGTCCAAAAAAAGGCAACACCAGGAAGAGTTCATGGGTTGAATGGGATGCTGGCTCCAGGTCCAGGCAGAGTACCGCTGGATTGGGATAGTTTGGAGTACCACAATGGCAGACCTGCTCCAGTGGGCATCAGAGGAGATCCAGACTATGACGGTAAGACCCTGCGCTTATTGAACAAGATGTGCTTTTCCAAGAATTATCCTCTGAACAATTAAAGGGTGAAGAATTGTTTTGTAATATTCCTACAGAAACCAGAGAGTTTATGAGCCATGAAATGTATCCAATAGGTAAGAGGAGTTTTCTTCCACAAGTGAATATTGTAAAAACATTGTTTATAACTGATTTATACAGAGCTTTCATGAAAGAATGGTAATTTCTTATGTATGCTTTAGTTCCTCCAGAGCAGAGCCCCAGTACCTTCGCTGTTCCAGCAAAGATCAGAGCCACCGTATGATCAGAGGTGTGTTTGCAATGCATTTTAATGAGACAAATGCATTTAATTTAGTATGTCATCCCTGTCTAATTATTAGACATTTGTTTTTTATAGATCTTGCTTTGTCATTCTGGTATGTATTGTTGAATACCAATTGTTTTTCTCTATTTTTCCAGATTCTATTTCTTCCTAATAATGAGTCAGGGGCTGCCATCTGTTGAGTCATAGGAGGCAGACTGGCTGTTTCCCAATTCGGGGGCTTTTTCATCCAAATGTAGATGTTTTTCCTTCTTTTTTTCTTAAATAAATAAACAGGTTTAAAAAAACAAAACGTGTTAGACTTACTAGAAACTGGTCAAAACTGCTACAGCATGATATTTGGTTGAAGATTGTAGTTTACATTTTAAATCTAAATGTACTGAAAATGTGTCTTTTGTCAGATCCCTGTATTTGTTAACTGTCATGTGAAGATGTGAATATAATCGTGTGAAATACAGAATAAAAGAACAAGTACATAATGCATCTTAATTATTTTCTTGTTTTTAAAATGTAGTTTAATTTACAATTGGTTAAATAGAAAATATATAATTTGAAGACAGCTTAAGATTTACAAAAAAGCAAAACAACATTATTACATCATGCAAAACATATAAATGTAACTATTGTTATTACATATAATGCTGCTGGAGTTTGAGGAAACCAGAGGAGTGTTTTCCAGTTATAGATGCAGCTAAGGCATTGTGGTTTTTTTTATAGTTCCTTTTTTTCATTTCCTAAACCGCTGAAGATCGCTGTACACATCTGATTGGATTCCATGTAACTCCTACAGAAAAGTCAAAACAATTCATTATGGAAACACAAATGATATGTAGATATAACAGTTTAAGTATCTTTAAGGCTTACATAATGAAATAGTTCTGCTTTACCTGGTAGGGAGATTCTGTGAGTTCTGTAGCCATTTTCTTTGAAACTGATGATGTTGGTGGATTTCTTTTTCCTGTTGAAGAGGGTCATGTTACTGCCCGTCTGCCATGTAATACCATAGAGCATACTCAAAAATAGCACCAATAAAGATAGTGCTCACCATCACGAGAATCCCACTTCTTCCTTTTCTTGAGATGAGTTGCAAAGCAGAATACAGAAATCATGATGAAGATGGTCAAGAGGATGTCAGAGGCGATAATGCCAATTACAGAGCCCATATTTATCAGGTAACAAGTACCACAATCTGTAAAAAGGGCAAAGACATGGAGTTGTAACACACAATCAAAATACAACAACAGAGGCAAATGTTTAAAGCTTTAAAGATACCTTGCTGTCCTTCTGTGGATCCTGAAAGACAGAAAGTTATTTAAACCTTACTTAATAACAACAATGCCTGTGCCTTAATTGCTTCATTATTCACTGTTAAAAACAAATTAAGAACACCACTCACCAAAATATGAACCCACAATACAAAGAGCGTCAGACATCTTCTTTATGTTGGTTTTGCAGCGGTGTGAGGGTTTATCAGCATGTGACTGCATATACAGGAGGAGGAGGGAGTCCTCTGAGAAGAAGAGGAAGCGGCTGTTTCTCTGTATTGTCACTCATGTGAGGCGTAATACATAAAACCAGCAATTCTTCCACTGTCACATTTGATTGAAGATTCAGGCCTTCTTTTAGACTTTTTAAGAGTTTGTTAATTTTATAAATTAATGTTCGCAAGAGATGCCAAGATAAGGAGCTGAATTAGGTCAGTTTCACACACCTGCAGTTTCTGCTGAAATGCATGTGATCATATCACCAAATAAAGCACTTCCTCATGACCTGTGGTTCACAACAGTGGGCGGTCACAGTCACTGCTACCTAGTCTGTGAACTAGTGTTAAACCACACGTTTATCTCCAATGCTGATGTCCTGTCAGTGAAATGAAAGTACTTTCATTGCTTCTTTTATGTTACAGTTGTCCGAATATTTCAAATGGTTAATGCATAGAACAAATACTTAAAATACTCAACAGAAGTAGTACGTTATAAAACAATAGGATATATAAGATTATTAAAACTATTTACATTTCTCGGCTAGGTGACCCAATTACAAAAACACCAATCAAAATAATCCATATCATTTTTCAATTTACAAATAATAGTACAAGAGGACTTATGTGATTTTTTAAAGTTATAAATATCTTGCAGCAGCAAAACCAATTGGAGCCTTTTCACTGCATCTTGATCTTATATTAAAGCGTACATGATAATATAATAATACTTACAAATGGGTCACAAACCCTAACTTAGAACAGCTTTTGTTTTGCCAGGCTGTGAAAGATGCCTCCTTCTCTTTTTCCAACAGGACATTTAATTATATTTTTTGCTCGTTATTTCCTAAAAAAGATTCCTCCTTACAGTTGTTTGATCTTCCGGAAAAGAGCTGTAAATCAGCTAGAAGAAAAATCAACTCATTAACATTTATAATCAAAAACAGAGCACCGAGCTGCAGCTGAGAAAAGATTGAGTGTGTGTGTTTGAACCTAACGGTTCCGCGGACGTAACGTAACGGCTCCACGGATTGGTCTATTTGGGTATGGGCACGTCACTGTACCCAGGAAGAAAACTACAGGGTGTACTTTGAGGGTTTGTGACTTTGCAGACCGTTTACATGCATAACAACCTTCATAACACACAAGGGAACGGGTAATAACCGGAAACGCATGAAATGGGACCTTTAATAATCTTTAATGACCTTATTAAGGACATGAAAATGAATGAGTCACCTGCCAGATGTTTAATAAACTGGCTACTAAAAAGCATTTTTAATATATTATAATAGATCAAAACATAATTAGCTGGACTTGAACCAGTGACCTTTTTCTATACAGACAGAGTCTTGGATGCCCCCAGCTGAGGGCTGAAATACTTTAGTTTATTATCACTTAGAAAATCCAACAAGTGAGGTGCAATTGCTGGATTTCAAAGGGAGATTAACTATAGTTCTTGATGCCATCCACAAAAAAGTGGATAAACAATGAATGCATGGTCCCAGAATCGAACCTTGAGGCACTCCACAGATCATTGCCGCTGATGACAGAACATGAGAAAAGTGTTTATTTTTTCCTCAAAATTAGAATTAAAGTTGACAATAGTGTCTAAATAAAATGAAATGGTATCAAAAGATGCCCTGAAGTCCAATCATACAGAACCAGGTCAGCCAACGTTGAGCAATAGAAAGCTGAGGGAAATTCCTCATGCACAACAATCCTGCAACAACTTTCCAAATGTTTTGAAAGAATGAAGTGGTTTGGCTTTTAACCGCCCAATCCTATTCTATGGCTGTTATTCTTGTGGTTATTTAAGAGTGATTCCACGGCATGAACTAAACCATTGTGAACCTACAGAGGAGGTAGGTCAGACTGATATTTCAAAGATATTAAATTGGCTTTGGTCAACATGCATGCTCTTCATGTTTCACGGAAATGGCAGGCAGCAGTTTGACCACATTATCACCTTCAACACACAGCTCAACTCAACAGCATTCATGCAGGATCTAATCAGGTGTCCTGTTAGTCATACTGCTCAGATGTCACTTTGGTACAGAGTGATAAAAAAGATGAAAATAATTTGTGAGTATAAATGAAGCTGACAAACAGAAAACACCATGTTACTAAGTAAACACGTACAAAGGCACACTGCTATTATTTATTGGACTTAACAAAAATGCTCTTCCTGTGTTTTATTTAATGTACTTATGTACTGATGTGCAGAATTATTATATTATCAGCATTCATTTGAATGCATTATCCATTTGGTGGCTTGTACGATTTTAAACTAAAAACATCTATCTAAAATAATTTGATCTGTCTTTTATTTTTGTCATCACTCGTATCTTTACAGATATTTAAAAGGAAACTTCAGGGGCCTAAAGGGTTAAAATGACAGTATTTAGAAATGTTGCTACCTAAAGTCAACTGCAGAGGGTGCTGTATTTGTGCCAACATTTCATGAGCTGGTTAGCATTCAAACATATTTCACAAGGCTGGTGAATTTGATTTACCCCTTTAAAGTTTTCTGTGACCAGACACACCTCTCATTTACTAGGGTTTGAAACATGTGTGTGTTAAATAGTACTCTTTATAATTAACAAAAACTGAAATGTGTTTTAGACAGTTGTGTTTATTGCAAAAGAGTTTAATTCATATACTGTTACATTAATATATTCTAACATCTTGTAATACACTAAACAGGATCTAAGAAACTGAATGTAATTTCATTTTTAGATTAGTTCTTGCAGTTGGCCCGGACATTCATATACACTTTGTTAGCTGGGAAGATAAAAAGAAAGACACAAAGAGAGTAATTAGTATTTGACAATCCAAATTTAAAGGTAGGGTAGGTAAGTTTGAGAAACCGGCTCGAGATACACTTTTTGTTATATTCCATGGAATGCTCTTAACATCCCGATAGCAATGAATATCTTAAGTGCTTTGACAAAAAATCCATTAAAAAATGTCATCTGTGGAAGCCGTAAAAAGTACGACCAATCATTTTAGCCGGCCCGGCTAAAATAACTGGATGGCCTACCTGCCTGTCAGCCTTCCATCTGTGCACAAACTTATCTCGTGCCCTCATTGGTCATGTGCGCGTTCGTGTGTGTTGGAGGAGCGGCTCTATAAGGAAGTGGCAGATTTTCTCGGTTGTGTATTTTCAAATTCTAGCGATCTCGAGCCGGTTTCTCAAACTTACCTACCCTACCTTTAACAAAGTTACACTTCATTTACTGAATCCCACAACATTGCAGATATTCACACACAACAGAAACATATTTAAGCCTCATTTCCTCACCATTGTCTATCTTCTGATGCCTTAAACTGGCACATCGGTAGGTGACAATGACAATGATAAGGGTCAGCAGCACATCAGCACAGATGATGCCTGCTATTGTCCACGGCTCGATCCTGTAGCAAGACAATGTGCTCTCTGGCAAACACACACACACACACACACACACACACACACACACACACACACACACACACACACACACACACACACACACACACACACACACACACACACACACGCACACACGCGCACACACGCAGACACACACACACACACACACACACACACGCACACACGCGCACACACGCAGACACACACACACACACACGCACACACACACACGCACACACACACACACACACACGCACACACACACACACACACACAGACACACACACAGACAGACAGAAAAAAAGAGTGGGATGGAAGACTTATGTAGGCCCAGACTGAATGGAAAAAAATGATTCATCAGGTGTTTTTGTCTAGCTTTATATTTGTGTTTTGCTTGTTTTATTAAATGACAAGTTTCATACAAATGTAATTTACGAGTTGCGTTGTGTTGTACATACCAGTGAGCGCCACAGCCAGGTCTTACAGGAAGGAAAAGAAACAGAGAAATGAAGCACCAGAGATTTTGCATTTTTGTTTTTGCACATGGCAACACCTCTGTCAGTTCACGGAAGTTTCCGACGTGCATAATTGTTTGTGGTTTCATTTTCCTGTGCAAGACCACCTTAATGTCTGTGTGCATGTGAGAGAGAAAATACATGTACTTACTGCACAGAAAAAACAGGACAATGATAAAGTTGTACGCCATTGTATGTCGACTCAGTTTTGGATTTCTGAAAGACAAAAGGAGAACAAACCTTGTTGTGTGTTACATACTTCAATAAGATAAAAATGCATTTAATAAACACGATAATTTCATATTCTTCACATATGGTTGTTTGTGATTTCAGTGTCAAGTGTCAAAGCTACAGTAGCCTATATCACCTAAACCGTTTCAGACACTATTTTCTTTTCTTTTTTGCACTAATAAATGAACGACTGCTGTATACGAATGAGTCAAACACTTCTGCGTAGGCATTTCACAGAAACGGAAAAAGACAATAGCAAATCATTTCATTCTTGAATGAGCTCTCTTAAAATCACTTAAATATAGATAGACTAAGCTCTCTCAGCTGTGTTTTATGACAAATTTGGAATACACACTTTTAAAAAATAAAGTTTTCCACCCAGAGATTCTGGTTGTTTCTTTAATCTCAAACTACATAGAAACCATTTTGATTAGACTTAACAGATATTGAATGGCTAAAAGTTTTGGATGAGGAAGGGTGACTCGGTGTGATTTAAGATTCTCTCACCTGTTCTCGTTGGGCTGATCTGCTGCCTGGAATCCAAAAGATGATGTGATTCTTGTTTCCCATTACTTTTCACTTTTGAGGGCTGACGTCAGATCACTTTCTTTCCTCTGGGGTGCCGAAACACTGCCTGTTTGTCTCTGTTTGAACTCAATACAGGTTGCATGATCTGATGGGGAAAGAGCCATTATAATAGAATATAACACACTTGAATATCCCAAAGAAGTGAATCTTTGACTTTACACTCACACACAGAATAAATAAAATAAAGTACTAAATGCACATGTTGTTGAAAAATATACTCTATACTGTGTCATAAGTAAGTAATTAAGGTACAAAAGTGTAAACATCAATCTAAAATAAAAAAATTAAAACTAATAAAAGTATGAATATGCAGTAGATTGATCAATTGAGTCATTTTAATTACCTCACTGGATATAAATTAATGATAAATGTATATGTTTGTCACGTAAATGTTGCAGGTGGTAGTTTTGTCACATGCATTAGTTCATTTATAATTAGAATTTATAACCTTATCCCACAAAGTAATTAGAAAATAAAGCGTAAAAAAAAATGCATTTGAGTAAAAAGTACAACGTTGGCTGGTAGTATGAAATATAGGAGGAATTATTTCAATCAAAGTACAAATATCTCCAAATAAAACTTAAGTACAGTATTAGTTTAAATAATATAGTTAATTATATTACAATACTAGAAGTTATAGACATTACACTTACCATGAGGCAACATCAATTGTAACACAAGTATATTCAGTATTACACTAAACCACACAGTAAACAGATGTACACAAACTACTGCCATGTGAGTTTAGAACATTGCCTCAATTAAATCCATCCTGACATTCAGCCTGATAGCCTGTCACCCGCATCATCCTCAAGGGGGCAGTCAACCTTTGTTTTCATGATTTGATTCTGTTGATTCAACTTAAAAATTGTAGACCATCTCTGTGGTTGTCGTTTCATTTCAGCTCATCAGTGTTTCTGTCTTGTAGTAGATTGGGTCTTACACGTTGTGACAGTAGATGGAGCTGTGACACCTGTATCACTTCAAAGATTGATGCCTTTGAAACTAAAACAAATGTCACACACTGTTTTCTTCATTTTATCCGCAATTTTTTATCAACGTCCAATCTCATGTTAAATATTGCAGGCTAAATTGGGGAAAGAAACAATGTAATAGATAAATAGTGTTCATTAATCGAGATATTATATATAAATGTACAATATACCGTAATGTATTGCAGATACTTTATGAACACATTCATAAATCCACACAGAGACACAAACATCCATAATAAATACTGAACACGAAAAAAAACAGTTACATATTGTTTCAAGCTATAAGAGAGTACATCTGATGGAATGATTGTAAAAGCAGCAACCCTGAATGTGTCATACAGGGAGACTTTTAGAAATGTGGAGAATATGAACATTTTTACATTCTCTACATTTGAGACCAATTCACCAATTTACTTTACATATTCATAATGTTTATAGGAAATCAAAATTATGGTATGCTATTGAAAGTTATATTACCCAGCAGTTTAAAGTAAAAGTAATTAAAACCAAATGTACCATCTTTGGGGAATAAAATGATAAACTGAAGTTCCAATAATGTTTCAATAGTTACAATCCTTAAATCAAGGTTTCTCCAAAATTAAGACTTTACTTTTTGTGTTTTTAGTAGTCTACATTTTCATGCTAACACTTTTGTAAAGAAATGGTACTTGTAATTAAGTCACTGAAGTCTAACTCACTAATTTCTTTCCAGTTTCATAATATTAATACACAATGATATATACTGTATATATAAATGTCCAAGGATTTACCTTTGAAACAAACTAATCTAAGGCTGCAAGAAGGAGTCAAAATGTAAAGATATTTTGTTTAAGAAAAATAAATAAAAATCTCAGAAATCTTAGAACATGTCCTCACACGTTACTTTATCTAAAACAAATGTAACCTTTAAACTAACTAACTAACTAACTAACTAACTAACTAACTAACTAACTAACTAACTAACTAACTAAGAGAATATGTTTTTACAATAGGATGCAATAATGTAAATCAAACCAATGCATTTGTTGAAGTATATTAGCCTGAACCAGCTTCAACATGAACATCTAACACTTGTAGCAGGGCCGTCCCTGGCCAACATGAGGCCCCACGTAAAGTTATATGTTGAGGCCCTCTGTTTCGCGAGCGTCAACGGGGGGGGGGGGGTGATAGTGGAGCCTCGCAGCGGCGAAACCGTGCCGCGCCACACTAATTGCACCGCATAAGCGCATAGGTGCCCCACGCAGTCTGCATGGTCGGCCTGTAGGGAGGGACGGCCCTGACTTGTAGTATAAGTATGTGTCACTCACTACCCATATGAAAATAGAAACCTATACTGTAGATGGGAGCCATTCTGCATAATAGGTACTTTTTCATTTGATAACAAAATATATTCTGATAAAATCTGTGCTTTCAAATACTACACATTATACTATTCATTATTTTTAATAAAATCATATTACTACTTTCAACATGGTTCAAAATGATGATTGATATTTTCTGTTTCTGTTTGTTAATAACAACTAATGCAGTTCTTGTTAATAAGTGTTCAACATATTTCATGTTTGTACTCTGGTTGACATAACAGAGTGTTGCTTCCCCTTTGCAGAGGGCGTGCCCTGCAGCTGGGGGCGGCGATGGGAAACAACGTGCTCTGTGTGTACATCAGGCAGCGATAAGACAACAAGCCCGCAGACCTCATCACAGAACATCACAGATCCCCCGGGCGCTGTCAATCATCATTCAACAGACTGGTGACAGAGAAGACCACCTGTTAACGATTCAAGGCTAAACCGTTTCTGACATGCACTTTGATAAATGTAAGTACTTTCATTTTGTTAATCAGTGTCAAAACACACATTTTATCACTGGTTTTATTATTATTTTCACTGAGTGCAGCTTTATACTTTAATGTTGAATGTTTTAATGTTTACAACTATTACTAAGTTTTCTGGACAACATACACTTTAATATGTTTAGTTTTTATTAATTTGTTATTGTGTTTTTGGCCGCATTTCAATGAAAAGTCATTTAAACCTTGATTATATTTAAAGCCTAACATAACACATCCATACCTCGAACATCAACACATATATTACATTTCACATTATTTGGGAGTTTGGATGTTAAATGTGACTGATCTCTTTAACTGTGTTGTAAAGTGAGACTGTGTTTCATAGCCAATATATCTATGTTATATTAGATAAATCTGTATTGATGAGAGCAGCTGAGTGATACCCTCAGCCTTTCTCTCAGTTTACTTTGAATGAGAATCCAAGAGTCCAGACATCATTTGGGGAAACCCTAATACGCCCCCACCCCTGCAGGCTTGTTTCATTTCCCCTTTAAATGATTGCCATACAAGCAAAATGTGTGACGTAACAGCTCAACTTTCTTTGATCGTGCCCTCTTTCGCACAGGCCTGACTGATCACATTATTTTGAAATGCTTGCAGAGTTCTGTTAAACCACAAAATGAGGAAATTGACACTGTGCTGCTTTTCTGTTTCTCTATAATGCGAGCCAAAAGAGAAAGGTCGTCGGAATCCCCAACCTCCCACGTACATGAGTCAATGTCCAGGGGTTTCCAGTGCTCTTATTTGAATATAGCACAGAGTAGCCCAATGCAGTGTGTGGGCAGTAACCAACATGAATATGTGTGTTTTCTCTTTTAGAGAAAGCATTAGAAGCCACTACCATCTAGTTTCTCTCTTAGTTCTATCAGCTGGTATTTACTGTTTGACGCAGATGTGTAGTTGCATGTTGCAGCATTACATCATCTGTAAAAAGGCCACAGGTGGCATTTAGGTGTACAGATCAAATGAGTCAGGTTGAGTAACCTACAGTATAGTAGCACCTTCTGAACTTGAAAATGAAACTTGGTGTCACTGAAATGTACTTTCTGATGATTAAGTGACCTTTATGGTGCGGTGGGGGCAGGTTGCACGGAGACGCTGAAAGACCTTTTGTTTAGGACAGATGAAAGTAGAAGTGTGGATTTTGAGAGAAAGACATAGAGAGAGAAGACGTGATAAACTGACAGAAATCTGAACTCCATGAACTCACACTTCTCTCTTGCTGGTGGAATTTGCATATTTGTTTAAGGAAGTCAACCCTCTTTGTATTTGCCTTTGGGAATAGAGCAGTCTTGTCCCTGTGCAGTCAACATTCACAAGAGAAATGATAAAAGAACATGTCTCTTCTTCTTCTTCTTCTTCTTCTTCTTCTTGTTCTTGTTCTTCTTCTTCTTCTTCTTCTAAGACATGTAGATGCATTAGAAAGCACAAGGCGACGTCACGTGTGTGTGGGTAACGTGCCTGTGACAAACCAAAGGCAGGAAGATGTGGTTCTGTCAGCGTAACGGAGCGAGACAGGAACATGTCATAGAAAATAAGCAGTGGTAATCCCATGCTCAAGGTTTTCTGATGAATCTGTCTGGTTTTGCTGGTTTGTCTGTTTTCCTAAAGGAGGACGTTTCTCAGAGCTTTATCTCATATCTCCAGTTCCACACACAGGGTGGAAATATCACTTTATCTTTCACGTGTGGTGAGAAGCTGTCGAGGAAACAGAATAACCTACGGTCACACCATGTCAGCTGGAAACATCTGTTTTGTAATATTTTGTTCCTGTTTTACTCACCTGTTAGATGGAAATTATACTTTTTTGTTATCAGCAGGGGAAAACATACTCATATATAATGGATATGATGTAGAGGAGCAGAAATGACTTCATGGAGAAACTGAGCAGGCAATATCAAAACAAACTAAGAATTTCTTCAGACCTGCATTACTTTAAATATAAGCTTGCAACATAATACATATCTTATATTTCTATTGTCTCATACTTGTCAGCCTATCTTTTTAGAATTTGGTTTAATGCCATTTTATTGCTTTAATATTTGTATATATTGAATTTGTTTAATTATTGCCTCAGCTTCAGCTTTTGTTCTTAAAGCAACCATAAAAACAACATAATGTGTTGGTTATAAATATGGGATTCTAATGATTTCCGAACTAAAACAAACCAAACTAGTTATTTTGGTTAATCTTATGACATTATATAGACCATCAAGATAATCGAAAACATAGCAGCAGCAGATGATGGATAATGTAAGAAAACTGTTAATGTTCAAGCTTTTGTTCGATGATATCCATCGTATGTGAGCAAAATATGACAAAAATAGTCGATGCTTTTTCGTTTTCAGCGCCAAATGAGAAGCCGTGTTGCACTCTGCCCACAGTGAAGAAACTCTTGGAGCAGAAGAGAAGGCGAGAGACATCGTCTGTGCCCCCCCCCTGCTCTACGGCCAGCACAACTGCTGCTCCCCTAACCACTGCGACAGTAAGTAGGATGCTCAGCTCACTTATAATGACATACAGATGTGATGCTTTGAATTTCACCTCCTTCTCGATCTCTTTCTTTTTCAGTTGTCTCTAGCAGAATCATTTCCTTGTTCAGGTAAGAAAAAACCCCCAAAACACCTAATGAGTCTGACGGCTGCTCTAAATGACATTTCTTTGTAGAACATGGGCACTTTAGTTCATTTTGAAGCAAGTCTACCTAAACTACCCCGAGCCAATACACATTTTTAGGGATTAAGGAATCATTTGTAAACATAAGTATATATTTGTGACCTGATTATTGTAAAGATGTAATGGGTTTGATTGCCAAAGACAGGGAAGAGTTGTTTTGGTCTGTTTTGGGGATTCTTTGACAGTAACAAAAAAGTTAAATATCACCAGCCTTGTATCTTTCATTTTCATGTCATGCCAAGTTGAACTATTACTGACTGAGTCCCCTGTTTTCTAGGTGCATCAAGCAGCTACTCGGACATGGAGGTGAGTTATCCGTGGACCCCGGCACCGGAGTCTTCCGTCCATTTTTACCCCAGCCAGCATGGACCCAGCTACCCTTCAGCCTACAGCCTCCCAGCGACACACGAATATGGCACCCAGCAGCAGCTCCAGGGATTTATAGATACAATGCCCCAGACATATGTAAGAAATCTGTTTGTCATACTATTCTATTAACAAGCTGTGTCTGTGTCATAGCTTTATAATGGGTTGACCTTTATGACCTGCATCCTTCTGAGCAGGAGAACCAGATGACATTGGCAGATCCCAGTATGGCGGCGTCTTGGTCAGGCCTGGGTCTTGCTCAGGCGACACAGCTGAGTTTTGGTCCGGCGATAGACCCCGTCAAGCTGGAAGAGGCCCGGATGCTTTTCAACGCGATGGACTACAGCAGAGCAACAGGGCAGGATGAGGACGGAGACACGTGAGTGATCATAGGGAATGAGTTATGCTGTTTATATACGTTTCTGTTTGTCTTCTGGTGAGAACCAGAGTTTAGATAAAAGTGCCACATGTGCTGCTCAGTAATCCTAGAAAGATTAAGGAAACCAAAAGATGTCAATGAGTCAGCCGCTCATGCTCGATTATTAGAAACTCAGATCAAATGTAGAGACAAATCAACTGTGAAAGGAAATAGTGTGAAATTGGATGCGGGGATTACCACGATGTTCCAGCCTGATTTAAATCTAATTCACTGTGTGCTCTTGTTCTGCCAGCATCCTGCACATCTACACTGCCAAGGGGCTCAGGGAGTGTGCCTATGCTGCTGCAGAGAGGCTGAGGGATGTAGGCAGGCTCGATGCCAAAGAGCACAAGGGAAAGGTAGGAACACTAAATCTTACAAAGTGTACACCCTTTTTGACACAATTCAGTTAAATTACAAATATTAGCACAGGATGATTATTCCTAAAGTTGCATGTTAAATGTGCTTGTGCAGACCGCTTTACTGGTGGCGGTGACGGCCAACCAGCCAGAGATCGTGCAAGATCTGCTGTCATTTGGATCGGACATCAATGCATGTGATGTCAAAGGACAGACTGCCCTTCACCTGGCTGCCCACTACGGTTTACCTGGGGTTCTACAGGTAGAGCAGCAACTGTACAGCATTACGTTTGTATCACAGAACTTTAGAAAACTGAGCTTTCCCGAGCTGACCTTAATGTTTCTTACAGGCAATTCTGTCTAGCAGGCCGTCTGTCAACCTGGAGGCTCGCAATTTTGATGGTAACTTAATGCTGTTACAATGCAATGTTTTGTAACCTTAGCCATACATTATACTGTAGTTTGACCACATTTTCCAAAGTAAATATCATTAGGGCCTTCATTCAAACATGCGCCTTGTTCTCTGCCTCAGGTATGACTCCTCTGCACTGCGCAGCCATTTCTCACAATGCCACTGTGAAGGCGTTCCCAAGCATCAGGCTGGCAGATGTTGGTCTTCAGACCGTGGCTGATGAGAAACTCTCCTGTGTGAAGATGCTCCTCGAGGCAGGGGCTTCCCTGCTCAGCCAGGTGCGTTTACAGCTCTCCTTTTTCTGAATCTCACAGATCTATAGATCTGTCACAATAGACGAATGAATGGATAAGTTAGTGACAAGGTACAGAAACATGTCCAATATGTCAAACCCTGACCTTTCAGTCAGTGTGAACGGTTCAAAGGGGAAGTGGCCAAGTTTATCTCACCATGATTATGTCATAGTACTAAATATTCCCCCTCCTCTCACTTTTGTTTTCTCTTACTTGTTTGACAACTAAATGTCAAAGTGTGACTTGTGGATTAATCATGTGTTGTTATCACGTTCAATTCTGCATTTCCAGGAAATCAAAAGCAACAAGACTGTGCTGCACTTGGCTGTAAAGGAGGGAAACATTGATCTGGTGACTTATCTGCTGAGGATTCCCCTGCCAAACATGAAAGACTTTGTCAACTTGAAAGTGAGTCCCAAACAGACACCAAACTCATAACTGGGTATTTAAATATGTATGTGTTTGTGTGTTTATGAAAAAAGTCCAAGCAAAAACTGTGTACATAGCCGAGTACAAACAGTCTGATTCATGCCGCATACTGTCCTTTTACGACACAGGCTCATGGCCACACAGCACTACACATGGCAGCTGGTCTCCATGGTAACCCCCACCAGGAGGATATTCTGCAGCTGCTGCTGCGCAGAGGAGCTGATTCCAGCATCCGCAACCTGGAGAACGACCAGCCAGCCCACCTGCTGCAGATCGGGCCCAGGGGAGAGAAGGTGAGCGGCCCCTCCTCTAACAGGCAGCCAAAGAGCATACAGTTCAGTCCTGCTGTTTCAATTCAATACCATCCTAATCTATCTTTTAATTTTTAGCTCAAGCTCATGCTGAAGAAACGAAGTGCTTCGTCTCGTCGACGTATTGTGTCCTTGCAGGACCAGGAATGATAAGAAAAACATGTGATCCTCCTTTGGAGGGAATGAGAAGTTACCTCTGTTAAGAAGGGGATTTAAAGTGTATTATTAAGTTGCTTTGGGAGTCTCTGGCCAATATACTGTTAACAAACTAGTTTGGGATATTAATCTTTAGATATAATTCACATTGGATTATTTAAATGATGCTTAAAGTCTATATATGTAGATATATGTTCTACATACAGGGCGAAGTGTTCTGTGTAGGTGCAGCATTTCATTGCAAAATATTATATCCTCCATTGATATCTTTTCATAAAATGTTAGTATTTAAATATTTGACTGATTTAAATATTGTGTATTTATTTTTGATCAAATTGATAGTTTAGCTATTTGAAATGAAAGTCTTTTAGTGGCAGCAATGACAATAATTAGTTATCTTTAGACAGCAGAATGAGGAAGGTGGAGTAACATTCATTTCTCTTCCCGGCTAAACTCCCAGTCTAACGTTGATTTCTATGAAATCGTTTTTATGATCTCAGGGACAATGTCCCTGAACCCCCTCTGATTCTCATCAAAATCCCCCATCATGATAAGTTTTCATATTGATAAACTGAGTGATGGTTCTGATTTCAGTCAGCATGTGTGCTTATGTTAAGAATATGTATGTTAAAGAAATGACAAGAAGCTATCACATTATTTAACTTTTTTTCTGTATGCATCATACCTGCGTGCGTAATATCAAGTAAACATTTTCTTTGTGGGAAAAAGACACTTGGCTGTGTAAAACTATTGTATCTGAAACTGATTGTGACACAGAATGTTCTTATGACAGAGACATTACATGAGTAAGTGCGGTGACTAACTGTACATTTTGGCAATGAGTCATGAATAAAAGTAGCACTGTATTTAAAGTTCCATGTAAATGTTTTGATGTTCAGGGCACCATTCGAATATTATCATTCATATTGATCTATTGAAATTAGAAGGATTGAAAATACACAATCCCACCAGAGGATTTATCTTCTGGCCCAATTTTCATTTTCACCAGTTTTACACGTCAAAGGTGAAGGTTTGTTTTGGACTGTAACTAGATTCCTGTAAAGATAAATGATGATTATGACATATGATAATAACATTTTCTGATATCAACATTATTTACATCACTTACAAATATGCAACATGATTATTAAAGACAATGATAAAATGATGTCGAGTAGAGGAGATCTTTATTTCAAACAGTGGTCTTGTTTTTTCCAGCATTACAGGTAAAATTGTAATTTTTGCTTTAGAGTTAAAAAGAAGGAATTACTACTAATAAAACAAATATAATAATATGAATATACTATGCTAGATATTTCCTTTTAGCATGTTATATTTGGCCATGTGTGGATCTCTTCATTATTCTGTAATGCTAAAAAATTGAAGGAAAAAGACAATTGTAACAATTTATCAATGCATGCAAATCCATGTTTCGAGCTCGAGATTTTGTCTATAAATATTTAATCATGCTCTTAATTTGATTGTTTTACAGACTGTTGTGAGGAATAGAGACATTTGTTTTGCATTTGTTTGATTCAAAGTATTATTTGGATAGAAATGTTGCTCACTTATTGTAAGACTTTCAACAGACTTCAGAGGGAGACAAGAGGGACCCAGGCTATGATGTGTTGTAAAACCCTGTTTATTTCCCATCCAGCTGGCAGAGGTACATTAGCCATAACAGTTTCTGTGCGTCTTCGGTGGCATGGTTCCTGTGACGACTTCCTCCCTTCCAAGTATACACTGCAGTTTCTATACAGTTTGAGGAGGCACTGCACAAGAAAAGGTAACAAATCAGAGCGAGTTGCAGAGTGAAAGTCTGCATTATTGAGTATAAAATGATCCTGAGGAGAAAAGCGAACTTACCCTCTGTCTTTGGAACCGGGGTAGCAGATGAGTTGGAACTGCAATCAAAAATTAGGAACTTAGTAAACCTTTTGCATTGTTTTAATACATCAAGATTACTGATTATGATATAAAGATTACAACTGTGGCCACAACTTTATCATGGCAAAACAAGTTGAAGCCACAGGGTTCTGAGATAACTGAGGTGTGTCTTTGGGCCAAAATGCAGATCTTTGTTTCCGTTCAAACAGCAGCACTCGTCTTTCTTCTCCTGTTGCCATACAAGCGTCATGCGTTAAGATTACATCAGATCAATATACACTGCCTACTCACTACCAACACAACGAGAGTGGTTATAAGAGCAAGCACGGAGATAAGGACGTCATCAAAGCACTACCTACATGTGATTTGTCATACAGGGTAAAAACTCTTTAATGTGTTGGAAGTGTGCTTTGGGGTTGGTATGCAGAAAAGGAAAGGGTTTTTTTTTTTTTTTTTTTAGAAGAGGCAACCAGAGCAGGGATAGGAAAAGCTGTGGAAAACTCATTTTTAGTCAAAAAACAATACCGTAAAGGTTTCTTTTAAACATTGGTGGGGTTTTCCCATTTGAGTCAAATTCATACAACATGCACAGGCGAATCATCCACTGAGCCTTGCACATTTCTTACTTGGATGAGGGTTTTACACAATTTGTGAATTTTTTACCTGTTTGAGGAATGATAGATTAGTAACAGTGTAAATGTGCTTATGCATATATGAGAAAGCCTCTTTATTAAAGCGATAATTGAACGTTTGAACTTACTGAGGGCTATTAAAATGCCAGCGACAAACATGATTACGGCAAGGATGACCCCCGTGGTACACAAAGTCTCATAATCTACAAGGGAAGAGTTATTGCACTTTATGACGAACATGTAACATGGTAAATAACATGTAGCAAAAAAGTACAGAATGTGATATGTTTAACAGGATTTTGATAGTAGATTGTGTAAATCTTACCATATTCAAAGTCACTTCGGTCTGGAAACAGTGTTTCTGCAAAAGAAAGAGCAGGATCAGTTATAGAGGAGAGAATAGTGTTACATGAGTTCAGCACCATGCACAGAGAGGTCTGCAGTTCCTCAGATCTGCAGCCTTGGCTCCACAACTCCTCAGGAGGATTTTTTTTTTTCCCTGAGAGGAGCTCAATGCAGCATCTTTGCTCAGCAGAAAAAAAGATGCACCATGGAAAAAAAGTGGGTTACAGGCCAGCAGCAGGATACCCCTGGTATCATTACAGCAGCAGAGGAACAAAGGAGCTTGGAATGCAGAAGTAGTGTTTGAAAGGTGATTTAGAGTTTAAGAAGCCTCCAGAAATGATTGCTGTTTAATTTTTAATACAAAGATATCTAGTTTTAACCAGGACAAATCTTTTTCTTTGCTAGTATAAGGGTGTTTCCAGACTACAGCCTGTGCCAAATTGAATATCTGGGCGTCAATAATGCGGCTTGCATGTTGCTGAACCCTCACTCCCCTGTGGATGAGCTGGCAGTCTGCATTACTTTCAGCCTTTTCTCTTTGCCAAAACAGACTCATCAGTTTAAGAGATACAATTGATAAACATATTTAGTCAAATGTATTAAATGTAGGTTTTTTTTTAGCAGAGGATTTTTGAATTACAACTACAATTAATTTAAATGTGTCAAAACACTGATCTATCAGCAGTAAATTGGCTCTTGGGCCTGAAACAACAATGCAGCAGGCAAATAACTACAACGTTAAAGTAAAAATAGATAAATAAAATGACAAATCACAAAATCATCACACCTATAGGAACCAAACAAGTCAATGTTGTTCAACAAAAGGCAATTAGTATAGCTTACAGCTGTTATACATACTTTAAATATCCTAGAAGAGAGACAAAAACAATCAAACCTGTGGTGGCCATGGCTGCAGGAGATGTGGAAGAGCTCCGTCTTGCAGATATGTTGCAGGTTGCTGGGTTGCTGTTTCAGGTTGGATATGAAACGAGGTGTAGCAGGACAGGACAGCATGCAGAACTGCTTCAGAGCCTCTGTGAGCGAGGGAGGGGCCCCCTGGTGGGCACAGCCCTGCATCACATCCATAAGGGTGGAGTTGGGGGGAATCTATCAGGATGCGGACTACAACAAAAGGCAGTGGGAAGCACATGTATCCCACATTCTAAATAAATAGAAATTTGAAGAATATATATCTGAAATCTAAGGGGGTTGCTGTTAATTTGTCTATGACGTGGCTTTGCTCTAACAATCCCACCAGTCTCTTAATTATACTGCCTTCCCAATACATAGAAATGTTGCTTGCTTGCTCAAAATGCCCCAGTTTCTCTCCCATGTGTTATGCAGTGCAGTCCCTTTCCTGCAACACCAGGAGAAATAGCCTGCATAATGCAGCTCTTACATCCGTAGAGGCTGCCAGATTCAATACGGCTGAAAATCTGCCAATAAAACAGCACTAAATAGAGAGATAGGTACAATTAAGTGTATTTTTTTAAACCACATCCTTATCCAAGTGCAGCACAATGCAGCACATTAATCATTCACACACTCTGCTGGAAGCTACTACTGCATGTGTAACTGAAGTGTGTGCAGCGTCAGCAGAAACAGGAGTGCAGCATAGAGGGTTTTCCCTGGGCTTCTTGGAATGACCAAGAAAATCAAAAAATGATGCATAAAAAAAAAGAACCTTTTCAAAAATGTGTTTTATTATTTTTGCATCAATCGTTAGGTCAAAAAATACAAATGAGAATCACACTATTGATACCATTTAAAGTTGGCACACTTTGTAGTAACAGTCTTTGATAATAAAAACATTTATAAAGAAAATATAACAAGCACAGTAACATTATGAAATTAAAGAAAGCTTCTTGTGTTCATGGAAAGATGGTCCTCAGCTTTGATCAAGGTATTTGCTGCCATCTAGTGGACAGACAGTAGCACTGTGGAAAAGAGGTAGAGCATGAGTTTGATTTGGTAAAAATCTTTCAGCTTCCTTTAGTAAAAAAATAGACTCAGAGCTGTTGATAAAACACTGACCTCATCTCCACTGCTCTTTGCCTCTGCGTCTACTGAGCTGTGGAAATAATTGTTTAATTAAAATATTGTTTCAAACAAAGGCAATACAATAGGCATTTCAGATTAATATTATATAAAAACATATTTACCAATTGGAACAGCTGTTTCCACATCAGGATCCTTCGGTCTGAGGAAAATCAGAAGTTAGATAGTCCAGCTGAAGGGATTTTAATATAATATACAGAAAACCATTGTTTTTACAGATGAGAGTCTGATTTGTTGATCACTAACCTTGGCTTGTCACTCGAACAGCTACATTTTTTGGCTGTGTTTGGGGAAAACACAAAAATATGAATCATTCATATTTAAAATGGCGACACAAACAACATGACAAATTCAAATAATGTATACAACTAAAACAGTCAGCGTTTTACACATTTAGCTTTATTGACGTGAACAGTTAAAGGGGACCTATCATGCAAAATGCACTTTTTATACATGAATATGTGTCCCCGGTGTTCCAGGGAACTCACCAAGTGTCAGAAAACACAACCCTCTCTATTTTCCTCCATACCCAAATCTCTAAAAAAGGGGCTGCAACGGATCTGATAAAAACTGATCCAGATTTGAACACTGTCCTGACGTCAGGACGGTGGCGCTACGGCTATTGGGCCAACTTTCCACCTATCAGGGGAATGTGGGGTTGGGCCACGGCCGGTCATTGCCGCTCGAAAGCGCTGGAGACGCTGTAGTACATATGCCAGGCCTGTAAGTGGCGCTGTAGTCTGCCACAAAAGCATAGAAGAAGACTTCCCGCGCATGGTTACCATGGTTACCCTTCTGTTTATTCTCCGCTGTGGCTTTTTTTCTCCCTCCCCGAGGCAAGCGTTTGCTCCTGCTGCTGTAATTCAATGCAATCCCTCCCCGTCGAGGCAAGCACTGTAATTCTCTCCCGTTAGTCCACCAGCAGATGACAAACACCCACCTCTCCGCCTCTTCCAAGGAACGAGGGGACCATGCGGCAGAGTTTCAGTTAGGTTTTCTTTCGCCGGTCAAGATGTCCGTTAAAGTTTAAATCTTCCGGACAAAATTAGAAAAGTGCCGGTCAAAGGTCTTCTTTGTTATTTATTAAGCTTTAAAACAAATGAATAACGACTCTATATAATAATAGGCTATAATAAAACACGGAGGACGGAGATCTATTTTTCTCCCCCTCTTCTGACTTGATCAGAGCACGCTCCCCTCTCCTGCAGAGGGGCGTGGTCAGCTGCAGCTCACAGAATCAGCCCCCTGCAAAAACAGGGCTGGAGAACAGCAAATAGAGCAAAATGAGGCATAGCTAAAATGCATGATCTGTTTGGTATTTTGAAAACAGAAACGTATAAATATACCTTATATAGGTATGGCCCTACAATATATCATTTAAATATAGCATGATAGGTGTCCTTTAAATGAATTTGTTTAAGTTTGCCCAAAACACAAGAGCCATTATGTTGAATAACATCCAGCTAACATTATTTTTACTATGTTAAAGTCTGGAAAATTAATGGAGATGCCGATTATTATGAATGTATATGGGATAGTTGGGATGTTTGTAAATGGTGATGTCAAAAGGTTGATATCCATAGACAGTGTCTGATAAAGATTTCTGTTTCTGTTTTTAGTGAGCCCACCTGTGGCTGAAATACCCTTTATTGATGGCCCTGTAAAGCATAGCAGCTTTTGTGGAGTGACTTTATTACTATGTGTAAGGTGGGGGAATGCTGACCGCTATCTACCGTAGACTATGGCTAATACCTCACACAAGCCCACAGACATTTTTTTAAACTATCACTTTAAGTTCACTTTCTTTCAAACTAAAAGCATAGTGTCTAGTCCAATGAAAGCATGTCAAATGTATCCAGTATTAGTATAGAAGCCCAGCAAGGCTTTATAATAGTAAAGTCATTGTCTTCACAAATACTGTACTATTTTAATTAAAAATGAAATGATGATGACATGGCCGTATTGGTCTTATATTGAAAGAAGAAATATTAGGTGAAGCCGATTCTTGGCCTACAGAAGGGCTCTTCACACATGTGAGTAGTTTCATGTAGGTAGGTAGTCGGTAGATGTTGTTCAAATATAGAAATGATTATCTGCACCACTGAGGATTTCTGAGTGTTCTCACAGTAACATGCTTTTGCTATCTGAACTCTGGACTAAGACGTGTAGCTGCTAGTGTGGCCGGCTAAACTGCTGGGAAATCCTAGACCAGGCTAGTGACCTACATTCTCTCAGGACTAAGAATAAAGCTGTGAGTCAAGAAAGAAAACACTCCGCCTCCATTCCTTCACTTAGACACTGGGAGGCGCCAAAGGGTTTCTATTGCTATCCATGTTGTTTGAAATGCCCAACAGTATCTTTCCAGGGTTTATCCTATTTATGTTATGTTGTGCAGATGAAATCAAGACTGTTTTTCCAATCAAATGTTTCTTCTTATTTGCTATTTTAGCAGTATTTTATGCAACCAGTTGTGGTTAGAGACTATATAAGCCTAATCTGTAACTTTTTAAACCACGTGCAGCTGAAGTTTATTCACAGACGTCATTTCAGAGTTACCTTTTGAGTTAAAAATGCTAAATCAGTATTTTAAGTCGAAAAACAGAAGACAGATTTAGCCACAAGTAACATTAAGGCCTTAAAACTATGTAGTTAATGACCTCCGCTCATTTCCAGTTGTGGCAGTATAAACCTGTTTACATTTGGAAACCAGATTGCTCCTTTCAAATCCACTTTGAGAATTCAAATATACTTGAATCCTCTACTTATTTTAATCATTTTAATTCAATGCCACAACTTAAAAGAGAGCAGTTCGGAATCCACGGCAATCTTGACTAACTGATTCAAAGTGTGATGGTCCAAATGATTTATTTATTGGATTTGGTTTCAGGACTATGACAGACGGTAACAGCATGTACTGGCAGATGAGGAGGAACCTTGTAAGGACACTGCACGTGATCAAAGGGATAAGGTTTAAAGAGCAAATTGTTGCGATGCACGGGTCATGAGAGCGAGTGCAAGGGGTATCAGTGTTCCTCCGTCCAGACCTCTAAGAAAAACAGGAGCCCGCTTGTTTTGGGAGACTCTGAGATCAACTCACACATACAGGAATCCCAGTGTGGCTAGTGGCTACACATCTGCAGCATACAGTACTTAAGGTGGACAAACACTTACTGACAATGAGGACGATACCCAGCACGAACAGTACCACTGCAAACACAAGGCCCCCGATTCTCAGCGACTCATAATCTGAAATGAAAGAAGAAAAAGCACATTGTAACGCTCGTAGAAGGGCACACTGACATGTGAATGTTCTGTGATATCAAACCCCATGAATGCTAAAGCTTTTTGAGGCATTGGACCACATTTTTCTGCAAACACAGCATTGCAGAAATATTTTGCAGCCCCCCTAATTTTCACACGACACCACAAATTCCTGTAAACTGCAGTCACCAAAACTTTAAACACCATGGTCAACTTGGATTGTGGAGCTGCCTGTCCCAATAAGGCTGGATATAAGAAATATAAGGTCTATGTTTCCCTTAATTGCAACAAAATCAAAGCAGTAGTAACTGTGTTCAAAGCTATGAGTGCTTAGATCATCTTCTGTTTAAGATCTTACCGATAAAAAGAGTTGCACAGCTTGCAGCGATGCAACGAGCATTGCCTTGAGAATAGATATGAGCTATAATAAAATGTGTTGACAAGAGTCTATAATAATTCTGTAGTGCAGCTGTTCCCAACCTTTTGGGCTTGTGACCCCTCAAAATAAAGTCCTATATACTTTTAATAAAGATTGTTTATTTATGGGGAATACAAGAGGGGTAAGAGATCATAAGAAAATAAATAAATAAAGACAAAACTCAGGGAAAGATCAAACATATCTTTGTGTAACAGAAATATGAGTTTTCTTTCTTTTAGCTGTTCATTCTGAGATATATCTTAGGGTACTGATCCCAATGTTAGAAGCCTTTTCTTTAGTGCTCTTCAATGGGGCGATATACTATGGTTGGAATGGCACAATATAGATAGAGAACACTTCCAAAAACTGCCCAATAAAATGTAAAGATAACAACTAGTACATGAATAAAAGTAGGTATTCATAAATCTCAATGCAGATTCAAAGTCATCCTGTTCACTTTAGCGCCTTAGATGGACTGAAAATCCGGCCTGCGACGTAGTGGGCAGGATTAGAAGTATCCGCAGTGGGACTACACCAGAAGCTTAGCCTTGGGGTGACTGTTTTCCATAACTTCTGGAAAAACAAGTGGAAAATGCAAACTTGTCTCAACCTCCCAGATGTTTCCTGTGTAGAGGGGTTAGCCATTCAAAGGCCGGGCATATCTGCTAAACACTCACCGTATTCAAAAGCACTGTCATAGTCTGGTAGGAGAGAACAGAGAGAGGAAACAAATGAGAAGCAGATTTACCCACTGACACACTTCACAGAGCACTCATGATATGACAGCTATTCAGCACTTTGAGGGCTTCAGTCATCCATCTAGTCATTAGCCAGTTTGGTGCCAGTGCCAATTTATATGCCAGCTAAAATGAGTATGCAGCTTATCTTAAATTTGACTTTTCTAAGCTTCTGTTCAAATAATACCCACCTTTGTCCGCATTTTCCGCTGAGGCTGTGAAAGAAAGAGGGAACAATTCATTAGTCTTTATACGACATTTGCATGGTGGTGTGAGTGCATGTCAGCAAATGGCAAAATCTATGGTAGTGGGGTAAATTCACTCTGCAGAGAAGCCTTAAAAGGGTGAGTATCTAACTCATTGTCTTTTATGTAAAGGTTCAATAATACATTACCATAATGGTATAAGAACTCAACATTAAACACTGTATATTTCTACTTGAATACCTTTGTGTATTCTCTAGATTGCTCCGACCTGTCAATGTGTTAGATATTAGACATCATGGCTGAATTCATGTTATGCTCTGGTCTTCTTTTGAATCTTGTTAGAAAGCATAGTGTACATGGCCACAAGCTATATCACAGTTTCTTCCTCATGTTCATCAAGAGAACAACCAGAATAATTGAGAGAGACAGCTTCACGAGGTGTAATAATAAAGACAGAAAGCAGACGTTGTTTATATGAGCACTGGTGTTGAAGCGAGAACAATTTAACCTCAGAGCAGCACAAATATTCTTCTACTGGTGCTATGCAACATTTCACATCATTAATGTGTTATTTATTTATCTTTTTACAGCCCTCATTAAAATGTTCAACAGACTTTTAAATGTCAGCCAGTCAGGTAGTCTGGCTTATGTATACACTTTAACAACTGATGTACAGCAAATTGATCATCAGTAAACCAAGTGTTTCTATACAGTACTTGATGTTTGCCTGACGGAACTTATTCCAAGCTTATCAACATAACTTTATATGCTAAAACTTGATACCCAAAAGATTTGTGTCCTTGATTCACACGATTCAATAAAGCCGGACTTGAGCTGTTTTAAATATGTATGATACATGAATAATGCGGAATAATATTTTATAAACTCCATATTAGATTGAATGGAAATGAGAGAGCTCAAGTTAACTTTGGGTTTACTCCAGGCTGTAAATACTGTCAGTAACTTATTCTGTGAAGCAAAAACGCATATTATTACATTGATTCTGACGAGCATTAAAAGAAAAAAAAGGACAGACTAACAGACCTGACACTCAGAGAGGATAAAAACCCTTCGTGTAGGCAAATCTGCTTAACATCAAGTTCAACTGATGGCAAGCAGTCGCACAGAGAAATGAACCAAAGACCAGGACCTGCATTAACAATGGAAAACTTGGCAGCAGTGTGAATAAATGATTGTTAAAACTGCCGTGTAAGGAAACATTTACTCTATTCTGACACAGCCTTTTCTCAAAGCAAAACACTGACATAAAATGGAAAATATTAAATGGATATTATAATAGAAACACCACCACTGCAATGCTAACTAAAAGACGGGGCATGCCATGCACTTTTGACCCAAAAGAGCACATGGTAAACAGCCTTATTTAGTAAGTAAGCGTAATAAATCAAATGGTCGTGCATTTTCAGATACTCTAAATGCAGGAAACTTACCGAACACCTCCCTGCCAAATGCTGATCCTGTTATACAGAGAGATCAGCTCATTTAACGTGGAGGAACTTTAAAACACAAGCGAAAGAAAGGGGAAGCAACTGAAGAGCACAACGCTCACATATAGTTTCAAAGAGGAGGAAAAACTTAAATCGCTGAACTTGTTGTGAAATGGATGCTCACCGAGTGCAGGAGCCAGCCACGATCCAAACACCACCAATGTCACAAGATCCATTGTACCTGCTGATAAGAAGAAAAAAAACATTAGAGAAGTAATACATGTTTTTAACTGATCATGTAAAGGGCAATGAGATCACAATTTTTGGGCAGGCTAAATGAATGCTGCTTTATGAGGGTAAAGTGCCGGGGTGTCAGGAAGTTGAGTTTAAAAGTGATTTAAAAATAAACTTTGTAAATCACTGACTGCTCTAAGACGAAAATACCTCTGCCTTGCTGAGAACAGAGGGATGCCTGTTGTGAAAATCTTAAGCAACTCCCCTCTAATACCTCTCAGAAGCAACCCAACAGCCAGTTTTGGTAAGTGAGGGGCGGACTAGTTGTTTTCCAGAACAGTGACTTGGGTGCATGCTACATACAACTATTAGTAATAGTAATTAATAGTATGGCATCCTGATCCTGGGTCAGACCAGGGTCTATTTAAGGCTCAGTGCTGCAGTACATGGGGCTTGGCAGTTGAGGGGTGCGAGGCAAAGCAAGGCTGGTGTTGGGTTGCATTTGGTCGGTTGGTTAAGAGGATGCATTTTGCTGGGTCATCTACTTCACACAGAGTGCACCAAATTCCTAGGGTTGTTTTTCTGTCTATATATTATCCAGGACATTCTACGAGATACTCTTACAGCCATGTGTTCACAGGTTAAGGCTCAACAACTAGACTGCCACTCCTGATTGGTTACAATATTTGGCACAGTTTAAGATCATTGCATGACCAAAGAGCACTGGTTGCAGTTTTGTTATGTTTATAGCCACATTATTCCAATAAAACCCACCACAACAAAATATAATGCAGGTACAAACAGTTTTAGATTCATACTCTCAAAAATAAATCGAAGCCATGGAATAAAATGTTTTGCAATGCAAAGATCAAAGCCTACGTTGGCAGAGCCAAGGTTTCCCTCCCTGGCCCAGAGCACTGCTGGGGATTGATGCATGACTAGAGTGTGAACATGGAGCTGGAGTGGGGGAAATTGAACACTCCAACCCTGGGAGCAGGATTAACAAAGGACTGCCAATCAGGTTTAATCAAACAAATACAGGGTGAGTTATACTAACAAGAACCAATCCAATAATCTGGTTTGTTAGCTTTCGATGTAGAGGAAAATAATTTTAAAACAGGGAAGACGCCCATAGAGCAACACTTTAAAAATTAATTACCATGGATTATAATAAAGTGGGATTAACATGGACAGTTTCTAATTAAAGAGGGGTTGCTTATATTAACCCTTATAGACAAGCCCATATGAGTGCGTTCACAATTGAAACACACATATTAGCTCCTCATAATTAAAACTTGGGAATCTAAAGAATGATCATTGCTACAGTTAAGCCAATCTGGTTTTAAATAGTGTGACTCCTTTTCGAGTTCTCGTTGTTGATCTCGTCAATTAACGCGATAGTGTTACTGGCTGCACTCAGTTTACAGTGTGACAGAAAAACTCAATTGAACCCTTTAAAATGGTGTGACATTTTGCGACCGCCAAAAAACAAAATGAAAATGGATAATACGTACACACAATCAACTTAAAGGTGGGGTAGGTAAGTTTGAGAAACTGGCTCGAGATCGCTAGAATTTGAAAATACACAACCGGAGAAAATCTGCCACTTCCTTATAGAGCCCCTCCTCCAACACACACGAACGCGCACATGACCAATGAGGGCACGAGATAAGTTTGTGCACAGATGGAAGGCTGACAGGCAGGTAGGCCATCCAGTTATTTTAGCCGGGCCGGCTAAAATGATTGGTCGTGCTTTTTACAGTATTACGGCTTTTTTTTAATGGATTTTTTGTAAAAGCACTTAATATATTCATTACTATCGGGATGTTAAGAGCATTCCATGGAATATAACAAAAAGTGTATCTCGAGCCGGTTTCTCAAACTTACCTACCCCACCTTTAATACTGCGGTAAATTGTAAACTAAAACACGTTTGTCTTTTGGGTTCAAATTAGTGGAAACAACATGAGCGGTGTTCTGCTGCACGCGTAAAGTCAGAAAGGACTCAGTGTCAAATTAAAAGTTGGATGTCATTTTAGTCTTAAACAAAAAATAAAACTTCCGACAAGACAAAAATATGTGACACAAACGTGTTTTTCAATTATTACGCTGCATTTTCAACTGTTTACGCTCATCTAGCCGCACTCATGTCAATTAAATTCAAGGAAATTCATTCATCATTCATGAGCATACATTTGGACATTTTAAATAATCTTACCTTGCATTAGCCTCCTTTAAACTCTTATGCGAGTTAGACTCTCCGCCCGGTAAAACGAACTTTGCTTTGAAAAGTTTTCCACGTGTTACTTCAGCCAAGAGAAATACAATTGGGTATGCAAAACCTTATCCTGGAGCATGCAAATAAAATGAAAAGCCACTAATGGAAAGGAATTATGTTGTGGAGATTGCTTAGTACTCGCTTGCACCAAGTAAAGCTCTGTTCCTTCTTGGTCTTGCCTCGGGAATAACAGTTAGAGTGAGTGAGAGTAAGGGGGGGGGGGGGGAGAGAGAGAGAGAGAGAGAGAAAGTGTGTGAGTGCTAAACCACGAGTACTCCTTAAAGTACCCTGAGCTCCCCAGTGCAGAGGTAAACAGCACGAGGAGCTGCAGTACAGGGCTACTTAGCAGAGCAGATTACTCCCATGTGGATTGGTGCCAGCACAGATAGTAAAACATGATTTTTAAATGAACTGTTGATCATGCTCATTTCCCCCCACAGCCAAATATAACAGACACAAGCTGAATCAAGCAGAGAGCTTGTTGCAACGTGGAGTAACTAACAGCCTTTAGGGAGGCTAGTGCTCTTTCACGGCCATTGCAGACTGTCAGTGAGATAAAGTTTTCTCTCAGCTATATGAAAACTGACTCCCCAAGGTCTCTCCCACACCAAGCTGCCAGATTCTCCTCTCCTCGTGTAACAAACACATAGCTGTGTAGCAAGCAGGCCCTGTCTCAATCTGGTGAACACACACCATGAAACCAGGTGGTTACCAGTCTTTTTAATTTTCCCAAAACATAGTCAAGTATGTATTTTGAATTGAGACAAGTATACAAAACTCACACAGTGTAATGAAAATGTATTTATTGGTTGTTCCAGTAAGAAAACACATTGTAAAATAAAAATGTTCAAAAAAGGCAAGGACAGTTTAACAAGACAGTTGCTCCAGGTTGTTCCATGGAAAATAGATGCTATCATTTTCTCTTCCGCTAGATGGAGATGTTGGACAGGATTGAGCAAAAATGCTCTAAACCAAGGTGAACAATAGAGGAGCAGACGGCCAGTAAACAACCACTATCATTTCATGAATCAAAAGGAAGTAGTGAAGTATGATGAGTAAAAACCAGCTTAAAACAAGAAACCTTTGCCAAATGACTTCAAATTCTTCATCCTGTTCAATGTGGGGTAGAAAGCATGGATGTAAGCCACAGGGTTATAGCTGTTTCCTTCACGAGGAAACATCAGTTCATTGTTTTGAGAGGAAATAACATCAGTTTTTACCTGTATAGCAGATGCTTTCCACCACCGCAGAACCAACCTCTCTACAGACCACTGAAATGAAACAGAAAAGAATTGCAGCGGAAGGGCACCAGAGAAAATAAAGTCAGGTACACCCGGGCACAACAGAGATTACAAGCAACACATTAGAAAATGGTATTTCTTAAGGCATTATGCAGACACTCAGGGCATTTTTTGTGTTGTTTGGTGGTGATGAGAAAATGCAAACCAAAAGACAACTATGTAGAAGGTAAAAAGGAAGGGGGACGCACAAAACTCAATTCTCTAAGGGTTTGACTTGAGGCTAGAGCACAGAACTATAGACGAGGGCTCAAATTAATATTGTACCCAGATGAGTCTTAAGTGTCCTTGGATGACAAGCAGTGATTGGATTGCAAGCTTGGTAGCTTTTGATGGCCATGCCTGTCAGCCTCACCTGCTTTTTAATCAGTAATTACCATAGGGGTTTCTCTGGCATTTCTTAATTAAATTGGACCAAATGCAATTAAAAACCACACTCTCATTCCTTTAAAAGGGCTCTGTGGAGTCCTTGTTTGGTTCTTGCTGTTAAGAGAATAAGCGGCTGAATAGTCATAGCACCCTACCATCTCTCGCTGATCTGTGCTTGATTGTTTCAGTGGTCAAATTAGGTTTGCTGTTTGCATAATAAAGGGCAAGAAAGAAGATCATTATCCTAGGAGTAAATGCAGCAATGTATCTTTGCCCATTATATTTACACAGAACAAATGTTACAGTATGCCTTTCAAATACTCACCATCTAGAAAAGTCCCCGGCGCTCCAGGAGCCAACAACAACAGACACATCAGAGGTGATTTTCCCATCTGCAGTTCTCATATCATCTTTGGAGTTGTTGTTGTAGTTGCCACAGGCGCCGCACATTTTACCAGACAGGCTACTGTCAATAATGACTGTGACCTCCTTTGAAAGTGAGTAGGTGAGCCGTACAGCAGATGCCTTCTCAATGATCACAGTCTTCTCTGAGATGTGGACAGATATGTCACTCGTCACTTTGCTGGGAAGAGACACTTTCCTGCCATTTACCTGGATGACATGAAGGATGGGAAAACAACAAAGTGAGATTAAAAAAAAAAGGTTTCTACACCAAAACTACTTTTCTGGTTAAACATTGAACTATTATCCTTCCTGCTCTTCTCACCCAGGTCACATGTTGGCTGTTAACTGTGACAACCGTTTCCTTAAAGAACACATACAAGGTGGCGACAGTGGGAGATGCACCCTTGCTACAGACCCTGACGTCCACAACCACGCGGAACCACATCTTGTCGGTCTCGTCGCACAGAGACGCCACTTCAAATGCCCCTTGAGCTCCTATCGCTCCAGACATGCCATCAAAGGAGGTGAGGAGGCCAACTTGGCTGATGCTGCAGTGGCCCTGTTTGACGTGGCAGCCCCTTACGCCATCTCTTACACCACAAACGTCTCCACTGGCACAGGTCAGCTTCTCACAGTTCACCACCCCAGAGGCCTGGCACACACACTTGGACGTACAGGCTTTGTCCACAACTGCTTGGCCCACCTGGAAACACACATTGTGTAAGTCATCTTCCAGGTTGATGAATATAATGTTGTCTCTGTTCATGTGTATTTGCTATGACAAAATGGAAACTAACTTTCAAGTGTGTGGGAGTTATGATGTATGACAAAGTCAAATCTCAGTACAGTTTTACCGTTAGATATCTGCCATTGTGCACACATCCACAGTTGTCCAAGGGAACACATTGCATGCCATCGGAAACAAAGCTGGCGTCACATTGGCATCCTTCAAAGCAGCTTTCAGAACAAGTAAACGGGTAAATAAAGCTGGCACAGGTCCCACCACAGGTGTCGGCACACACCTCATAGTGACTGTTTGCAGGGCAGGAAGCAGCTACAAGAGAAGAAGACATTTGTAAGACTTTGTTTGAGCACCTGAAATATAAAACAACAAAAATAGTGTTTAGTGTAACTCACGGCAGAAGGAGCTGCTTCTCCATGGCTGGATTTGAACTCCTTCGCTCTGGCAGGCCAAAGCGTAGGCCTGGACACTGTTGCATAGATTATCTTTGTTGCCACCCACAGCACAAACATCAAAAACGCAATTAGACACATATGCCGCTGGGTCAATCTTACTGTGGCAGGCTTTAAAAGGACCATTAGGTGCACTCATGAAGCCACAGGAGTCCGATTTTCCATACAATGTGGCCTTGGCCTGCTCACATACTGGACACTGGCCTCCACAGCCCCCACACACATTGCCTGGCATGTCCACCACCCACGACTTCCCAAAGTCATCAACGCTGTTTGTTTTTCTGCCACCGGGAAGCCTGAAGTCATCACCATTGTTCTTGTTGTAGTTGCCGCAAAGACCACACATCTTTCCCTGGTACGTAGAAGGCACAATCACCTCAACATAATAGACAGTGTCATACAGGACCGTCAGTCCAAAGTCTGTGCGGATTATTATGTTGCGACCCTCCTGAGTGACTCTGAGACGCCCATTGTCCAGGTAGAGAGGAAGGTTTAGGATTTCGTCATCCACCTGGGCAGAGGGAGGAGGAAAAAATGATCAGGAGGACATAAATAAACATGCAAACCTTTTACCACATGTGTTTTAGATTAAGTTATCGAACTCACAGTTACTTTCCATGGCACTTTCTGTTGGATGTAAATGACATAACCGTAGACTGCCACTGCAATAGACTTGGTAACGGCCACTTTTCCATTTCCATACTTCTCATTCCCCTGAGTTACGCTGAATGGCGTCAGCCGGCCTTTGTCATCGTCACACACCTTGGCCAACATGTAGACACAGGTACCCTGGAAATCAAACCTCTTTCCATCAAAGGAAATGTAATGAGGGTCTCCGGATGCCACACACTTGCCCTGCCCATCAGGGTGGCAGCCTTTCATTCCGTTTACAAGCTTACAGGTCTCCCCTGCACGACACTTGGCCTTTTGGCAAGACACTGCGCCGTTCTCTCCACAGACGCATTGCTCCACACACTCTGTTTCGGGGTAGAAAACGTCTCCTTTCCTGTAGTACTGGCCATCGTAGGAGCAGCCACAGTTTCTCACGGGCACACAGGTATCCCCACTCTGCAGGTAGCCTTCGTCACACTCGCAGGCCTCTGAGCAGGCCCTGTGGCAGGTGGTGAGGGAGGTTAAACTGGCACAGGTGACAGGGCAGCCCGTGGCATACAGGGTGTAATGGCTGTTAGCTGGACACACCATTGCTGTGGGAAAGGTGGAGGGAGAAATGAACAGGGTAAAATATAAAAGAGATACTTTTTAAAATAAGAGATTGAAAATATGAAAACAGATTGTCAAACTCACGACAGAAGGCATCTGTTCTCCAGGAGCGGATGGTGATTCCTTGGCTCTGACAGGCAGAGACATAGACTCCCACAGCATCACAAACTGAGCCTTGGTGGCCATGGTACTGACAGGCATCATACACACAGTCCTCCAGGTAAGGAGCAGGGTCTACACGACTGTGACAATCTCTGAAAGGCCCTGCCAGGTCAGCGATTATACCACAGTATTTCTGGGCTTGGTACTTTTTCTTGTGGGAGTCGGAGCAGGCCTGGCACCATGCCCCCTGGCAGACTGATGAGCAGCCTGGCACCAGGGCCACCTGCCAGCTCTCTCCCAGCTCAGCTCCGTTTTTGCTGGTCTGGCCGTTCCGCATGGTCAGGTCATCACGAGCGTTGCCATTGTAGTTGCCGCACAAGCCACAGACTGCGCCCTGGTAGTTGCTGGGCAGAGAAACGCTCACTCTGCCCCTCCAGTCAAAGGTCACGGTGATACCAGCATCTGTTTCCACTACGGCTGTCCCGCCACTAAGAAACACGACCAGCTCATTATTGTAATCTAATGGTAACGAAGCGAGCTGCCCATTGAGCTGAAGAGGGAGAGAGAAATATTTTTAGGAGATTATAGATTTAATAATTCTGCCGCCTTTGCTAATCCACTCTAATGTGCAGTTAAATCTTAGTTTAATTAAGGCTGCCTGGATCAACATTTTAATATGCAATTAAATATATATGCAGACGGTATGTCAGAATTAGCACAATGACAATAATATCTGTTCATTTGAAGAGGCTCTGAGTATCTGTCCTGTGTTTATTTTTAATACTGTGACTACATGTCCTATTTATTTTCTCTTAAAAAATGCAAATGAAAACAAGTGACAAGAAATGTAATCTGTTATTAAATTGCACATATGCTTGACAATATCCGTACCTCCAAATCCGTACTCACCAGGACTTTGTGGGGGTATTCTCTGCTGATGGTGAGGGTGATGCCATATATGGAGAATGTGACAGTCCTTGTGTAGGACACAGCCTTGCTTCCCCGGTGGTCGTTCTGCACAGTCACCTTGAACGGCACGAGCCCCGGCTGCTGCGAGCACAGTCCGACCAGCTGATAAACACATGTGCCCTGGAAATCAAACCGGCGGCCATCAAAAGTCCGGTAGTGCGGGTCACCTGAGGCTGTGCATGTGGCGTGACTGATGGGTCGGCAGGCCCGCTCTCCATCCACTACAGTGCACGTCTCCTGGGCAGAGCAGGAAGCCTCATGGCAAGTCACCATGCCCAGGGTCGTATCACACTCACATAGGCGACCGCATGCCTCATCAGCCCAAAAGTGCTGCCCTGGCTTGTAATAACGGCCCTGATAGGAGCAACCACAACTTTTAGCAGGCACACAGATGCCAGCGCTGAGGACGTGACCCTTATCACAGACACATGCCTCCACACAGGCACCAGGGCAGGGTGACTTCTGATCAGGGAATGGGCAGGATGGCTGGCATGGGCTGGTACAGATTTCATAGTGGCTGTGACGCTGACAGCTCATTGCTAGATAGGAATATAATTATAAAAGGCATAAACCAAATATGAAAATCTTAAATAATTGATTGAAGTTTCCGAATAATATGTGCAAATGAGATGCTCGTTAATACTCACGGCAGCCAAACTTTTTCCTCCAGTCCTTGATAATTATTCCTTCCTCACGACACTGCTGACTGTATGAGGCCAAGGCCTGGCACAGCATCTTTTTGTCTCCCTTATTCAAACACATATCATACACACAGTTGTTCATGAAGGCCTGGGGGTCCAATTTTCCATGACATGGCATAAACACGTTATTGGTCTTGGCTACAAGGCCCCCACAGAAAGCCCCAGACTCATAGAGCTTTTTCTGGTTGCTGTCACATGTAGGACAGTTTTTCTCACACGTGTCCCAGCAGGGATGCTTCTCGTCCTTGTCTGGTGTTTGCCAGCTCTTGCCCCAATCTTTCACTGAAGAGACAGCTTTGCCGGCTGGATTCTGGAGCTCATCACCGTTGTTACCGTTGAAGTTGCCACACAGACCACAGACACTGGCGTAGTAGCTGCTGGGAAGCTTGATGACCAGCTTCGAGTTCCAGTCGTAGGAGACGGACAAGCCAAAGTCTGTCTCCACCACTGCAGTGTGACCACGCTGAGACACTGACACCTCGCCCTGTCCCTCGTCCAGCTGTACAGGAAGGTTCAGCTGCTCCCCGTCCACCTGAAGGGAATTGATCACAACAAATTATGTACACACTGAAATACCACAAATCAAACGCATCAGAAGAATAAAATCTTACCGTGACCCGACCAACTTGGTTCTTGCGGAGAGTGACGTTGTACCCATACACAGAAATGTCAACCTCCCTGACAAAAGAAACTGCAGTGTTTCCACGATTATCATTCCTCTCAGTGACTGAGAACGGCATTAGACCATCCAGGTTCCCGCAGGTCTTGGAGATGACGTACTTGCAGGTGCCTTGGAAGTTAAAGTTAAAACCATCAAATGTGTGGTAGTGGGGGTCCCCCCAAGCCCAGCATGTGCCTGTGTACTCTGGGACGCACACAGCTTCACCCTTCTCAACATGGCACTTCTCTTTGACTCGACACTTGGCATCTTTGCAGGGATCTACACAAGATAAAAGCAATGTGAAATTAATGTTAAACTGAAAGGGTATTACTCAGTTTAAAGGTCCCCTATTATACTCTTTTTCATCAATATATTATAGTTCTCAGTTATATACAAAACATGTCTCTGAAGTGTTTGGCTGAAATACCAAACAGATCCTGCATTGTAGCATCCCATAATCCCCTCTGTTTCAGCCCTGTTTCAAAAGTGCTGATTCTGTGTTTGTTACTTTAGATGAAAAAAAGGAGCCACTCCCACGCCCCTCTGAGAGATATTTGGTTAAAAAAACTCAATGGTGCTCTAGGAGGAGATTCAGGTGATAAGGTACCTTGGTTGGTGATTGGCTAATGGTTACACAAGCAAAAAAAATCGTTATGACATCATAAAGTGGCCAAAGTCTGATCAGCTCATTTTTAGACAGGTTTTTATATAAATGGATCAGGACAAAAAGAGAGAGAATCTTTTTTCCTGAAACCTTCAGAATCTCTTCACACAGAGGGGACACATAATAACAAAAATAAAAATAAATAAAATAATGATTTTGCATAATGGGTGACCTTTAAAGTTAAAGATTAGTAAATGTAAAGAATGTGCGTCTTGCCTGTGTTGTAGCATGCCCTGATTCCTTTCTTGACCATGCATTTGGTGCTTTGGGGGCAGGAATGTGTTTCACAGACGATGCCTGTCTCTGGATTGCAGGTGCACTTTGTGTTACAGTCTTCTTCATACACCACTTCACCAGGCTGGAGACATGGAGCCGGTTCATTACACAGGGGGAAATAATTCACAGAATAAATGAAGAGAGAAGTCCACATTATTTCATTCTTATTCCATCTTATCAACCCTGCCACAAATTTAGACAATCTGCTAATTAAGTCTCTGGAGAAACACTCAGTGCGCAGATTTAAGATCAGACTGGCTCATGTCCAGCAATGTGGGAAAAAGCAAATGCAGCAAAATTGCCATGTCAGCATGAATGCTGACATCGGTATTTGCTCAAGCCACTTTGGCACTAAAAAGCTATAATTTGTATATTGCTCTATTTTGAAAGGCCTCTCTTTTATAACAGACATAGGTTTTCTACCTTGTACGATCTTCCATTGTCATAGCAGCCACACTCTGTCTCTTGAACACACGCATGTCCATTGAATAAAAAGCCAGTATCACATTCACAGCCCTCTGTACAGCTGCTGGAGCACTGGACAATCTCTGTGAGGCCTGCGCAGGATGCAGAGCAGGCGTCGGCACACACCTCATAGTGACTGTTGGCTGGGCATTTCATGGCTGAAATTAATTAGCACACGGAAGAGAAATCATGGATTGAAAAGGAACCTGTTAAAATATTAAATAAATACAGCAATTACACTATAGCTCCAGAAAATAAGAGAAAAGCTAAATAGTGAATGTATTTTTATACTAACGACAGAAGGAAGGCGTCCTCCAGTCTTTGACGTCCACGCCTGCCATGTGACAGTTGAAGGCATAGGCTGCTATGCTGTTACAAAGCACCTTCCCATCCCCGTTGGAGGCACACACATCAAACACACAGTCAGCAAAGTATGGCTGTGGGTCCAGTTTACTGTGGCAGGCTGCAAAAGGGCCATTGGGGGCTGTAACAATGCCGCAGTAAGTGGACTTTGAAAACACTGCCTTGCGAGCCGGGTCACATACAGGACAGTTTTTCCCTTTGCAGCCGTTCTCACACACCACATTAGGGATGGTGACCTTCCATGACTTTCCAAACACATTCACATTGTTGGAGGGCTTACGGTTCGGCATTTGGAAGTCATCTTTTTGCTCACCGTTGAAGTTGCCACACAGGCCACAGACCTTACCACGATAGTTCCCAGGCACTGTGACAGTCACGTGATAGACCAGATCATAAGTGACAATCAGTCCGAAATCTGTTGCAATAACATACCGCAAGCCTTCCTGATAGACCAGCACTGCTCCGTCATTAAGATTCACAGGGAGGTAGTTAAACACCCCATTTACCTAAAAGAAGAAAGTGTTTTTTTAAATAAAATTAAAACTTCTGATGAGAAGAATGTCTAAATATATTTGTCAAGCTTGTTTTACTCTCAACCATCTGCCACCTGTAAACTGCATTTCAGATATGGAGCTTCTTTTTTCAAATAAAAGAGCCAGTGTTGTTTCTCACCAGGACTCCAAACATTTTGTTCCTGATGATGAGAGTGAAGCCGTAGACATCCACAGCTACCAGCTTGGTGACAGCCACCATTTTGTTCATAATCTTGTTCCATCGCTCGTTCTCCACCTGCACAGAGAAGGCCTCCAGGTGGGTGCCTTCCAGCCCGCAGCTCTTGGAGAGTGTATAGGTGCAAGTGCCCTGGAAATTGAATGTTCGCCCATCAAAAGAGCGGTAATGGGGGTCACCAGAGGCGTGGCACACACCCTTACCAACAGGATGACATTTGTGCACGCCATCCTCCACTTTACACTTCTCATTAGGGCCACATGTGAACTTCTTACACACAACCTAAAAAGAACAGTTGAGAACACACATTAAATACATTTCCATCCTGCAAATGAACACTGATCAGTATCAAGTTATTATTAATCACATTGCATCCATTACCTCATCATCTTGTGTGCACTTGCACTCCTCCTGACACTGCCCATTGGGATAAAAAACTTGGCCGATGTGGTAGTAGTGGTCATTGTAGACGCAGCCGCACTGTGAGAAGGGAACACAGCGATCTCCACTGAGGATGTACCCTTCATCACAGGAGCAGCCCTCCTCACACTGAGCCTCGCAGCCCTGCGGAGGGATCAGACTATGGCAAGAGGCCTGACAGCCGGGTGCACAAACTTCATAGTGGCTGTGGACTGGACATTTCACCGCTGTACACAAGCGACATAAAAGACAATAAATGTAAATGTTCTTTATCATTTAACAGAGACAAGTACAATTACATATTCAAAATACAAGCAGTAAATACAAAGCAATATAAAGGCTCAGGAAAGGAAGAAACATATAAGGATGTGTAGAGAGAGAAGTTGAAATTAAAATGTTTTCAATATTACTGTTATACACTGTTACAATAAATAATGCTCACTTGGCTTTCATCATTAAAATGAATGCATGTCTCACCACAGTAATGAATGGATCTCCATCTGTACACCTTGGCCCCCACAGCTTGGCAGGCAGATGTGTATGATGTAATAGCCTGACACAGCACATCCTTTCTGCCCTCATACAAGCAAACATCATAAACGCAGTCTTCAAAGTAGCCAGCTGGGTCCACTTTGGCATGGCAGTCACGGAACGGTCCTTTGGGGTCTCTCAACAAACCGCAGAAATCGCCTTTTTCATATTGAACCTTCTGGGTAATGTCACAACTCGGACACACCCCTTTGCAGCCGTCTACGCATCCTGGGATCTCTGCCACTCGCCAGCTGACGCCAAAATCTACTGGTAGGACAGGTTTATCACCGTTCTTTGGGGTCAGATCATCCTGGGGTTTGCCATTGTAGTTGCCACAGAGGCCGCAAACGGCTCCCATGTAGTTGCTTGGCAGCGTTACAAACACAGCACCATACCAGTTAAAGGAAACTTTGAGGCCAAAGTTTGTTTTGACCACAGCAGACCAGCCGCTCTTAAACACAGATACACGTCCATCATCCAGAGTGATAGGCAGGTTGACCAGCTCCTTATTCACCTGGAAAGAAACCGTGCAATTTAGGGTTAATAGAGGTAATCTGAACTGATAAAACTGATTATTTTAGGATTACTTCAAAATCAAATGTTGAAAGTATTGCGAATTATAATAAATAAATAGATAAATAAATTGATAAAATTGACACAGCCACAATATGTTAAGGCACAAACTACATATATACTGTGTGTATTCTCAAACATGTGGGATGTGCTTTTCATTTGTTAATAATATTGGATATCATTACAAAAAGGTCTCATAGTAAAAATTGTCATATTTTGTAGACAAAATCAAAGATGTAATTAAGTCATTTGTACAATTATATTATAATGCATTTGCAGTTTTTCAAATGTAGTCTGGGCGGATTATAGTACATTTTTTGTAATCCAATTAAGTAATTATGCTTACATGTAATCTGTTCCTACCCATAACTGATGTTTATTTGTATTTGTATAAATATTAGAAACAACTTTTCATATAAACAAAATTATGTAGATCTTACCATAATCAGGCCCTTGTGTGTCTTTGTAATGACAATGCTGAGGGAGTGCACCTTGATCTCCACCAACTTTGTGTATGAGACCACCCTGAGGCCCCGGTGATCATTCTGCACCAGCACTTCAAAGGGCACCAACTCTGGGTCCTTGGAGCAGAGTGCAGCCAGTTGGTACACACATGTGCCCTGGAAGTCAAACTTCTTGTTGTCAAAGGTCACGTAATGGGGGTCGCCTGTAGCCTGGCAGGTGCTGTGGGAGACTGCCTGGCACTCTCGGATGCCACCCACCACCTGGCACTGCTGCCCTGCCCTGCAGCCTTTATCCTGGCACTCAACGCGTCTGCTTCCAGCAACGCATTTACACCTCCGCAGACAGCCCTGGTCGGCCCAGAATGACTCCCCAGCAGGGATATTTCGACCCTCATAGCTACAACCACACCTAGCAGCAGGAACACACTGACCTCCGCTCAAAAGAAAGCCTGTGTTACAGGTGCAGATCTCCACACAGGGGCGTTTGCATTTGGAGGATGTATTTGGGTCAGAACAGGTTGCAGGACAGGCGTTGCCGCAGAGCTCGTAGTGGCTGTTTGCTGGACATTTAGCAGCTTGAGAGGGAGACAAAATGTACAGTATAAGATGCGATTAATCCTAGGAGCAAAAGCAAAAAACACAGTTTGTTTATTTGAAGATCCATTAAGTTAGAATTACTTACTACATCGTGCCATCTTCCTCCAATCTTGAACCTGGATCCCAGCAATCTGGCAGGCTTCAGTGTAAGCCTCCAGTGTCCTGCAGAGGAAGTGTCGGAGGCCGCCTCCCATGCATACATCATATTTACAGTTCTCCAGGTATGCTTGTGGGTCAATGACGGCATGACATTTGCTGAATGGCCCATTTATTATCAGTGTGATGAGCCCACAAAACATGTCACCCTCCCACATCTTCATCAGGCTGTTTTCACAGCGCTCACACCCACCCACACAGTCATCTCTGCACACAGCACCTTTCACCGGCACCTTCCAGCTGCTCCCAAAGGCCACAGCCCCCCCCGCCTGGGTACCGGAGGGCGTGGTGAAGTCATCATTGGGGTTATCATTGAAGTTGCCACAGAGACCACAAGTCTTACCGGCGTAACTGCTGGACAGAGTGACCCCAAGATTGTGTTCCCAGTCGTAGCGGACAGTCAGGCCAAAGTCAGTCTCGATAACCACAGAGCGACCGCTCTGAATCATCGTCAGCTTGTCTTTGTTTAAGGTTATTGGCAAACTCCACAAACTGTTGTCAATCTGCACAGAAGAAAATATCTTAAAGTCTGAAGTCATAATTTATTAATACCACATACATAATTTAAACAAATATTCATCATCAATTTAAGTCCAAATTATATTTAAAATATGTATATTTGAAAAATAACAATCTTTTACTGACAGAAATAGGAAGCCTTACCCTCACACGACCCGTCTCAGACCTAACGACTGTGATGGTGACGCCATAAACCTTCACTGTCACCACGGCGACATACGACACCCTGAGGCTTCCTCTGTTCTCATTCTGGGCGAGGACCTCAAAGTCTGGGAGATGGTCATCCTTTCCACAGTTTTTAGCAATAACATATGTGCAGGTACCCATGAAGTCGAAGCGTCGCCCGTCGAAGGTGCGGTAGTGAGGATCCCCCGTGGCCCAGCAGGTGCCAGGCTTCCTTTCCACGGCCTTGGGAACACAGGAGGGAAACCCGCCCTTCACTTCACACACCTCATTGGCACTGCAGGTGATACTGCTGCAGGAAAAAGATCCACTTCCTGGAAAACCATAATTAGTCAACAATTACCCACAACATTACAGTTAAAGAGTAAGGCAAAATATGTCAATGCTCCACTAAGTATTTTGTACATTATACCAATATCTGTTTTTAAATGATTCTATATAGTATGTTCACCTTACCTGGCTGTATACATTGTCCTTGGGCACCATAACCATTCATCTGGCTGACTCCTATACTATAGAGAGCAAAGCGGGAACCAGAGCTGGACACAGTGTGTTTATTGTTGCCGGGGTTTTGCTGGTAGGACATCTCCGCCCAAGAGAAATCTGTCCCTGTAACCTTCTTCCACTCGACATTACGTGGCAGGTTTTTACCATCAATACGCAGCTCTGACATCGCACTGGTCCGTGCAACTATCAGGGCTTTGTTTTCAAAGCCCTCTAGAGCCTCGAGTGAGTAAGAGGAGCAGAAGCGGTCGTTGGACAAGATGGCCATCAGGAAAGGGTCGTAGTAATTGAGCCAGCTCCTTGTGACACCGTTGAAGAGCATGAGGACTTGGATCCCATGATCGGCCTGAATGGACAGGGTTTCAGGATTGGAGGAGTGGATCTCTACTATTTGCCCCCTGACCAAAGTAAACACTTTTTTATTGTTTCCGTGGTGGACAGTGGCTTGGGTGGGCTGCGAGGCCTGGAGGAAGACGCTGTCAAATCTGCTCTGGAAGGTCAGGGGAGGCACAATGAAGCTTGATCCCCATCTGCTAACTGGCAGGAGCTGCTCATAAACATGGTTACATTTGGCAAAGCGCCATGTGCAAGTGTGACCCGTGACAACAGCAACAGGGTGCTGGGAGGCAACTCTGGTACCAGAGAGTTCATAAACACTCTGGAGCTGCACGCTCTCATACGGCTGGAGATGTATCACCATTCGGCTGCCACTCCCATAGACACGACCTTCGAACCTGATGGTGCCGCGTGGGAAAATCTTCAACTTATTGCTCTCTTTTCCATTTGTCACAGAGAACTCTTTGTAGGAGCCATAGGGGGACAAAGCAGGTGTAAAGATGAAATATTCAGTACCCCATTCAGTGGTGGGATATACAACAGAGGTGTCTGCTGTGTACTGCTTGGAGTTAAATGAGGTTACAGATACATCTGCTGAGGCTTCTATGCGCACTGTGTTGGGAGACCTCTTGCTGCCGTACATCTCCACACCAGTAGGGAGACTGATGGTCACCCTTTCTCCGGCATTTAGAGTTTTCTCTTGCTTGAAGTTTAAGGGAGGCACTTTCACTGTCACTTTAGCATTGGCCTGAACGGCAGTGATGTATAGCTGATAATGAGGACTGCCATAGTTGGCAGCATAATTCTGCATGAATGACAGGGCAAACTCCCTCCCTGCCCCTCCAGCATTAGAGGGACCTGAGAGAAGGGAGAAGAGCAGGGAAACAAACTTAAAAAACACGTCAAAAGACGACTTATTTTCACGTAACCTAAAATGAAGTAGTCAGGTACAAAACTGCCTTCACAGATCTCGCATGTGAAGAAAACATGTCAAAGAAGCATTAGGACATGAATGAGACTATTTGTGTCAAGGCAATCAAAGGATTCACAGACTGTCAATACAAAACTTCGCTTGAGATCGCATACACAGTACAAAGAAACACTATGACACCAGAGAGAAAGTGTCTAAAAAACACCTTCATTTCAAAGTTAAAAAAGCAGGAATGAATGCTATTCTATAATGGATGGATTGCTTTTTTCCTTGATAACCATTGTGAGAGATTTAGACTGAGGAATAGTCACTTAACTGCTTCTCAGCAGCACTCAATAAGTCACTTGCGCAGACAATATAATTGCATGATGGAAATATTATCAAAATCTGTGCCTTTGCTGTGAAAAGAACATTTTCTGGGCTCAGCCAGGGCCTGGGGGATTTAGATTACACTCCTGTTTCACCCATTCAGTATAATAGTTCCAACTCAATAGCAGCTGAAGGAAAATGCTATTCCCAACAAAAGCAAATTTCAATTTAGATGGCTATCCTTTATTTGCCGCTCTCTCGAATTCTTCACCTGTTAACATTCTGCTTCATTCACACAAGCACCTGGTATGGCCGCACAACAATGCTCTCAACTGATGGGGTTGACAACCTGGAATTGCTTCAAATTGAGCGATCACTTGGCTACAACGTCCTGCTGGGGAATTCAGCACCGAGGTTCGAGAAATGCTGGTGTGACTGATTAATTTAGCTAAGCTGCGTTTAGTCAGATTTCATAGTTGAAGTCGTGCAGGATTTTTGATTAGAATAAAGAAATATTTGTAATGAGTTTTAAAATGTACGTCGCTTCTATGTTTGTTCAGCTTAAAACTTTAAAATCATGACTAATAAGACATGCACATATACATCAGATTGAAATGAAAATCATTTTCAAGTGGGTCCTGCAACAGTTAGACAAAATTACAAAGATCAGAGTGACTTACAGCTGAGGAAAGCTCCCAAAGCACAGAGCAGCAACAGGATGCCCATGACTGAAAGACAGAAATGCACATTTGTTGTAAGCATTTAAAATGTTTTAAAAATATACAATACATTATTTTCAACAAAAAGCCAATGCAAATAATCTCTATGGCGTGCTTACCTGCTGGAGCATGTATGGCAATTTTGTTTACTGTTCCCTCTTTTTATATACTGTCAGACACAAATCCAACCAATCAAATATCTTGAAGCTCAACCGCTACATCTTGGAAAAACAATACCCTTCCTCCAGAACAAATTAAGGCAGAACTTGGCACAGACCTGCACGTCCTGCTGTATATTGACATAGGTGTGAGGTTTTATGCCAACTTCATGTATGGGACGTATCATTCATCTTTCTCTATTGTTACAACCAGACAGGCACTTCTTTTCAGGAATCTGATAAGAACCCCTGCATGATTTATTTAAATGTATATCTGTAGAAGTATTAAACATACCAAATATTTATTACGGAGAACAAACTCCTCTATGATATATTTTCCATCCTTAAGTAAATGCATTTTAAGATTGAGCATGCCATGATTAAAGTATATTGTAGTTTATTTAACCGCTTTAATCTGCAGGACATTCCAATGCCATTTGATGTGCAACACCATCTGTATTGCATCTTCTGGTCTAACCAAAAAATACATTTTAAGTGGGCAAGGCAATAATGTGATGAGCCCAAATCATATTTCCACAGAGTTTGAGTCAACATCCAGCACTATTTGTATCATATTGCTGTAACATCATAGAATATACGCATTTTCCAACACAGGTTTCTTCTAGTAAATCCGCAGTTGAGGAAACAGAAAATCTGCTGTGATAAAATTACTCTTTAGCAAATGCTTAATGTAAAAAGGTTAAAGTGATGTATCCATTTCCTCACTGTACACTTGATTTTGTTGTAATGCTCTTCTACAACCCAAGTACCAAAGTGTGTATGTCAAGTTTGATCAGTTTGGGAAACCCTCAGTGATCATACCAGAGGCCTGTACTACGAAGCTGGATTTTCGCTTAGCCGGCTAAATTCAGGGAAATCTCGGGCTTTCCGGTCCTACGACGCTGGTTCTCTTTTTAGCAGGCTAGATGTCCATGGTAACTTATGCTGAGCGGCAAACCTGCTCCGGAGCAGGTTAGGTGGCAGGCTAAGAGATCAACTCAGTGAAAGCACCGCCTGCTGACCAATCAGAGCTCCGTGTGCGGAGTTTAAAGCGATCAATTCATATTACAGGATAGAGGAAATACAGAAAAACTGCCGTTGCAGGAAAGACGGCCGTGAAAATTAATAGAATATCCCCTCCCATCTTCAGAGCAATCTGACTATTATAATATTAGCGTTAAGAAAGCTTACTTAAATATCTGCCACGACATAAGTAACCGGATCAGAGTAACATTAAGTACAGTCCGCGGCACTGTGAGTGCAGACGTCGATGTGTGCCATTATCATTCATATCATATCACATCATAATGTATCATATTTCCTTATTTGAGTCAGCTTCTTGAGCCGTATCTGGCCGTGCAACACTCACAGTGTCACATACTGTATGCAGAAGTATTATTTTAAGCAACACATTAAGTTGACGAAACACTCGAGTCAAATTCTCCTAATTAAAGTCAGATCCACTTGTGTCTTGGACGGGGCAGTGATTTCATAAACCTGTTAATGTACGCATTCAAACACTTTTTCTTTTACCAGCTGTATTCACCTTGCAGGTGCAGCTATGTGGCTTTTATCCTGGATAAAGTGTTTAAGACATGGATGTTTAAAGTTTAACTTCTTCATATTTGACTAATATTAAAGTTCACTTTTCATTCAGGAAGTATGACGCTGCGCTGTCAGTACGCTTGTCCGTGTTTGAGATTGGTCGAATGCTCCAAATACCACCCCTTTCATGTGAACGCGCACCTAACTAGATAGGACACGGCTGGCTTGAGCGATCCACTTGATAACCGGCGTCGTAGTACAGTTTAGCGCCAGCGCGTATGTTTTGGCTTAGGCCAACCGGCTAACTCCAACATATCCAGGTTAAGTTGAACCAGCTTCGTAGTACAGGCCTCAGCTACTGTGCATCACATTGATAGCTTACAAGGACTTCACAATGCACAACACACAATTTCTGCCTGTGTTTATATTGTGTTAAGCCATTTGATGCTTGTAAACAAAGACATGTCCCTTGTAATGCTTGAAAAATGGCTGGATAATCCCATGGAACTGATCGATCAAATCTAAATCAACTAATATTTTGCAGAGTGGCAGTAGATGAGCTTAATGGGTGGTTTGTTAGTTTTGTGCGTCACTGAAGAACAGCACATATAAAAAGGGTGTTGCAATCATAAGTGATAGAGAGAAAGTCAATATAATTTGTCCCTCAAAAGTTTGCTTTGGATTAAATAAAATAAAAAGTAATCTCAAATATTTGCTCATGTGGTCAGAAGCACTTTGGTAGGGCATCAGTAAGCCTGGTTTAGTTACTGTACATACTAGGGATTTAGATAAGGTGTGCCCTCAAGCTAATCAACATTGGCCAGAGATGACATTATTTAAAAAAAGGTGCATGGGCCTTTCTGATAAAGGTTGTGCCAATATTGCATAAAAATGTATGAGAAGGGCACGTCTTCCTTCAAAGTTTAAATAACACACTCCATAGCAGTTTTGGTAAATTTGTTTGTATTAAACATTCAACAAAATACAGCTCAGGACATTAAAACTGTCAGTCATCATCCAGGGAAGCCACTGTAAAAAGAGAAAAATAGTTATTAAAACATAATCTACATTAGTAAATAAATACACATGTTTTTGTGGAGTTCATCACTTACCAGCTAGGAAAGTCAGGTAGAACCCATGACCCGACTGAAGTGTGTGAGTGCAGGTCATTAAGGTTTCCACAGAGACCACACAATTTGCCCGAGTACCAGAGAGGGACCTTGACTGTCACCATGGTAACACCAATCTCTATCTCAAGCTCTGACTCCATCCCAGCGTCTCTTCTTAGGATCACTAGAACCTCCGACTTGTCCTGGTTCACTCCAGATGACAGGGACACCCCTGATGGCAAGATGTGAGGGAGGCTCATGAAACGTCCATTCACCTGTGGGGTGTAACAGGGAGTTAGGACAGAAATCTTAAAAATGATAAACATGAAAGTACTTAATGGAGTTATACCTTCACTGTGCCTTCCTGTATGTTAAATGATGTTCCATGCAGGAGGATTTGAAACACAGTGACAAGTCTGGAGCTGCCATCACAAGGCCCATGGTAAGAGATCAGGCTGAACCAGTGCACACTGGCTTTGTCACAGAGAGACATCAGACTGTAAGATGACAGAGGGTCCAAGCTCAGCTGCTGCCCACCGAGGGTGGAGACTTGGAGGCTGCCCCTGAGCTCACAACCTTCAGGTCTGTCATGACAGCCCCAGAAACTGTTCCTCAGAGCACATTGCTGCCCCAGACTGCAGCCTGCCTCCTCACATATCACTCCTCCCAAAGGGTGGCACCAGCATCTCTGGGTGCAGTCCTCGTTGTACACTTGCTCATCCATCTAAGAGGAGAAGAGAAAACAAAACCTGCAGTTGCTGAAATATTCCTTATGAACAGATTAGTGTGTTTTATAAGCTTTTATAGTTACCTTGATATATACACCATGATGAACACATCCACACTGGCTGTAAGGCACACACTCTTCCCCATCAAAGACATTTCCATTGTCGCATTCACAGCCTTCTGAACAGCCCGTTGCTGAAGAACCAGGCTGGAGCACAGCAGGGCACGAGTTGGAGCTGGAGTCAACACACTCCTTTGAGCTGCTGCGGTCAGGACACTGGAGAGCTAATGACAAAAAAAGTCATTTAGAGTGGATCACATACTCCATTTAATGCCAATCAAAAGTATTAAATTACCGCAAGGAGTGTTCACTCTCCAAGTTCCTACTGCTATTCCGTTAGCCTGGCAGGCTGCAGAATATGCTTCTAGTGTTAGACATGCGGCCATGTGCCCTGCTAAAGCACAAACTGCCCTGTTGCACATAAGTGTGTAACTATCACGCTCCACATCGGCATCCCGGCACTGGTGGAATTCAGTAGTATTGATAAACAGGCCATCGCAGACCATGGTGTCGTGTGGGGACAGTCTGCACTCATCGCACTCTCTGCCACAGGTGTCTGTGCAGAGCTGCCCTGGAGCGGCCCAGCTGTGCAGGAGCTCTGCGAAGCTCTCGGACAGACTGCCATTTCTCAGTTCCAAGTCATCATACTTGTCTCCATTGAAGTTCCCACAGAGGCCTGAAGCTGTGGCGTCATTTACTTGAGGTACAGTTAACCTGAGGTATTGGGTAGATGACAAGTCAATCCCCACCCCGGACGGTGTGATGATAATCAGTCTGTTGCCATCTTGGTAGGCTTTAAGTTCACCAATGTCAAAAGGCACTCTGCGTTCTTCTCCGTTTACCTGAAAACACAGACACCAGTTAAGGCTGCAGAGATTTTTTTTTTTATCTTGAACAAATGTATAGTTTACAGAACTTACTTTTACTTTCCAAAGAGATTCAGGGTCAATAGATACTTCCAATGATGGCAAATTAAATACTACTTTGCTAATGGTGAAAATGCCCTTGTCCTTAAAGCTAAGAAGCAGAGAATAATCATGCAAGGCTTTAGAGGAGAGGGCAGATACGACATAGGTGCAAGCTCCGTGGTGGGGCAGAATAACACCATCAAAAGTGATGTAGCCAAAGCCAGCAAACACTTGGCACACCCCGTACTTCAAGGCAAGGCCATCCTTTACTGAACAGCTTTCCATGGGGCTACACGTCACCACACCTCTTTGGCAGTCACACTTTTGGCAGCTTTTCTCAAAAATAAAGTGGCCAGTAGGGCGATACTGTCCCTCGTGCACACAGCCACAGTCAGAAACCGGCACACACTGGCCATCACTCAGGACGAAGCCAGGGTCACACTGGCAGCCTTCCTCACAAACGCCGCTGCAGTTTGCTGGGGAGGAGAGTCCGAGGCACACAACAGGACACCGAGGTCCACACAGCTCATAGTGGCTATTCTTGGGGCATGACATACCTGGGGGAAGAGAGTAAATACATCTTACTTCAACTTTATTTTTTTAACATTAGCCCACACAAAATCCCTACCCCCTGTGCAATAATAATCAACCCACTGACTAAATGTAATGCAGTGCAAAGACACGTTTACATGTGGGATAGACAAAAACCTTATCAGAAAATAATTGCTGTGCATCTTCCATTAGACAATAGTAATGGTGTAGTCAAAAGTTTTGCCATAATCACTTATGTGTCAAACAACTACACAGGGCCCTAAATGAGCTGTACAGTATACATGTCAAAGTGTTATTCACTTCTGGTGTGTGCGTGTTTGGTTATATTCCAGGCTTCAGCAGCAAAAGCTGCCAAGTATAAAATGTTTATGAAACGCTTGAAGATGTAGTTAAAATAAAAGCCTATCATTAAAAACCGAATGAAAGATACTCACCACAGAAAGTGTCACTCCTCCAATGCCTGACTGGCAGCTGCGCTACTTGACAGGCATCAGCATAAGACGCAATGGATTTGCAGAGTGCCGAGTAGTGTCCGTCAAATGAGCAGGAATCTGTTACACAGTTGTGGAAGTAAAGCTTTGGACTTAATACCAGAGCACAGTCTGCAAATGGCCCTAGCTCATTTAACAACACCCCACAGAAATCGCTTCCTTCAAACAGCTTCTGTGCCTCAGCAGGACAATGCTTCAGTCTGGAGGAACAGTTGGACTTGCAGGCATCTGATCCCGGAGATATCCAGCTGTGCGCAAACTCCAGTCGATTTTGTGCAAGCTCTTCATTGGGCATCATTAGGTCATCATGAGAATCAGTGTTGGCATTTCCACAAAGACCAGAGACGGAAGAGCCATAACTGCTGGGGAGGTTAACCCTTAGCGTGCCAGTATTGTAGACAATCAGCTGCAATCCCACATCAGTGTGAATAATGATAGACGAAGGTGTGCGGTAAGCATAAACATGGCCTGTCAGGTGAGAGTATGGCAAGGCCTTATACTGTCCATCAACCTGAGAATGAAAAAGAAACACAAATTAGAGTGGTTCATTCTGAAGATTGTGTTGATAAGACATTGCAAAGCACTCACCATAAGCTTTCCTGGCTCATCTTTTCTCACCACCAACTCCAGACCATACATTAAGAGCGTTAAATCAAGGCTATGAAAAAGTCTTTTGTGGCAACTTGCATCAGAGATAGTGATATTGAATGGTGTTACTCCAGTTAGGTTGGCTTTGGTTTTAACCAACGAATATGAACAGCTGTCTCTAAAGTCAAAATGACGTCCATCAAAGGTTGTAAAATGCAGCCCAGTAATAAGGGTACAGTTCTTGGGGTCATCAGGTTGACACAGCCTCTTGTGCTGTAGTTGCTTGCAGACCATTCCTCTGGGGCACTGGGCTGGGCGACAGTGCATCTCACCAGTAGCCGGTCCACATATGCAGATCTGACCACAATCGTCTGGCGACCAAAACGTTGAGTTAAGGTTTTGATATTTGCCTCTGGAGTCTGTGCAGCCACACTGATGTGGGCGCACACAGCCAATTTGACTTGTAATGAAACCAGGGTTACAGAAGCAGCCCTGAAAGCAGGCCTTGTTACAGAAGGTGGCATTAAATTCACAGGATGGAGGGCAGGCCGAGCCACAGGTCTTGTAGTGAGTGTTTGGTGGACAGTGCACATCTGAAAAAATGTATTGAAGTGTCAGTCAAAGATTAAATCACAATATTAATTTAAGAACGACTACTTACCAACTATGACTCCATCGTTGTATTTTCTGGTTGCTTCACAGACTAAGGAATATGAATATATTGCAGGCTCAAGAGAAACTTCTGACCGTCCGTTTTGCACGTGGTCAACTACACAACTTTTGTAGAAGGAATCTGGATTGACTCGACTGTGACACTGGGCAAATGGACCAGTCTGATCTGTGAGCACTTCACACGGCCTCCAGACGTCGTCAAAAACAGAATCTGCAAGCAACTTCTCATGGTTCACTTTATGCTTGCAGCCAGTACAACACTTTTGGTCCCCATCAAAGAGTTGGTAAGCCTGTGCAAAATCCACACTTTTCTTATTGGTAACGGAATCAGGATATTCATCTTGAGGCTGGCCGTTAAAATTGCCACACAGCCCATACACTTCGCCCTTGTAGTGAGGTTCCAGTTTAACAAGAACAGTAGAGTTTTCATCAAAGACTAAATGCAAACCAAAGTCAGTTGTCAGCAGGGCTTTGCCTTCCCAGTGGGACAATTGAATCTTACCCCCTAAAATATTAACAGGAATATAAGTCACTTGACCATTAACCTGTAAAAAAAGAAAAGGGGAGCCGTATAAGTGTTAAAAGTCAAACTTGAGCAGCATTCATTCAATAAATAACTAAGATTTACTTACATGTATGCTGCCCTTTTGACTGCCAAGCTTGATGATGAACCCATAAGCATGTAGAATGATGCCACTACAGCCTTTCTTGGAGACACTAAAGGGCGTCAGGCCGCATGCTGCTCCTTTGCTGGCTGCAAGCAGATAAGTACAGGTACCCTCAAAGTCATAGATTAGCCCATCAAATGTTTGGTAGTGCCGGCCTCCCCAGGCCCAGCACAGACCCTGACGACTCTCACAGACGGGCACACCGTTGCTCAGGTAACATTTCTCAGTTGTATCACATTTTCCCTCGCATGAATCTGGGTTTTGCAAAAAAGAAAAGAAAAATGTAAAAGATTTAACAGTACGAAAATGTATAAATGCATCATCAAGCAAATCTGCATCTAATGTATGGTTCGTGAATTTAAATTCTCACCATTTTTGTGACAACCTTCAATTCCATCTGAAACTAGACAACTGTGCAGTGCAGGACATGCGTATTGCTCGCAGACAAGAGGAGGCCCGCAGGTGCATTTTACAGTACAGTTTTGTAGCAGTTTGCTCTCAGAGGCCTGAAAATGGAAATCACATGAAAAAAAAGTCAATAAAACAAATTTGGAGTGCGCACATATTTTATAAATAAAAATATATTTCAAACAGAAAATAGCCTTATTAAAAAAGTGTTTAGTTCTGACCTTAAACCTACTCCCATCCTGTAGGCAGCCACACTGCTCTGCTGATACACAGGTATGGCCATCATAAAGGTGTCCAGTATCACACTGGCAACCTTCCTCACAGTCTCTGGGGCACAGCACTTCCAGGCTGATCTCAGGACACTGTGAGGAGCATATATTGGTACAGTTGCTGTAGTGGCTGAATTGAGGACATTGATAAGCTGTAAAATAAAAAGACTTAATCAGTACAACATTTTCCTCCATTCAATCATTTGATAAGTTATTAATTCAACAGTGTCCCAATACTTACCACAGCTTGTCGTGTTCAGCCAGAGCTCAACCCTCCCCCCTGCCTCATTACATGCTGCATTATCCTGCAGCACATCACACAAGGCCCGGCGTCGACCTTCTGCAACACATAGGGAGTAGTATTTCTGTGGGCACACTAACTGGTGACAGGAGAACGGTCCCCTTGGATTGGGGATAAACCCGCAGTTCAGGTCAGAGGAACTTTCACATTCTTCACTGCAGGGTAGGTCTGCATTAAACAACTTCCATGACAGCCCAAGGATGTCAGGGTCAGAGATCACTGTGCCATTAGGTAGCTGCAGATCATCAGAGGGATCGTCATTGTACTTCCCGCAAAGGCCACAGGTTGTCTGGTAGTAAATGGCAGGCATCTTGACCAGAATGTAGTTTTGTAGGTCTGATGTAAGCTCAACCGACTGTGGGGTCTTGATGGTTATCCCTCCATTTCTCTGATGTACAGTGATGTTGCTCTGGGAGAACGGCAGGTTTTCGTAAACTCCATTTACCTGGGTGAAATAATTCACTTGTGAAAAACATATCTTACAGTAGTTTGTATTATGTGAAAAATTACTTTGAAGTGCATAAGAGACGACAATAAATCATGTTGAAGGCTGTGAAATCATTACCTCAACTTTTCCAGGAAAAGCCGCTGACGTCCTTAGTTGCATTTTATTGACTTGCATGTATAGCTGCCTTCCCTCACTATAGTTGCCCATTGCAGCTATCAAAATAGGCTCTACATCCAGTTTATCGAGGCATGTCTGCACAAGGGTGTAGGTACATGAACCATGAAATTCAAATGCATGTCCATCAAACGTGGTGTATTGGTATCCCTCAACAGAGCACTGTGCTACTTGGGGTTTTGGGTGGCAACCTTGAACACCCCTAATAAGCTTACACTCCTCATCCTCTCCACAGGAGACATTACGACATGTCATGTTTCCCCCGGGGTGACATAAACAGCTTTGCTTGCATGTAGACCACTCCTGTCCTGCGGTTAAGTATTCTCCATGGTGAAAGCAGCCACAGTTTTGTGGAGTGACACAAAGGTTGCCACTGTGAACCAAACCGGTCTCACACAGGCAGTTCTCCGCCATGTTTAGAGGCATCTCTACCGTTTTATTCTGCCAGCCGAGGCAGAGGTGAACAGAGGCAGAACTTATGTTGTAGCTGGTGCTTGTGGGACACGACGGGTCTGTAGAGATACAGAAAGACACCAGTCACTCAGGACAGGAAGACAGGAAAACGGTGTTAAGGTTAGGGTTGACCAATGATGCATTAGTACCATCTAGTGGTCCAGTAATACCGGGAAGGTTGTGGCCTCAATACCAATATGAGTCACAAAACACTAATTCTTTGTACCAACAAAACTAAACAAGCTAGCAACATTACATCTGATTTTTATGAAAATATTCACGTTCTTATGCTGCCGGTTCAAACAACAATGCAAACTCCATATTTCATTTGCTGTGCAATGATGCTGAACTTTAAACAGCTCACACTATTGCAGAGTATATTCATTTAATTCACTTTCACATCTGGGAGCACAATGATACTCACAGCAGAATCCAGGACTCCTCCAGGCAGAAACGGTAGCATTGTGGGAAAGACAGACAGCAGCATACTCAGCTAGGGAGTGACAGAGTGCAGGCTGGAGACCTTCGTGAAGACACAGGTCACTGACACAGCGCTTGTAGTAGCTGGATGGGTCCACTTTACCATGACACTGTCTGAATGGTCCATTAACTTCCAGAATCTTCCCACAAGACTCCGGGTCAGAGAAGCGAACCAGAAGCTCTGATGAACATTTTGGACAACTTCCTCCTAGACAGCCCTCCACACACCAAGGAGTCTGCCCACTTCTCCAAGCTTTCCCAAAGTGCTTGGGAATGAGAGGCTCCTGTGTGCCATTTACTGCGAGGTCATCAGCAGGATCAGAGTTGAAGTTGCCACACAGGCCGCAAGTCACATTAGCATATTTACTAGAGAGACTAATGCTGACGATGCCTTCTATGCTGAGACTCAGTTCAAAGCCCATTTCTGTGTAGATGTAAGTGTGCAGCCCTAAAGAGAAGGCCAGTGCAGTAGAGCTGAATCGATATGGCATGTTCCTCTTGACACCATCAACCTGTAGGGGGGGCCAACATTGCATTTGAAAGTCAGGACTGGGCAGTACACTTTCACAGGTAATCTCTGTAATGTCTTGTTTAATTATTAGACAATTCGTTTTTTTAAACATTAGAGCCAAAAAGAGACTGACATGATTACAAAAAAAAGAACACTTGAACTCACCTCTATGCTCTTGGTGTTTTTTCTGTTCAGCTCCACAAGCACACCACTCACATTGACCAGGAGATGAAGAGCTGACTCTAGGTGTCCATCTGTCTGTGCGTGAATCTGAATGGCACTGAGGCCTTGTTTTTCTGCACACATGCCCAGTAACTGGTACTGACAACTGCCATGCAAATCATAGTTATGCTGGTCAAAGGTGACTATGTGATGAGCAGAGTACATACATGTCTGGAGGGCGTGAGGCACGCAGCCTCTCACTCCATATTGAAGACTACAGTATTCATTCGGGCCACAAGAATCCAAATGGCACTGTGTCTGGTGCGTGTTGGGGTCACAAACACACAGTTCAGTGCATCTCACATCAGCCCAGAAGGTCTGGTTGCTGCGGTAATGTGAGCCATTGTGAGTGCAGCCACACTGGGACAAGGGCACGCAGCTGTCAGCAACCAGGACGAACCCTGGATCACACTGGCAGGTCTCCACACAAGCTAGGGTGCAGGGTCTTGATCTGAAGGGATCCTCACAGGTGGCAGGGCAGGATGAGCCACAGGAAGTATAATGGCTATTCCGTGGGCAGGAAATGGCTGATAGAAAAGAAGGAGAATGATCAAAATTGTGTGAGAAAATCACTTGTGTAGTTTTGAGATTACTATAAAGTTATTGTTTCATGGTAAGAAAAATGTGCTTACGGCAGAAGGTGACATTCCTCCACTCTCCCATCTTGATCCCGGCATTTTGACATGCAGCAACATAAGCTTCCAACACAGGACAGATAGTCTTCTGAGTGTCATTACTAAAGCACAGGTCAAACATGCTCAAAGCTGCAGAGATTTTAGTGTAGTTTACAACTTCCCGGCACTGGTAGAATGGATTTTGTGGCGACCAAATATACTCATGCATAGATATCCAGCGAGTGGCTACATCTTTCTCCAGAAGCTGCTCAGCAGAGCAGCGTGGGCATGCATTTCCACAATCTGCTGTGCACTGTGCTTCCTGATCAGGAACTCTCCAGCTCCAGCCAAAGGTGGTAGCATCAACAGGCTCACCCTGTGGGGTTCTGAGGTCATCTTCCTCGATGCCATTATTATTTCCACACATGCCATAGACTTCCATTGTATTAGAGAGTAGGATAGTGGCAACATGAGAGCAGTCATACTTCACTTGGATGCCAAGACTCGTATCCACAACAACAAATATGCCACTCCGATAAATCTTCACATGTCCAAACTGTAGAGTCACAGGTAGTAGCTTTTTCTCACCATTCATCTGTGGATCACAAATATTTGAAGATAAAGAATGCATTTTCATGCAATTGTTTAATCTAAAAATGGCCATATACTGTAGTAAAAATAACATTTTCAAAGTAAAATCACCAACTGACAGCAAGGCAAAAAAGGTGCTGTGACTGTTTGCATTTCCTAATTTAAACTTACCCAAGCATGGCCTTTTTCCCCTCTGTAGATAGTAACATTGTCTTCAGCCACCTTGACATGAATAGCTTTGAGAGAGGAAGCCTCGTTTGGGGTCCTGTCTTTCTCTACCCCGACCCAAAATGTTGTATTCTCACTGGTGTCATTCAATACATGGACCAGAGTGTAGGTACAGTTTCCAAGGAATTCAAACACCTTTCCATCAAAAGTGTAGAAGTGTGCACCTCCAAGTACCCAACACTGGGTTTGCAGAGGTTCGCTAACACACGTCTCTCCATCTTCACAGATTTTGGTATTGTTATCTGAAAGAGTAAGGGGGAGTAGCAGATTAATGGCAGTTTAGGTTCAAGACACATGCAGCTATGTGTCATCCGAGTTTTGAATTAAATGGAAATATTCCACAAGTTAAAAAATAAATAAAATTGCCCATGACGCCATCAGATCATTTGTGATACATCACATTGTAATTGCATGTCATAGGCTTGTTAGGCAAACTAGTGAAAGAAGGATGCAGTATTACTTATGAGTGGCATGCATTATAATCATTGTCAAGAGGAGAATTAAGTACTTAATGGACTATTGAAAAGGTTTAGGGTTTAACCGACTTTTAGTAATATGATATAACATGCGATATTGCTAGACCAATAGTGTCACATTGTGCAGCTGAGAAAAACAACAGTTAGCCAGTGAGGACATGTCACCAATCCCAGCAAAACCAGCTGGGCATACCTTTCTTTGCACAGCCCCAGGTATTAAGAAGGGTGCAGCTCTCTCCCTTGGGGCATGAGGTCAGCTCACAGCACATGTCTGCAGCAGCAGAGCAGTTGCACTGCTCAGAGCATCCCTCACCCCATGAAATCTCCCCAATCTACAGAGAAAAGTGAGTCATTGTTGTGTTAGCCAACTGCAGTCTGAAACACAGCACACAAACAAACCAGGAAAACACATCATGTCATAATGAGTCATGGTAACATTGCATGGAAATACTAGGGCATGCCATGTTATTTAGCTCAACTGTGGAAACCTGTTCATAACTGCACCTGCAGAAGAGTCACATGTACATTTGCAAAACACCAATAGGTTTATTAGAAGTCAAACTAATCCGTCCGTCAATTTACATTTTAAATGAAATTTAAAACGATTTTAAATGAATTGCTTGGGTAAAGGAAAATGTTGTTGTACAGTAAGCTTAATGTGTAGCTACTCACCTCATAGTAGTGCCCAAGGTGAAAGCAACCACATTTGTCAGCTTTGACACAGTCATTTCCACTCCGCATGTATCCAAAATCACATTGGCATGCCTCAGAACAGGCCCATGGGCAGGGGATATTAGATAAAATACCACAGGACTCAGGGCATGCACTGGCACATATATTATAATGTGAGTTTTCAGGGCATAAGAGTGCTGTGAAGACAAACAAACAAAAGTTTCTATATTGTAAAGTGTCCAGCTAGCCTTACATCAATCTGGCAACTTCACTGTGTAGAGATGCCAGAGTTCTAAAAAGGTACAAGAGAAGCATGTGTGCAGACCTGATTTACATGCACATGATAACAGACTGATGAAACAACACATGTACACGTATCAGAGTCTCAATTAATAATACTCACAGCACTTCGCTCCCCTCCATGGTTTGGTCTCAGCTCCTGCCTCCTGGCATGCTAAAGCATAATGTCTCAAACTACTGCAAAACAAATCTTCTTTCCCATTAGACAAACACAAGTCATTCACACAGTTTTGAAAGAAGGGCTCTGGGTCCACAGCAGAGTGACATTCACTAAATGATCCTGCAGGAGCAAGCAGCATGCCACAGAAATTAGCAGATGCATATTCAGCTGCCATGGTAGAGTTGCACTCCAAACAAAGATCACATTCTTTAGAGCAGTTTGTTCCAGGTGGGGAAAGTGACCAGGAAGATGCAAAGATGGAAACATCACTTGCAAAGCTGTCATTCGGGAGCCGCTTGTCATTTGTGACAACAGCACTGACGTTTGCACACAAGCCACACATTTGTTTACTGGAGGCTGGAATCACTATACGTATCAGATCAGGTGCTCCATATGTGACAACAACCCCTGTGTCTACAACAATACGAGAGAGCAAGCCAGAGTGCAGTATTGCAATGTGATCCAGAAGGACAGGAAGACTTCTCAAAACACCATCAATCTGAAAAATGTAAATGTCAGAGTTACAATCTAGGCAAATTAAACAGTTTACTTATGTTAGTACATGTGCAGCTGCTTACCTTTACTTTTCCCAACTGCGCCATCTCCAAAGACACGTTGACCCCAAGGACCCTGAGGTGCAGCTGTTCTCGCTGGATAATCACTGTGAGGTCAGACTCTTCCTCTTCACACACCTGGGATAGAACATAACGGCAGCTTCCAATATTAAAGTCAAAGCTTTGTCCATCATAGCTTCTGAAGTGTCTGCCACCCATGACTGCACATTTAAAGGGCTGCAATGCATGACATGCCCTCTGGCCATCTTGGATGCCACATTTTGTTTCATTTGGACATGTGTGGTTGGTACATTGCACTCTCTTGTGGCCCACACAGACACAGTGCAGCTGACAGTGATCATCAGGGTAGAAGTTCTCATGGATTTCGTAATAGACATCATTGTGAATACAGCCACACTCAGAGTCTGGTACACATTTCCCACCACTGTGGAAATACCCAGGTTTGCAGAAACAGCCCTCTTTGCATTTCCCCGCTAGTGGACTTGGGTTTTCTACACAGTCGGATATTTGACTGGCACAAAGGCTGTACTCACTGTTAGGTGGACAGGAGAGGCCTATGGAGGGACAGTAAGAGAAAAAAGACAATTAAAGTCAAAATATTCATATTCAGTACACATTTAAAGCATATCATGGTTGCTTACCACAAAATGTGAAAGTCCTCCATTCATTCACTTTTGCTCCCATTTCTTGACACACAGCAACATAGCTGGACAGAATCTGACACAGGGAAGTCTGGTTACTATAACAGAAGTCTTGAACGCAGTTGTTGTAGAAACCTTCTGGATCAACCATTTTGTGGCAGCTCTTGAACATTCCCTCTTTATCCAGTAACCTTGCACAGAAACCTTGTCCCTCATAGAGAGCCATTTCTTGTGAATTGCAACCCGAGGTGTTCACAGGCACATCCACACACTCATGATCACTGCTGGTTTTCCAGTGTCTAACGGCTTGAGAGATATCAGAGTCGTCATCAGGCATCACATCATCTTCTGGATTAGAATTAAAGTTCCCACACAGGCCACAGAGATTACCAGAGAATTTCCTTGGCATCTGGACGGTCAGAATATCAGAGCTGTACATTACAACTACACCAAAGTCCGTTTCTATAAACTTTGTCTGTCCAGTCATGTAAAGCTTCACTTTGCCACGGCTCAATATGGATGGGAGACGCAGCAGGAGACCATTTACCTAAATTAAAAAAAAATGATTAAAATCAATGATAATATAAAACAACTAATTTGGTATACATGCACCAGGGAAAATAAATTAACTTACCTCAACTCTGTTACTGGGATCATTTGACATCTCAATCGAATAACCAGAGACTACCATTTTAAGATGCCGAAAGGACACAATATTTGTAGCATCTTTTATCTGGTTCTGGATCTCTACACTGAAAGCTTCCATGTCCCCCCAGGTCGGACAGAGAGAAGTGAGAAGGTAAGTACAGTTTCCATACACATCAAAGTTACGGCCGTCAAAGGTGGTATAATGAGGATCTACTTTGGCTATGCACAGCCCAGGCCCCTCAGCGTGACAGCCCATGACTCCGTTCACAACCTTGCACACTTCTCCATCATCCTGGCATTGAGACGGAGAACACACGACTCTCTTGGAGCTCGACTGGCAGACACATCTCTCCTGGCAGTGTTTGCCCATCCAGAAGTTCTCCTTGGGGTAGTAGTAGGAACCTTGGTGAAGACATCCACACTTGCCATGTGGTACGCACTTCCCACCACTCAGCAGATACCCTCTGTTGCATTGGCATGATTCCACACAAGGCAGGGTGCAATTACTATGTGCTTCTGGGTTTCCACAGGTAGCAGGGCATGCAGAACCACATATTCCATAGTGGCTGTTCAAAGGACATATCATAGCTGTAAAAAAAAGGAAATACCCCTTAGCCATTTTCAGTTAACCCATTTATAGACTTAAAAAAAATATATATCTTAAACTCACGGCACTTGGCGATGGTTCTCCAGTTTCGGACTCTGGCCGATATCCTCTGGCAGATGTTGGCATAGTCTGTCAGGATCTCACACATAGAAGAGGCAGATTCATTGAGACACAAGTTGTTAGTACAACTACGAAGAAATGGCTCAGGATCAACCAATGAGTGGCAATCTGCAAACGGTCCACCGCTACGCTTCAGTAGGGAGCACCCAACACGAAGGGAGTTACCGTTTATGTCAGGAAATTTAGTTTGGCTTCTAGTACATACTGGACATGAGGCACCAACACAATCTTCAATACAGGAGCCGGCACCGCTTTTCACTACCCATGGGAGGGTCAAATCTGCAGTCAGGGTCTTAATAGTGCCATTAGAGTCAATGACACTATCTGAGAAGCTGCGATTAGCATTTCCACACAAACCGCACAGGGCTCCATACAGCTCTGGGCCTACTTCAACTTGGAGATGCTGCTTCCAGTCATACCACAGAGCCAAGTCGAAGGCAGTGTCTAAGACAACGCTGGAACCACTTTGATAAAAGTTCAGGGAGCCATTTCCCAAGGTGAGCGGCAGGTTCCTCATCTGTCCATTAACCTACAGGTTTAAATACAAAAACAGACAAAGTAAGTGACCACTTAACAGCTACAAAACATTTGTTAATATAAGTAAGTAAAGTACACTTACCCTAACATGATTTTTGTCTTCTTTAACTATGGAGATATTAAAGCCCTGGATGCTTATCTGCACTGTGTGGATGGTTGGGACAGTGGCACTGATTAAATATGTTCGGACTATATTAATCTGTAGTGGAACAGAAACATTTAGGCCTGGACAGGTGGTCTGAACTAAAGTGTAGTTGCAATTTCCCTGTAGGACAAAATCTCTTCCATCAAACGTGCGGTAATAAGAGTCACCCCATGCAGAGCATATTTTAGTATTGAGAGAGCAGAGTGGTTTTCCTTCTTCGATAGAGCAATTCTGTTTGAAACCACAGTGCAACTCTTCACAAGAAGCTGCAGCTTTAAAAAAAAAAAAGAAAAGAGGAAGGTTATTACATATTTGCATAGTGTTACACAGAAAATACAAATAAATCCTTTATACATACTTTTCTCACAAAGTGCAGAATAGAGATGTCGGTCTAAGGTACTCAGATAGTATCCCACATCCTTGTCTGTGTAAAGAGCGTCTGCATTATCAGGCAGCTGAGGAAAGGTGGGCTTCTGGGAGGATTTAACACCAGACTTCAAATCTCCTATGTCAGTACTGTTAACTCGCTGCTCACCCATATCACCTGACTCAAACATAGGTACAGTCTGGCAGATATCATCAACAGATGGCAGTACTGTTAGAGTTAAAGGCCGCTGTGCAGGGTCATGCCTGAAGAAAAGTAGTTGTAGAGGACTGTCACTAGTAATGAGGATTTTATCTGAGGTTGCAACTGGGATGACCTTCATAACGCCACCGACGAGAGACACTGTGTTTTGATTGGTTCTGGCATTGATGCCCAGGTCAGAGTTGATAGTAGACATTGCCAAGAGGAAACTATAACTCATTCCTGTGTTTACCAAGGGAGGAATAATGTAATCGAAACCCCAGTGTGTGACTGGTTTCAGGTCAGCATATCCAGAAAAGCAATCGCCAGTTGTGCGTTTGGAACAGGTAAAACCAACCACAACACCTACAGCTTCTTGCGAGTTTAACTCTGAGCCAGAGAGGCTGGAGTTGCTCTGGAGGTAAACACTCTGCAGCACCCCTATATACAATTTAAGGACACTACCCCTTTGGTACATATTGCCTTCATAAAGTACTTCCCCCGAGAGAAATATATCCACTGACGTCGCCTGGTCTGAGCTGGTGATCACCAACTGGCTGACAGAAGTCTGGTTAGGGAAGTTAGGAGTAATGGGATAGTACTGGGTACCCCAGGAGTACACATCATGAAGGAGGCTGTGGTCACAGCCAGCCCGGGTACACAGGGAAGTGATGACTGTAATAGGCCATATAGACTTCACACTGAGGAGGGATGAGGAGCGGTCACTGGTCATTCCCACAGACAATGGCAGGTGAATCCTCTTTGACTGGTGAGCAGAGAGGTAGATGCGTTGCACGAAGCTGCTTTCCAGGACCTTTACAGTGACAGAGGTCCGAATACCACTGGCTGTGATAGTTACTTGATGGCTAACATTTCCTGTTGGTCCATTATGCGGGGGTAGCCCAATCAGAAACCTCCTCCCAGGACTTGCAACGGACAGGCCTGCAGAGGAGAATATAAAATAGTTTTCCATTTAATTTAAATCAATACAAAACATATGCACACAAATAACATTACAACTGCCTGAAAATGTGCACATAGTGTATTATAAGAAGATTTACAAACAAAAGATTGTCTACTGACAGCAGTTGATTATTTTATGACAATAAACAACACACTTGCACTAAAGAGCAGTGAGCAAGTTTGCACAGTAAGTCCATTTTTTTCTACGAGATAAGACTGGAGGTGTCAGATTTCAACAAGATCAGCAGCCAATGAAGAACATAGTTCCCATTTCCTGACTGGTTACACCTGTATTAACGTGCACACTCACTCTGGCAGTTTCCATGATAACAAGGATCCTGGTGTCTGAGAAACAACATATCAGCAGTGAAGAGAGAAAACTCTGAACAGCTCATTGAAACGTAAGTTCAATTATTCTTTTTCTAAACATGTATGAGGTCACTTGCATTAAACTACTTAGGATTCCAACAAAACTATGTTAATGTTTTAAGGGTTGTCTTAGCAAATACTAAGTTAGCATGAAACTTAGTTAGCATGAAACTTAAAGAGATCTTTTTAAGTCTGTCATGATATATTTTTCCTACACAATTACAAGGTCCAAAAACAACATCTTGATATCTATAGAAACATTGAAAAATAATGCGGTTTCAAAATGTGTTTTAAACGTTGTTTATTCTGCGTTTTAGAGTCAGTAATGATAACTGTACGGTTAGAATGTAAACCAATGATATTGAGATTTTAAATATCAGTTATCAATATTACTTTATCATATATTTAAACGCATAGCAATAGCATTGTGACAAAAAAAACGAGTCAGATTATTGTTGTAGTGTCACCTTTGTTTGTTACAAGCAATCAGAGGTGGAAGAAGTACTTAGCTCTTTTAATTATGTAAAAGTAGGAATACCATGATGTAGGAATACTATTACAATCATTGATGCCAAAATGTGTATAGCAAAGCTGGTAAAAGGTGCAGCTAGTTTTAATTACTTTGTATACTCACTTAACTAGTAACTAAAAGGTATTGCATAAATATAGGGGAGTAAAAGTACAACATTAACCTCTGAATTGTAGTGAGGTTTAAGGCGAGACACGGCAGGCAAAAACATCGTTTTTCAAGCACTTGTACATTTTGAGATTTTGTGCTATTTTGATTCTATAACATGTTTTCTTTCAGGCTTTTGGAAGGAAAACGTACAAAATACACATTTAAGTGTTTATTTTTACTATAGTTTGTCTATTTGTACAACGTAGCAGAAAATAAAAGTACAAGTTCCTCTAAATTGTACACAAGTAAACATATTTAGCTACTTTACAGCACTGCAAGCAATGATGTATTTTAAAAATATAAATCACATCCCAATGCAGACTAAAGAAAATGTCTCAAGACACCAATTATCAACCATAATTCCCTTCAGCAATGAATGGATTAGTATCTTTTGTTGTTACAAGGGCAGAGACATAGCCATACCCAGCTCATCACTCACAACTAGACAAAGAAAGGGTAGACAGCAGAACTGTGTTGAGACTTGAGTGTTTCAGGTGTAAGAGGAATAACCGAAAGCAAGTGTGCTGCAAATATTGAGAGAAGTAATACAAGTAAAAATGAACATAGCTGAGTGAAGAAAGCACATACATGCTGGGAAAAAAACTCAGGTTATACCCATTGTGCAAATAAACGATGACTCGATTTTAAACACGCGTGTAGGCCTACCTACAAACAATAGCCCAGTCATGTCACTTACCAAGTCCAAGCAGGCACACCTGGAGCAGCAGCAACAACTGCATTACTGCACAGAAAAGGGACACTCTTACATGAATTAAACAACTAGAGCAATTCGTTTTAAATGAGAGGAAAAACCCAAATCGAATATTAGGGATGAGCTAGCGCCACACTGCTAGCAACGAGGGAAAGGTGGTTAAGATATAGCCTGTTAGCACACCTGTAGCCAATCAAGGAAAACGGGTTGACGTCACTATATTGACTAATTGTAACCGCCAGGTGATCTGCATTATCATTAAATAGCAACATGCTGTAGCGTTGTTTTGTTTTTTATTATTTAAATTATTAGGTATCTTTTTTAGGTTTTACTCCGGTTCAAATAAAAACGCAATCACCCATCATTACTAAATGTCATCCTAAATCGTTACATTATTTGGCACATATCACTACTTCAGTGTTATCGCGCCCCATCACCATCTAAGCCGTTTTCAGGAAATTGTCGTGACAGCAGTTCTCACACAGACACATGGAGGTTTTTTCCGCAGAAGCAACAACAACTTGACAGAGACACTTTAAGGGGCAGTTCAGCGCTTTGTGAGGTGGCTGTGAATCCCCTTGTATGCTAAGTGAGAATAGAGTTTCCCTGAAGTTCACACAGCAGCACATATCTTTTCCTGTTAACGAGTCTGCTCCGTTCAAATCATCTCCTCGAATGACTAAGGCTGTGGTGAGTGTGTCAAATGTTGTGCAGAGCTGAAGAAATGTCACTCAATATTATTTGGAAACGTACAGTATATTCTCTAAACGGAGCAACGTAACACATTTTACAATACAACCTGTATTATTTTAATTGTTGTCAATTCTTGGCTGCAATGTAACAACCAGCAATATTGACTTTTATCACATTGGTGTGTAGCTTGCAGGTCAACTTCTTCGTGCTTAGGCTATACCTCCTTTTTTTTCTCAGCATTTATCACAAAGTTCACCAACGTTAGTGTTATTACCTGCTGCATCCTATCATTCTCAGTGTAACTCTCATGGACAGGGATTTCTAAACAACAGTTCATGTATTTATAGACTGTAACTTGATTTCCATTCAATGTATACACGTCATCCTTGAGGAAGCAGGAAGCAGGTAGCAGTAGGTGAGGGTCGTGTTACTCTGCAGCAACCCATCTTTTACTTCCTGTGTTTTAAATATTGTCATGCCATACACTGAGTGAACTTATTGACCTGTTATTAGTCAGTAAACAAATAACAAAGTGTTTTTCTACTATTGTTAATCAAGCTGCTTGCCCAGGGAGTGTCAGAGGTGAAGCAGGGGCAACAAATATGTGTTGAACTCTTTACAACTCGTCTTTGCAGAGTTTTTTTTTGTTGCACATTGTGTGTTGCTTCTTTCCTAGAGTAGTGATGAGGATGCATTTCATACATGCATTGGAATCTGAAACACCTCAATGTGACTCAAATATGTCTTGTGATAGTGATGTTAACAAAATGGGTAGAAAAACCCGCTTTATCTCAATCTGATAAAGTAAACCTGAGCTCTACGTGCCCAGAGTCCTGTTAGCACTAAATTGGGTTGTTGCTGTTTTAGTTAAGATAGAGGTGGAAAATGCCAAACTGTGATGTCCCCCTAGAGCAGGGGTCTCAAACTCAAGGCCCGGGGGCCAAATCCGGCCCGCGACTTCATTTTATGTGGCCCCGCAAGAGCTTGCAAAGAATATAATTTTATTATACGGTTACATGCCACTTTACAGAAGCAGGTTGCCCATAAACTACATGTCCCACAATGCATCTCGTTTGTGACATGCGCACTGAAGAGACTTGCAATTATTTGCCCTGGACTTCTGCTTTCAGACGTAGTTGATTTCTAAGTTATTATCCTATCTGATAATAATCCAATTCAGAGGCAATAATGTAATATAATACATTATTTTATATATATATTATATATTTATATAGTTACAACCGGCCCTTTGAGTGCAACCTTTATGCGAATGTGGCCCGCGATGAAATTGAGTTTGACACCCCTGCCCTAGAGTCATATCGGTTCACTTTGGTGTGTGTTCACAGGTTGTGTATCTTTGCACACAGGCATTGAGAACGAGAGAGAGAGAGAGAGAGAGAGAGAGGGGGGTGGTATGCAAATACAGTACATGTGTCTCACGGCTGCTTTCATTGTCAGACACTCTCATATCCTTTTAGTTATTGGCTGTTACCCTTATTGGCCTTATGCTCAACACATCACAAACCATTTGAATTGGAAATAACTGCTGAGTAGTCAGACTGTGGTGGATTGTTCATTGGTTTGCCAGACATCAACGGAGGTATTGTGAGTTTTGCTTTACTTTCATTTTATCATGTGTTTCCCTGTTACTTTGTTTGTGGTCCAGTGGCATACCAAAGTATGTTATGTTATGTTATTGAAAACAATATGCATATGCATCAACCACACTAAGATAAACAGCTTCGGTAGAGATGCCAGAGCTGAGTAAACATTCCAATCAGAATATTTTCTCTCTTCGCTGATCCAGAGTATGCTACCACTTTTATAAAAATTGAATGGCAGTGAATAACAAACGATCTGGGTACTTTTTCCCTTATTCCATCTGCCGTTTCTTTGTTTTTGGGCTCATCTGTTTTATTGACATATCTTTACAATAATAAAAAGTGTTTCCTGATATCTTCTGTCTTCTTTCTCTCTTATTATTTTACACATGTTTGTTTCCTCAGGAACTCTCTAGGCCACAGTAATTCTTACATCTTTGCACGTTAGTGATTGTTATCGCTGTGAAGTCTTGTCAGCGATGCGCATTGGTTGAGCTGAGGGCTGTTATCAGTTTGAGCAGATAAGGAAGAGATAAGTCTGTGTCTGCAAGTAGTTCTGCTTGTGTACATGTTTTTAAGCTTTGCTTGTGAGTGTACTTTGTTGATATAGGTTGTACTGGGTGGGTTGTAAGGAGTGGTGAGCACTTATCATTCAAAATTAAACCTGGTAAACAAGATTAAGTGGTTCTGTGGGCTGGGCTGGTCATACAGGTATGAGGCATAGAGTTAATCCTGTCAGTTGAAAACTGAATCCGGGATGATTGATCAAAACAAGACAAATTCTCCCACTAGCCACTGGACAGTATGCATGTTTTTAGCATTGCACTCAAGACAGTTTTATGAATCCTACATTTACCAACTTTCATCTTTGCATCTCTAGCCAGCAGTCAACTGGTATGTCTGCTTTATAAGCAAGCCAGTGGTTATTATATTTTGCAAATTGGGTCTGGTATTAAAGAGCAAATTCAATCGGCATTCAAATGTACAAGAATATATTACCCAATTTGAAAAATAATACAGGCTTCACGCACCGTTTTGATACAGAGGGAGTGGACTGAGTTGATACATATTTCCAAATTGGATCAGCTTATTATTTCACCCAAAGCGACTCTGAAAAGCAAATTGGATACAGAAGGGGATTTTATTTGCAGCTTCTTAGGTTGTTTGCATTGGGAGATTTACTGCAGCTATTCAGGAGGCCAGAACAGCCCACTCTGCACTCTCTTTCCAATCAGCCTCACTTGTGTGATTAACATCTTTTTTTCTATGTAGTCTTAATGCTGTTCTGCTAATTTAGCATGAAGATAATCTTGTTTTTGGAGCTCCTCATTCTCATGCGTTCCTACAGGGTGGACATTTGTCTAGCATATAAGTATCACATCTACAGTTTCACATTTACAGTTTATGGCCAATGTTCTGCGGCATAGCTCTTTCATAAAACTGTCAAAAAAAGGAATTTAAATATTAAACTAATGTCGACAGGTCCTCAGTCTTTATGCCAATTCCTCTTTCTTTTTCAATTCCCTTTACCAAATATGGAAATAAGAATTGACATTGCCATACGGTAATGATATCCACTTCCTTAAATTGTATGAATGAGTAGGAAGCAGAATGTTGGTAGCTGTGGGGGTGTCGGGTCGCTGTTTGCTGCTGCTGCCCCTTAGAGCCCTGCACCTAACAATACGGGTCACCTCAGTTCTTTCCACAGTCATTAACAGCGAAGGAAACAAGGATACAATGGGCATAGCTCACAATGAAGAGTACAGTAAAACCTTTGGCACAAAGGTCAATGGGAGAGTTCCTTGTTTGTACAGTATCAAACATTGCATGACTATTGGTTCCTGATCCCAAGCCAACCTCAATTGCTAACCAACGAGGCTTCATCCGGGACTTTGACTGGAAGAGAGGTCGTTCCCATGTTTTTTCCCATTTAAAAATATCACCATTCATATTGTGTTGGACACAGCTGGGGCTTTGTTTAGCGGATGAAGAACATCTGCGTTTCACATCTATGTTGGCTAAATGGGCAGCAGAGGTCGGGTTTGTTTTGGGCCCTGTGCCATGAGGAAGTTGTAAGATTTCTCCTAACAATCAAGAAAACAATTACAAATATTTCACAATACAAATGCATCACTTGGTTTCTATGGTGAGATGAAGTTGACGGATACATATATTTTCTAGTGAAATTGGCTTTGTTATTTTACTTTTTCTATTCACAAGAATATTTCTCAGCAGGATCAAATAAACAAAATGATATATTTGTTTTGCTTTTTTCAGTGGACGTCATTGGACACTATATTGTTGCTCAACACCTGGCGTGGCACCCATGATTTGCACAGGGAGGGGAAAATGTTGGATAGGCACTTGTTGACAGCTGACTAGGACAGAATTCTCAGAGCAGTTTTTTTGCTGAGCACTATGGGAAATAAGGCTGTCATTATCTGACCTTTCGCCACCGCTCACCTCAAATTACAATCTATCCAGTTGAGACGATACAAGGACTTGTTGGCTCTGAAATCGCAGTTTTCCACTGACTCGCAGTATGTGATCCTTAATCTCAAAGCGCCACACAAGCCCAATAACAGCAATCCTGCTTTCCGTCTCACCCTATCTTTAAACCAAAACACCAAGATTTCGCACACATCAATGGCTGAATATTAAAAGCAGATATTTTTAACTTGGTTTCTGTTCCCCCCGCAGCATTTGAAGATGATGCGATTGCTGTTCCTGTGTCTGATGCTACTGCTGCCAGCTGCTTCTGGTATGTTCTCATCTCTGTGACGCTTCCAGGTGATACTCATCTAATCAGGGTCTATGCATTCCTGCTCCGGCATGTTTCCTCACCTACCTATGTATGTGAACTGTCTGCGCAGATTAACAGATGTACTCTCACTTTTGAGTTATACAGCCACCTTTAAAAAAGAAGGTGCTACAGCAAGCTAAGGGTTCACACATATGAGATATAAGAAAAAATGTATAACACATTTGAAAATAGAAAGACTACTCTGTGCTGTACAATTGTAGTTTACAAGATTCCATCAAATTAAACCAGATGGAAAATATACGTAATACACTACACATAACCCAAATGTTTTTATGATTCACAATAATCTTTTTCTGGATTGTGATCAATTTTAACTTTTAAACTCTGTATTGCAAGGGATGTAAAAGTATTGCCACTAACTGTCAGCTTGCCTTTTTTTTTTACAGCTGTTTCCGAGTTGGAAGGATCTGCTGATGGAGGTATGTAATGCATCTATATCTGTAAAATAAAGAAAAACAGGAGCAAAATATGAAGTATTTCAATCAGCTTTTATCCCAGCTATCATAGTGCTATCCAAAAGGTAATCAAGTGTGTGTAACTGGTCAATCTAGGGCAAATTTAGAGACATAAAAAGATACATCTTATTTACATCAAGCTTTTATATCCACTGAAAGATCACAAGCATAAGAAATGACAACCAGGATGTTTTGCTAATTAATCCTAAAAGACCACACAGTTATTTCATTCTCAGGTCCTGTGCTTGTTTCTACATGTTTATTTGTAATCTTAGTGGGTCCTTTAGGGCAGTGGTTCTCAAACTTTTTTCAACAATGTACCCCCTTTGAAAAAAAAATTCAGCCAAGTACCCCCTGATCAGCGCAAAAACAATTTGTTAAGGAAAAAATGCCTATATAAAGAGGTACAGTACAGTGCTGCCCCATCAGTGTCTGATTTATTAAAACAACAACATTGTAACTGAGAAACACTTAAATGCTACATTTCAAATGTCCATCACTAAATTCATGGCAAACCAATTTTAACATCATGCAATAACACTAAGACGACATTAGTGCATTGAACTGATCTTTTTAATAAGTTGTACTTACAATTTAGTGAGAAACATGGGCTTGTGCTTCACTGAGGATCTTTGTCATTCTCGGTGACAGGGAGGCAAACTGCAGTTATTACACTTTTTGAAATATGTGTAAATAAAACCCACACTGCCAAACTTCCTTACTTTTCCCAAAATTCGTATATTTACTTATTTATTTATTTTGGGGCGTGGGGAATGAAGAGAAAAAAAAATATGAGCATTTTATGAGCATGGGATTTTGACCCCTCATATAAACATATGCATAATGCTGCGCTATACTTTGCGGCCACACGACTTTGCCAAGCAACGCTTATTGTTTAGGTCCTTTGAAAAGCAGGCAGTCAGTGGCGGCCGGTGGTCTTTTTTTTTGGTGGGGCTCTTGACGTACCGTAAGTGACCTACCCGGGGGGGTCCGGGGGGTTTCCCCCCGGAAATTGTTTTCGAGAAATGACCCCTTAAATGATGACTTCTGGTGATGTTAGAGGGGGGGGGAAAGGAGAAATCGAGGCTTAAAAATATGAGAAGACTGATCAATACCTCCATAATCTTCAGTGTGGAAAATATTATTTATCAACCTCAACATCTACTACTTTACCAGGAATTTGTGTTCTCAGAACTGGTCTGTTTTTTTCTTTCTTAAAACTGTTCATGTTTTATGAACCAACACCTTCACCAAGTAGCTTTACAGTGAACTGCATGTGAGATATAAAATTAATAGCATCTTTTCAGTAGCATTAATTATAAATATTTAAGTGGTTCAATACAAGTCACTACAGCATTTCAAACTGAACTGTAAAAAAATAACCACAGCACAAAATGTCATAAATTGTGTTTTTTCTTTGTTTCTCTGAGGATTATTTACAAACAGGCTTATTTACATATAGCAATAACTCAGAAATGAAAAAGCTACATCGTCTAACACGAACAACCAGTTAGCATAATGATAATATATGTGTTATGTACAATGTAACTGGCAAGGCTAGAGCAAGAAAGAACATAAAGTTTGCAAAAGGTTTAAATAACTTCAAGTATCTGTCTTCAGATTACGTGGAGGTTTTAGTCCGATGGGAAGCAGATTTTAAGCGACACCGAAGATAAACCAAAAATGTGGTGGAGCTGCAAACCGTGTAGTGTTGCTGGGACAGAACAGGAGCTATAACCGTTGGAAAATACATCACAGACAATGCAACAAACGTGGAGACAGAACAATCACTTCTGTGATAAATGCCCACTTATTAATAAACTTCTAACAACCATGGGAAACCTCCTCTCTACATATAAAGTGATATCCAAGCATGGGAAACAAAAGACAGCATTTACCTGTTTGCATCCAGCTAGCCAAGCCTTTCTTGTGTACCAGCTACTTGTGAAGCCTCGTGTATAAATGTTGTCTTTTTCACGAGATTGCTGCGATATATTCAAATCGGGTTGGTCCGGTGCAAGGTCTTTAAGCAACAATTTATCTGCCAAACTTCTCCTTTCGAAAGGATTGGAGATTAGCTCTTGAACAGAATTAGCCGGGGACCGAGGTCCGGAGACTCCACCTGCACACGAAGCCATCCTCATCAACTACTGCGTCAACCGGATACGAGTCACTGTCCAAACTACTCACAGACTGCACTGGGCGCTGACATTGGCGCCTGGTGACCGTCATCTTTGACGACGCTGATTGGCTGAAATTATATTTTCGCGGCATAGTTTACACGTTACAGATAGCAACAGTCAGCTGCTAGTGGCTGATGCTGCACTGGTTGAAGGCTCCTCTCTTAGCGCCCAGACGAGAGAAGGTGCATGGGCAAGGCCAGGCAGGAAACATGTGACTTATCAGTAACTTTAGACATCGTAACACAATTTTAAACGAGATTTTATTGTAGATTATACATTTTACTGATACCAATTATATAATATTTACCTTGTTCATTAAAAATAAAAATAAAAACATATATTTTTTTTTAAACATATTTTTTTTTTTAATTTTAATTTTAATTATTATTATTTTTATTTTTTTTCAATATGGGAAGAGGTGGGGCGGCGCCCCTAGCGCCCCTATGGACCGGCCGCCACTGCAGGCAGTCATATAATTAACTTGAACTAGCTAGATCTGATAGATTTGGACATAAACGCGAGTGAAGTATAACCAGACGCGAGAGAGAGATCAGAGATCAGATCAGCTGCTGCTGACGGAGAACACGCAGCTCTGCATGATCACAGCTCCGCCGCTGTGACGGACCGTTGAGTGGAGCAAAATGAAATACACTAAGAGTTAGACCTAACACACTTAGCTAGTTTATCTACTCTGGAACTAGCTAAACTAGTTATAAATATATTTATTCTTTACTGCCGGGTCACTTATTACAGGTTCAGCGAGCTGCACGAGACTGACCGGCTGTCAGGAGAGGGAGAGGAAAAGAGAGCACCCCGTTTACTTTTCCCATTTTATTATCCAGAATTGCTGTAAACCTTTGAATAAAGTAGTTAATCTACTATTAGTAGTTTGTTTAAATGCATTACTTATGTTGTTTTTTTCATTAACATAAAATAAATCTCACGTACCCCCTGCAGTACTCCAACGTACCCCTAGGGGTCTGCGTACCCCCATTTGAGAACCACTGCTTTAGGCCATGTGTGAAGTAGTTAACAGATGTCAACGGTCATTCCAGAAATGTTTGTCGACGTGAACTACAAATATCTTGTCAATCAGAATAACTTAAATACACGATGTAGATTCATCATGCTAGATACAAAAATACACATTTCCTCTATGTCTCACCTGCTGGTAAACAGGTGTTGTTTTTCTGCTTTGTTATTCCCACAGATTTTAGTTCTGTTTGTAAAATATTGATTCTCTTTTATAGTTTTCTTTTTTCGCTCTCAGACCTTTTGATCCTAAACTGACTTCATAAAACCCCCAATCAATAGTGTTGCTGAAAGATTAAAGGTGTTGTCTATGTCCTTAGTATTGTGCAGAATCATGACTTTGTTATTGTTGAATAGTACTCACACTGTGAAGCATGCATTTCAGATTTCTTTACTAACATCAGATTTCTCCTTGCTCTCCATCCTTACAGCTCCGGATGATGATGAGGATTCAGGTGAGTTTATTGCCTCCTGGGGTGGATTGGAGGGCAATACGTTTTTCTGGTTACTTCTGCATCACATCCACAAACACTTTCACAGCAGCTGTCCATAGGAGAGTATGTGAGGTTATGGCCCCTGTAATTATTGTCAGTAAGGCAGCATTGTGTATAGGGTACTCTAGTCCAGTGAAATATGTGGGGCTGTGACCCCTGTTGGCTTTCTATCCTCCCAACCATTAAGCCCTGAATGGAATCAATTAGCTCCCTGGAGGAGTCCTGTGGACGCTGCCGAAAGGCCAATGAACACGTCCACATCCCCGCCATCCTGCTGGTCTGCTAATCAACATTGGCATTCTCATTCTCTCTCTGCGCTTCTTTCTGTCCTCATCTTTGCTTTGATGGACATTTGATAGAATTACAGATCTATTTAAAACGGAGCAGTTGGCTCTTGGAGAAACAGCCTTTCTGCACAGAGCTGCGATTTCTCTGGAGCCTCAGCCCCCTCCCTCTCTAGACATGTAGACTGTGCACAACTTTGAGCTTTTATTTTCTTATTCCGTATGCACTAGAAGTATAATTAAGTTCTCTGTTGGGCGTTGAAATGTTCAGTACACATGAAATCAGCACAACTCATTTGAACTGTTCTCTTCTTCTCTTTGCCATTTACAGTGATTCCAAAACCTTCGGACACACATCTAGCTGAAAGTGTAACTGAAGGGCCAGGTGAGAAAAGTGCTTTGTTCATAATCAGTGATATACAGCGAATGTATTAAAATGTAAGAATATATCAACAAATATGAATGATTCATAACATCATGCACTGGTTTCAACTTAGACATGTTTTTTTTTTATTTCCTTTTTTAGATCAGTTCACCCTGATTATCATCGTTGTAGCTGTGGCTCTGTTGACTATTTCGGGTGCTGCAATAATCAGTAAGTATTCTGTGTTTTATTGAGAAATAATTTAGTTAAATGTTAAAAAGAGCCTGTTTCATTCACACAGTTGACAAATGCACTGCTGAAGAGCCCTTTGGTGCTTGGCTGAAGTCCCTGTGTGCCTTGTAGAGCTGTTAATACCTTAGCAAATATTAACTTTTCTTTTGTGCAGCTGTGACCTTTTTCCATTTTTCTTTCTTGCAGTCACAATGTTAGTAAGAAGGAACATGCGCAATCGAGAGCAAGGGTAAGGTCAAATCTCTTTATTTTCAAAGTTGATATTTGAGAGATGCATGTTCCACTTAACGCTTTAGTCAGCTGATATAACCAGTCTGATGGGTAACAGCCTTTTTGCTTGCCAATGAACCTTACTTCACCCAACTCATCAGCATAAACACCAGAGAAAAACAATCAGGTGCAGAACGTAACCAGCCTCCACCCATCAGAGCCCGTCTGGACTTGTACAGAGAAGAGTTTAACAGCCAGGGGCCCGGCACTGCAACCAATGAGCGCTCCCCACCTCTAACCCTCCCATGTTAGCCCTGTAACAATAGCCTTAAGACGGGGCTGCTGGCTCTGTATAACTGACTGGAACAGGATCCAACATGTCCATAGATTACCTCATGAACAGAGGCCTGAGTAGATGACTAAAATAAAACAATTGAGTAAACATGATCCTGGCGTCATGACAACAATCTGCCAACATTACTCAGAGAGCAGACAGAACAGCCTAAACCAGTTATACAGAGAGACACTGTGTACGCTTATGGCCTCTCGTGTACACCTTGTTTCTTAATTGCAGTTAGCTCTAGGTAGGCTTTCTGCACAGTAATCAGTTTGTTTCGTTTTTTCTGGGATGCAGTAATACATGATATGCGGGTCAGGTGAGAGAGGTTATAGAGTTTAAGTTAGTCCCCAGAGATTTCCAGGCAGCAGCAGAAAAAACTGCCACTGCAGAGAAGAAACACAAGACAATCTGCAAGGGTTAAATTCCTGTGCAGGATTAGCGGCTGCCTCGCGGGGCTGCAGCCAGCTCCGGCAGTGTTTGGTGCTGACTGATCGCTCTGCTGAAAAGAGGCTTAATCACACAGCAACCTCTGGCTTGTTGGATCAACAGTGCCTTGCGAGGTTTATAAGTCACACCTGGGGATGAGCTGTGTTTTGAGGTGATGCAGTCACCGTGCTCCTGTCAGAGCGCTGCATGAGGCAGACGTGTCGTTTTCCTGAATTCAGACTCGCAGGGATGTTTCTATCTTCTAACAAACTGAGAAAGAACCTAAAGAATATCTTGAAGTTGACATGCTTTTGTTTTTTTTGCCCTCTCTCCTCTCATCCCCCTTCCTTTCCTGTGGCCTGTCCTCCTTCTCTCTTCAGGATCTACTCCGTGCCCACAGAGCAGGACCAGAAAGGGACCGTCTAGTTCCTGGTGGAGTAGCAGTCCAATAACAAACAGACAAGAGAGGAGCGGTGCGTCGGGTTATGTCATCTCCTACTCTTTGACTCAGGACAGATTTCTTTGCACAACAGCCTGCTTCCTCCATGCAGTTCATAGTTCGCTACTACACCAACTACTAACAAAACATATGCATTTTCTTTCCACTGTTGTATACTTTAGTCTCTGCCCCAGCCGTTTATACACCACAAACACGCAATTTAGCCGGGGACATTTGGAACGCATTCAAACCTTTTAATTGGATTCTATTTGAGGAATCCAAATCAAAGCCAGTGAATATGGCTTAAAGCTTCTTTTGTTAAAATGGATGATTTAGCACAGCAAAAGCTTCCCTTTTTTTAACTACCTGAAACAAGAAATGATTCCTACCAACCATGCAGTGAAAGTGTGTTTGCGTTTGATTCGGTGCATGTGGAACAGACCTGCCTGTGTGAAATGGTTGAGGAGCTAGACAAACCATGCTAATCCACGCTAAGCCAGCCCAGTGCTCACTTCACTTGTCTGACACCTTCTGTTCTAGGCCCATTAGGAGTGACAGGAGGTTGAGCAATAAGAGATAAAAACCTGTTCAACCTCTTCTCTAGTAAATAGAGACATGTGAAAATAGTGTGAACAACCTGCAAGAAATTATATGAATCAACTGCCCAAAGAATTATGTTTTCCTTCCTCCCTTTCTGTGACATTATGAAAGGCTTTCACTTTAGGCCCGCTGGTTGTAAATACAGCAGCTCTCTGAGGGCAGTAGAGAGTTAGACTAATGCTTCACACTGGTAGAAAGAAGCTGGGTGTGAGGGAGGATTTAATCTCACAAATCAAATAAAGTCCTGCGGATGATTGGGAAAATACCAACAATGGTTTTGTTTTATACACACAAAGCGTTATGGCTCCTCTCTTTCCATTTAAATGGAAATCAATCATGTCCTGTGAAAGAAAGCTTTCTGTCCTAGAACCCCACGCACTGGTTGCATTATTTGTTGCAATAAAGAGGGAACTCTCTCTTGCCAAGGTTAAAGGGGAATGGGACATGCTCCCGATCGACATGACGGTATTTCAATTGTGGATCATGACGACACTTTGGAGAAAGCGCACTGGGGGTGGCTACATGGGGTTAAACACTGGATTTGTCAAAGCAGGATCTCTCTTTGCGCTTCCACTAAATCATGCAGTTAATCTTGCCACTGGGGACAGGGCTTGGCCTCATTCCAGCCTGACTTGAGAGCAAAAACAATTGGGCAGTCACGTCCTCTACTGGGCGTACAGCAGTTGTAGGTCTGTTGAGGCGTTGCCTTGAAAATGATGCATCCCAATTTATTAACAGAGACACATTGGCAGATGAGATTATTGTTTGGGCGTTTGTTTTGTGATCGGATTTGAGCACTGTGTGTACAGTATGTGTCACACAAGCGTAGCATTGCCCAATGAGCCTTCAATATGTGCCAACATTTCAATTGGTGGACAATTGGACAAAAGTTGCAGTGCAAAACATTTCAGTTTTTTTTACGTCTTAGTATTTCCCCTTTTTCTGTCGGAATGACAAACCATAATTGTACAGCATGGCAGCAGAGTATTCTCTTTTAAGATTTTTTTCAATAAGCAGAAAGACTTTGTAAAAACCCAAAGAGAAACGCAGCATTTAGTCAGGTAGCCTGTTCTAATGTGACCAAACTCTACTCAGTTATTACCTCCTGTAAGGGCTCTCTGCTCTGACACTGCGTTTGTAAATCTAACAAAAGTAGGTATTGAGCTTTTGTTTCTTTCTCAATGGGATTTATGTGGAAAAGGTTCCGATTTCTTTTCTTTTCTTTACAGGCTTGAGTACGGTGTCCCTGAGGTCAATGCACTGCAACTTAAGAAGCATATACAAAGAGACAAACAAAAGCAAACAAAGAAAACATCTTTATCAAGGTGACAAAATGTAAGCGTGATAAGAAATAAATAGAATCAAATACAGAGACGTGCTACAAATACATGCATGTCTGCACGATTTGCAGGATTCCTGTACTCAAATGTGCAAGTGCACGATTTCTCTCTCTTTTTTTTGTCTAATTGCACATGTTTTCTAAAGCTGCAGTCCATAAAGCCATCAGCGCCCCGTAATAAAGGCTTTGCCTGGCCTTACACATTTCTTTTTAGAATTTAAAATATAATATATTGTATGTATTTACAGACCTATATATTTGCATTGTGTCTCTTCATAGAACAACATAATGTATTTGTCTATATGGTCTTTTTATATGCTTAAGGGGTGATGTGTTATCTCCACTGTTCATTTATAAATTGTTTGTAAAAAGAAATTTGTGGTGAGTGAGAGTATGTTTTTTCCCAAAACTCTTTTATAAAATATCTGCAATTTAGTTTAGCAAAACATTTTAATTTGGACTTAATGTTGAATACTGTTCACATGTGTGAATGCATTTGTCTTTCTGGAAGAACTCCCACTGTATGTGTTTGTGCAAAGGGAATTTACATTGTTTTTTATATAATTATTTACTATGTGTATATATTATATAGCTATATACAGTATCTCAATTGCAGTCATATATCATGAATCAATTGTTGGCATATCTGCTGTCTCTTTGAATTGTTCTGATACTTATTAGAACAGTTGATACTACTGTATATTACTAAGGTATGCTGTACTCTGTTTATAAAATGTGCTTGATTTCACCCAGTTTGTTGTCTGCATCATTTTTATGCCATATGGATGCAAAGATAATGCGCCAGTGGATCTTGTTTAATCTAGGGCTTTACTCACTTACAAGCATAGAGCCACTAAGAGGCTTAGACACTCTTCCTAAACATCACATTTGAGTTGAGACTGAAGGTGTAAAAGGCATGCAGGATCTATCAGGAAGAGAAAGTGACCCAGCTCTCAGTTTTAGATGCTGAAGTGTTGTGTGAGATTGTCAAACACACAATGTTAAGGGGTAATTCTTCATAACCTTTAATAATAATAATCCCGGCTGTGAGACACTGCCTATGGCTGTGTTATCAGTTATAAGATAAAAAAAAAGGTCATTTAGAAACCAGCCGCTTCATGGCTGAAGGTGTGATTAAAATATGAATCATATCATCGTTATTTGCCAAGATGAATAATCGCTTTACTTTTTAAGTGCAGTTTGCTAAGTATAGAAAGGACATTTGACAAAGCTTAAGTCAGTATGGATTGCATTTTCTATTTGTTTATTGGGTGTTTTTCAATGTTGTTACCAAGCAGCGTACAGTCACTCAGTCCGCGTTCACACACACATTCAGGTTGAGTGTTTCTTAGCACTTGTATTATTTGTACACACGGTGTCTCTCTCTTTAGCCTTGGACCACTCGGTAAGATCTGAAAAAAAAAACATATTCAAGTATCAAGCCCTATTTAGGCAATCAATTATATTTATCAAGCAAACGTATTCCACTATGAGGAAAAATAAACAATGCGCTTTGCAGTTATGGTTTTGCCCAACAAATATCTTAATCATTTTTTTTTTGTGTATTAATCATCACAGAGATTTTAGTCAGCATTCTGTTGAGCTATTATATGTCTGACATGACTGATTGTTTGCCATATATCACCCGGCAGCCTGTGATATAAATGACCTAACTCATTCTACCACACTTCCCCCTCATAAGCAGGGCTTCCTGCACACAAACTGTAATTTAGTTAAACATCACTTTTGCATCAGCTTCCATTGTATTAAATTATTCAGCTCTTGTGCGAATCATGGACCTCTCAAACAAGGCAAACATATCAAACATTTGAACATTAACTTGAATGAAAGAAAGTTCTTACTTAGATGACTTCTTGTGACAGTTGGGCAGCCGACAGATCCTGCCACCTGCAGACAGAGATAAGCAAAAGAGTTAGGAGTGCAGTGGACTATAATTGCAGTGATTAACAGAAGAATAAAGTGAATTGCAGAGCCACACTTACAGCCAATGACCATGATGCCCACAATGAAAAGAACTGCTGCGATGGTCAGTCCAGCATAGCGCAGGGACTTGTAATCTGGACATATAACACATGAATCAAGACCACACTGGAAAAAATACTGCTCCAAAATCAAGTAAAAGAATAATGAAAACAAGGTGTTCTCGCTTGTAATAAGTCAAACAAATCTGCCAATAGAACAAGTGAATATTTGCTTGGTTAGATTTCTTGAAATAAGATGGGATATTTAGATAAAGGAGATTAATTAATTAGCTGGGAAAACTCATTTTGAACTATATTTGACCAGGATCATGTAAATGTTATTACAAAATAAGCCTGAAATGCTCAAAAGATTTCAGTTTTATGATGTTAGTTGGTGATTTTCCAATAAGAATTCGTTTTTGTTTTTTAAATCAAGTAAAATGTATTTGTTAAAACAAGATTAACCATCTCTTACAAAAACCACAGCAGCTTAAAGGACTTGTTTCATTTGAGATACAACTCAAAATAAGATGTTTTCAAGAATCTTGAAGATGCATTGTCTAAAAACAAGACCCTATATCTCACTGCATTGTTACCTCTTCAGTTATTATGTCTTATATCAAGTGTAAAGACATATTCTGACTAGATATTAGACAAATAAACTTGGCAAGATTTTGAGTTTTTACAGTGCATAGACACAACAGGTAATAACACACACAAAAAAGGCAAATATAGCTTCTTACCATAGGTGAAATCTGTATCCGGGTCTATAAGAAGCAGAAAGTAAAGTATTGAATTAAGTTTGAGTTGAGGAAAAGCAAAAGAGAGAAAGGATCACTGGGGAACAACAGTCAGAGATAGAAGACAGATCTACCGGCCTCTCTGACATGCTGTTGTATAAAACCCCTATCAGTGTGGGAACCCAGCACAGCATGAGGTCAAACATATCTTATCTCTCTTTGCATAAGGCACAATCAAGCATTAATCTGCCGACAAGAGAGGCCGTGAGGAGCTCTGTTCTACCACTCTGCCATGGGTTTTGTTTGGGAAGACAGGGAATTGTGATACTGTCAGTCTGCCATGAGATAACAACGAAACCGCAACGCCTGTGGCATTTAAGCTAACTATGAAGTAGTAACATTTGTATTCACCAACTTGATGGTTCGTGGCTTTGGTGGCTTTCTCAGTTGTGGATGGGGAAGATGTCGCTGTGGATACAAAATATAGACAGTAAAAACATTAGTTTTCATGACATTTTTGATTTTATGGATCCCTTTTCTGTCTGAATTTAATGCAAAATAATGCAAGGGCATAGTTTCATAGTTTATATGGAAGCATATTTTTCTTTGGTCATATTGACTCCTTATCTTAGCCATACTTAATTATCTCTCACTAAATTCCAGGTGCATTCCTATGCTACATATTTAATTGAATTTCTGAATATTTTTAGTGAAATTGCTCTCTTAGGAAATTTAGGCTGACACTTAAAACACATATCAGCGTTTTCTCTCTCTGTTGCTCTCACTTTAGTTCTCTCCCTTTCTCTGGTGCTGTAAATTGCAGAACGCTCCTCTGTACTACAGTATATCTCAACAAGGACAGGGAGTTTAACATTTTCTAATGAACTCATAATTAGTTTTAAAGGGGAGAAAGCTTACTGTAAGCCTTAGCTATCGGTAAGGTGGTGTTATAGCATACTGGAGTGCTTATGGTCTTTTAACCCGCCTAACTCAATGATGTTCAAACATGTGACGGGTGCAGATTGTTACCTGTTGGCTTGGTTTGTGGCTTAGTTGTGCCATTATTGGGAGCTAAAGGGAAAGACAAATACAAGTCACATGAGGTTTCATTCAAATAATGTGAGTTATGTATATCACTAACAGCACCATACCTACCTAGTGTACTGTTCATTTGTATTGTAGTGGCGTTGACTGGTTTGCTAGTTTGCTGGCTTGTGGTGCGTTTAGTGGCGGAAGTTTCCTGGGAGGAGTCAGCATCTCTGGTGAATCTGCTCTGCACTCCTCTTCCTGTTACATCAAGAAAGAAACTGAATCACATGCACCTGAGAGAGGCCTGACCTTTTGCTAAAAAATGACATTTGATTAAATAAGAAGACGAATGATAGATAGATAAATATAGAGATGTTTCTGTTTTTACTCTTTAGCTATGCTCGTCACTTCACAGATGAAGATTACATTAAAAATAAATTATGATTTGATAGAATAAGATGCACTACGCAACAGTTAAAACAAAGTTACATTAAGCTCTTCCTTGACCAACTTTCCTCCTCCACTCACTGACAGACAGTCAGAAAGACAGAACAAAACACAGACTAAACACAGGCAGCTTGATAGATAAGTGGATAAATAACTGTAATGACTAACATTTATGTATATGGTTGTAAATGTAAAAAAAGGAAAAAAGCCTGGAGACTGAAAAGGGCTGCAAAGTGGAATTTTTCAGCATGGCCACGAGATGCGTACCAGTGGGAGTATGAGCAGTGGGCATTGTTGTTCCGTTTGCCATATTGTTGCTCACAGACTGCATTTGATCCGCCGTTGTGGGAGACTGAGCTCTTGCCACTGCGGGGGGAAAAAGACACATTTTAATCACCAAAAACACAAGTCAGATAAAGCCTTGCAGCGATGGCTCCATACTCTAAACTTTACAGGAAGACCAAAGGGCCCTGTTGTTTACCCCAGTGATTTTCTCAAACAGTGCTGTGATGTATTCCTGGCACAGGCCAGACTGGAGAATGTCTGGCCGTGCAGGGGAGAGAGGCCTGCAGATGCACTGAGAGTATGTCACAGTGAAAGTCCTGTGAGTGGGGCAGTGCGGCACAGTTACAAAGAAGTGGCTCTTACAAAACCTCTGGCTACAACAGAGCTGGATTGTTGGGAGAGCCTGCAGGACAGTGAGGCCGTTGTCTGTTTACTCACTCAGCACCTTCCCATTAGTGCCGGAGCTATACAAAACCTCCACTTTATCGGCTAATGCTGTGATTCTGACTACTTTAATGAACCCATATGCAGGAAACTTGACTATGGGTGTTAGGATTGTTTAATGTGTTAGCAGTATTGTGTGGATAAAAAGTTTATTTTGTTTCTATTTGTTTCAGCGTCGCCTGTTATTCTTGGATATAAAGTGTGATAAAGTACTCTTATCTTGACTGGGATAAAGTCAAGTAATATTAGGATCCACATTCAAATGTTTTTACATTATAACATTTTTGACAAGGTTTCATGTGTTTTTTAAGGTCAACTCCACCTACTGGTAAGGAAAAATATATTTAATAATAATAATAAATATATTGACCTCTGCAGGACCATTTTTGACCTTTCTTTAAAAATCAGACTCTTACAAGTTTACAATTGTATGGAGGCAACATGCTAAAAGGCTGTAGTGCCCCTTTGAGTTGCTAATAAGCAAGCTGCTGTTTAAAAAGACCCAATTCTGAAAGAAGAAATAACATGTAGTCCCTCTTACAAGCAAAATGTCGAACTCTTGAACTAAAACACATTATTGCACAATTCAATCCACCCAGGCGCGTTGCTGTAAGTCTTACCTCATCTGGAATGACTTAGCTTATAGGCTACTGGCTAATGCTAGCAAACTCCAGATGGATATTGTTGTGTAACTGACATGCGTTACTGTAGTTTTCTGACTTTACGTTTGCCTACTTGTACTACAACAAAGCAATATTTTAGCATAATCCTAAGTGGCTGCTGTTTAGCAAATGTTAAAACCTGCTTTGAAATTAATTATTCAAGCACTCACCTTTTAACATGACAAAGAGGATGAAGGTCAATGAGGAAAAATAGATCTGAAAGGAAAAAAACATATTAAAAGGGAAAGGAGCTGAAATAAGAATGCAGAAAGAGTGAATCAAATTGAATTCAAGGTTCAAGGCTTTTATTGGTCATGCGTTCATAGCTACAGTGTAGTTATGACGATGAAAATCTTGGCTCCTCCAACAGTGCAACACAATAAAACTGACAAAATAGTGCAAGTAAATACAAAAATAATTCCAACGTATGCAGTTTTATTACATTCTTTACCACTTTGTTCAAGATCTGCAAGGTAACACAGCTACATCCGAGCAGATACACATATCTAGAAGAAATATGTGTGCAGTAGCTCCCAGAAAGACAGCTGTTTAGCAGGGTTTGATTTTTCAATGGTTTAACCAAAGCATGACCAAATGTTAGACATACACTTAAATACAAATAAAAAGGGTGCATGTGAGAAAGCATTCACTATGGAACATTTTGTGCAGTGCTAAATTTATTAGACAGGAAGTTGCACTCATTGAGGTTTATACTTCTCCTTCCTCTTAAAGCACACAGGCAACATCACCCACTCACCCTCACGCGGATTGCCAAAAAAACAAAAAAACCACAGCTTCTTACTTTGAATGTCAAACTTTGTAAAATACACATATATTATCATAACCACATGTTTTATTCATTTGTCAAAAATGAGTGATTGAGGCCACACATTGTGTATGCTATCCTCCCACACGTGTGCTGAACTTTGTCGCACTATTGATCAAACTTCATCTCATTTCAGTTTCCAACTGTCGCCTGTTAAAAAAAAAAAAAAAAAATGGCATTGGAGGATGTGTCAAAAGAACTCCTTTTAGCATAATGGAACTCCTGTACTGGTGAGCAGCATTGTCTGGTTCAGCTGAAAAACATACTCGTTCCTCCCCCTCACAACATATTGCCCTTAACTTCAAAACAAAAGAACTATAGAAAAACCGAAGTAGGTAAAAAGCTGTCCCATATTGCATGATTTTATAGAGATACAGCTGCCATGCAGAGGCAGGCAGAGTGACGGATGGAGGTCTAGGCCAGTGACTCGGTTTGAATCCACCCCCAGCAGAAAAGGAATCTGGATCCTTGACCTATCCTGGTGGCAGCTCGTCCTCCGGGCGTGGAGCCGTGTGACAGGTGAGCGTCCACGGTCGTCATGAGCTGTGACAGCTCAGATTAGCAGGTCATGCCAATCTTCATTTCACTCCAGAGCATATGTCAAGATGAGGCCTGTGTCCCCTGGGCTGTACAGGCGTCTCTGCCTCCCCTAGCCTGACTGCCTGCCTGTTTGTCACAACTAGCACTCTCCCTCACTCTCCGTCTGTCTGTTCATCCGTTTGTCTGTCATCCTCCATCAATCTCTCCATTCAGTCCACCTCACCAAAACACCTCTCAGCAGCCTCATATTTAGTCATCCATCCAGGATAGTATGCTTACCTTAGTATCCATCCTGAGAGCTCCCCGGGTCCAGAGGTTCATCGTTGGCCTCATCATCCACGCTGCTTTCCTGTGTCTGTCACTCCTGAAAGGCTGATGGGCTAACTGCTAACCAACCACACCCATGCGCTCACCATCTCTACTTCCTCATCCAATTGTCTGAACTCTGTTTCAGTCTCTCGCTCACCCACTCTATCATGTCATGGCCTCCTCCTTCTTGTTCTCTGCCTCCTAGTCTTCCACTCTCACTCGCTGTGCTCAGATTTCTGTCAGCGGTTCAGCCGTCTCCAAGCACAGCAGCTTGTCGTCCTTCTTTATTTCTGTTTTCCCTACAGAATACTGTCATTTATCGTACCCTTGTGTGTTCAACCTGTCTGTCATCCTGTCTAGCTTACTGTCTTTCTGCATGTTTATACAATCTGTTCTGTCCACATCTGTCATCTCTGTTCATCTTGTTGTCTCACAAACAAGAAATGGATGACCTTGTTGTAATTAGAAACTGTTGATATGTTACAAAAAAACAATACTTGTGGACTTGTTAACATTTTATTGGTGAAGTTTTATTAAATATCCTCCTTTGAACACTTACATTGAGGATGTTTGTGAATATGTGTAGCTGTAAATAACTATAGTTAATACTTTACTTTTCAACAAGCATATAGAAGCAATCCTTCAATATATGAAATAAAAAAACATATTAGAAAGTCTATAACTCTTTTGTAAACTCACATATATGTATGTCAATCACATTGAATTGCGGTTTAAGGGGTAACACATCCTTGGGTTTTGTCAGATTGTTGAGTTATTGCTCCGAGGCTGCAGGATTGGTGTGGGATTGCGGCCGAACAGCATTATCTAACTTTGACGAACACATCAAGACTGTTACAGCAGACAAAGCCTGCAATTCATCCTCAATAGCAGAGAACAGTCTTTGTCTACAGAGCTTTTGGTTCAAGTTGTCATCCCTCACATTTCTATGATTGCTCTAAAGAAACTGTTAGCACTTTATAATGAACATCCTTAATATAGCTCCACTTTATCGATCATTAATAATCTATCAGGTGGGGGGGAAGTGTGTATTTACTCCACTTTATAAGAGTAAAGTTGGTCCAATGAAAGGTTGCTGAGACTTTTTAATAACAACTATTGATCTGATTGACACACAGAGACTCTTTCACATTTTGCTATTCATTTTACAATTGTTTTAGTCGTCTCTGTAGCAGAGGATTTTTGTTGATTGCAGGCTTTAACTCTGCTTTATATTAATCCTGGTCAGAACATATTTATTTTATGAATGGATGTAGGTTTTAATACACGTGTGGATAAACCTTTAAAACTACATTTCAGAAAGTGATGTATGAATGCAAAAAACTGTATTTTAACTGAGTGTCATATTATACTCTGAGTTAATAGTAACAGCTTGTTATTCATTTCTTTGTCCTTTTGTCATCATTTTATCGTAGTGTTGGAGTGGGAGTAAGTGTGTATTTAAATGAGTAATATGCAGAGAGGGACGTTTGGATTTAAATGTGCTTACAAGTGAAAAATAAAAAATACACCCTGGTTCGACTGAGACTTGAAAGAGAAAGTTATTTTTCTTTTGTTGAATAAACTGTATACCTTTGGGGGGAAATACCAGGAGAGTACGGCTTGTCTGGATTTGAATTTTGCTTAATTAATTCTGCACTATTTCAGATAGAGACAAATATGCAGTGTAAGTGTGCACGGCTTTAATAATGATTAAAATCCCAGACTCAACTTCTTGTTGTTTTACGTGCCATCTCTCTCGGCTCTGTAGCCACTTCTTTTTATTTTTATGTGGACCCTTGTGTCTCCATGTAGTCTGATACACTATATGGACAAGATGCTCTTTTAGTTTCAATATGCGTTCAGATCTGACCTTATTAAAATGAACAATCTATTGTGTTTTCACTCCCTAGTTTTCCTTAATGGACGCCTGTTATATTTGTTCAGTTGTATTCTTTTATCCATTGGCAGGCCAATTACATCCCAACTGACAACAGGAGATCACAGGCCCAAGTGAGACATAATAACAGCCGCTACAATCATGTTCTAATTTGTAAAACCTGTGGTTGCTTTTGATTTGATTTCTAACTATTTGAAATTGAAAAAATCGGAATAATGACAGCAATGACAGGGTTCGCAGCAATTTGAGTTACATTTGAGTTAGCTCCCCACTGGTAGCACAACCTGTTAAAGTCATAAATGAGTGTTATTCAATCTCATATTTGTTTTCCAGAAAGAAAAACATTCACGAGAGGGGGGAAATGTGAAGACTCTCCTAGGGCTGAGGTAATTAGAGTCTCATTTTTGTTTCTCTTTTGACCTAAATGTTCACTCGTGCAGAATGAGTGTTCAATCTCCCCCGAGATTCTTCTGAACGCATCATATCAAAACGTTCATGAGGAAAAACAGAGGTTGAGGTACAGTATTGAGCTGTCAAGCCTTCACTTGAGCAGATTAGCGTTTGTGCCTGAGCAGAAAGGATGCATCATGAACAGGCTGAGGAATGAACACAGCAGTCATCTTGACAGGAACTTAAACAATGGCTCAGTAATGAGACAAACACACCTTGACAGCTCATGATGGAGAATAGGGAGACTAATTGAAGGAACACATTCATGTGAAATATTGAGATTTATCTCCAGGCAGTCGAGCCCTATTGAGGAAACAGAATGGTGTAGGTTGTGCAAATGTGTGGATAACAACAACATCATCAGAATTTAAATATAAAGTGTACATATTTCAGATGTATTTTATAGTATTGTGAAACTTGGTTCAGCAAAAAAAAAAAAGAAGGTATAAAGCGGACCACGTCATCTTCAACAAAATAGGAAAGAAAAAAATTGACACTTCTACTGACGACCGATAAATCAAGATAAACACTGTTATTATAAACTGTGTGTCTCATCTAATTGTGTCATCTGTGCTGTGTTATGTGTGTGTTCTCATGAGACAGGTGAAACGTGCGTGAGGGAATAGCATTAGCTGGAAGCAGAACCAGGATGCATGCATAACCGTTGTGTACAGATATAGGAAAAGCCCTTCCCCTATTTGTGTATTGTACAAGGCAACAACTTAAAGAGCATATGGAAACTTTGAGCAAGTGTCTCTGATCTCTGCATAACAGCACACAAACACAGAGACCTTGAACCTTGTTGTTGTATAACAAAGCGCCATATTGTCTCTGTTGTGCTCTTTAGGTTTTTAGGCTGCGTGCCAGTGATAGTATTAGACTGCAGCTTTAAACGTTATTAATCAAAAATATATATCTGTCGGATTTTTTCTTTTTTTCTTTAATTTTCACCCTATTCCCTGGTTCTCCAAATACTTTAAGTTTGACATTGTGACCCTGGAGGAGTGCAAGGGCAGTCGACAGGGGACTCTACCCGCATTTGAAGCACTATTTTGGGACACCATTTTTTCATTTTTACCCCTTTTGCCTGGTTCTCACAAAAGTTGAGTTTGATTATTGTGACCCTGGAGGAATGCAAGGGCAGTCGACAGGGGACTCTACCCGCATTTGAAGCACTATTTTGGGCCACAATTTTTTCATTTTGACCCCTTTTGCCTGGTTCTCACAAAAGTTGAGTTTGATTATTGTGACCCTGGAGGAATGCAAGGGCAGTCGACAGGGGACTCTACCCGCATTTGAAGCACTATTTTGGGGCACAATTTTTTCATTTTGACCCCTTTTGCCTGGTTCTCACAAAAAGACCTGCTTGAAGATAGGATGGCTGAGTCAGTACCAAGCTTTGGATTTGTTAAACCACACTAGCTTTGATCCAGACTGAAATATCTCAACAGCTATTTGATGGATTGCAATGAAAGTTTGTCTAAACACAGTCATGTTCCTCTCAGGATGAATCATCCCTTGACGTTTGAACTATCCCCATTAACAGGTTAACATTTTAATTAGCCCACTACTTTGGTTTATGAAAGATAATGACATCTCCGTCAGCACTAGCTGTGCTTCAGTGCTAACTCGCAAATGTTAGCTTCCTAACAGGCTAAACTAAGGTGGTGTAGCAGATAAACCTTACTCCTGCTAAACATCAATTGTCATTGTTATCATATTAGCACACTGATATTAGCATTAAGCTTTAAGCAATGTTGAGCTTAAACAAACAATTCACATACAATTACTAACTATTTCTCTTACCTGTGGTGCTGTTTTAATCTAAGATATGTTGGCTTGAGGTGCTCAGTGTTTGAGATATTGTCTGTACAGATGTCAGCACTCTCTTGAATATAATGTAACTAGATGTTTTTTCGGAAATCCTGATACGGGTTACTCAAGAAGATCCACAGACCTTATTGATAACAGTTTAATGCAGGACAAATGCATCTACTCAGCTAGCTAATGTAGCAACTCAGCCGAGGAGGATGCCATTAACGTGTACACCTCGAGCTGACGCAAGTGTAAGCCTCTTGTAGAAAGAAATCCTAAATGATGTTTAGATTATTATTTTATGCGCTCTGATACAACATAAGCCAGTTGTGCCATCTCGTTCCAATTGATTAGAGAACCATCACAAATCTAATCAATTTCTTTTAGATTTCATATTGGAGTTTATCATTTGTTGATTTTAAATTGTATATCTTGTGTAAAACAACTTTGGGTTTGAAAGGAGTCCTATAAATAAATACAATGATTGCATCGGCTGTGGTTAGTGCTATGCAGTGAATTGCTTTTGTGTGAACAATAATAGAAACCAAAGGAAGAGGCCAGCGATTATTTTTGGAGCAGTAGCCACAGCATCAGCTTATCCCTCTCTCCCTGAATCCATCTCTCTGTGAGTGACCACTCTCAGTGAGACAAATTCCCGACACGGTCTCTCACCCGCTCTCACTGATGCTGTGAGCTAAACTTCAATCCGAGAGAAAACAGGATTAGAGTCTGGCCCTAGATATGGCTTTACCTTACTGAAGACATAACCATGCTAAATACCACTCAGTGCGATCCCATTGTAGGGATTTCACGGACTTACCGGGAAACTCTTTGTATCAGAGAGGGAAGGGAAAGGCCACAGTCTCCGGGTTTCATCTGTACATGTTTCAAAATGTTGACATTGGATGGGTCAAAAAGGATGTTGTCTGCTTGGGTGGCACTGTGACTCTGCGCTGCTTCTGCCCCGTTGCCAACTACAGCGATGTCAGTCCATTTTTGTCTCTAACTGACTGATTCATGTCTACCTGCAGGCCTAATGGGAGGATGGGGGGGGGGGGACTGTGGGTAGTGACCGTGATTTGGCTCTAAAGACAAAATAACAAAGCGAGGTCATGGGACGAGTGATATCACAGAGGGAGACAAATATAAACTAGCGGCTGGTCTGTTGTAAAAGTGTTTGAAATGTTGCGTGTGTTAATATCATATACATCATATATTTCATCATTCTGCCATTCGTTTTTCCTTCAGTTTAACATACAGTACTGTAGGTCCACCCAATCTGACGAAAACGCTCAAGGTTAACAAAGTATACAGAAAGACGTAAAAGGGAAATTCGGTATTATGTTGCATATCACATTAAGCTCGACTTGACTCATGTGACAGCTACATTCTATAAGACTAGGGAGAGATGATTCAGAACGTTTAGCATTCAGTATTTTCTATACAAAACAGTACTCAATGACTTGTGTTGAGCCCTGTCGTTTGTTTGCTCTGACCTTCCCACTCTAGACTAATTCGCCTCGTTGTTCAAAGGGAAGATGGGAATCTCTCGGCGGTTGTGGAACATCCCTCGCTCTTTCAGCAGCCTGCTGAGACATAGATTGCATCTCAGTTATCATTAATGTCACAGAGCAGCAGCAGCACATTATCCACCTTTATAAACGGTTCCTTTCACAACTGAATAGTGATAATACAAGTAATATATCACGTAGGAGCTCTTATCATAGGTAGGTTTGCTTTTACTGACCTGAGGGTATGCTTTTGATCTCGCCTCATTCCTCTGATGAGGCAGTCTGTGGTCAAACAAGGATGGAGGGGAAGGAAGTGTGGAAGCCAGGATGTCCTGGTACAGACCCTTGTCTCTTACGTCTTCATACAGATGGCTGTGAGGGTCCACAGGGAGGCGGGTGACATCTTGAAAAGTACATATGATTGCATACATCAAACATCAATAATAACTAGTAGTAAACATTAAGATAAATCAGAATATACTCCAGGTGGCACCAGCTGATTGTCACAAGGACTGATTCAGCTCCTGATTGGATCGGACTGCATCATATTTTGGAAAGGAGCGAGGTGTTTACTGTTGCCTTGTTTACTCTGAGGTATATTTATGTCTCACCGTGCCTGCGTGTTTCCTCAGGGTGAGGGTTCAGAGGCGGCATGTAGTCACCGCTGGGGTAATAATAATGGGAACTTCCCTGAAATGAACAAAAGAGATAGCATCAGTCCAGCTTTGGCCTGAGGTAACTTCAGGTAAATGACAAATCCACGTGTTGCACTAGTGCCAGGGGTTGCAGTGAATTCTTGGAAGGTCCGTCCCCGCATATTACTTTCTCACTCGCTTCTAAGAAAAGTTCCACCATGCAGATTGTTATTTTTGACTACATTGTTTTATCCCCGACATTTTTGATTAACCGATGTACTTGTCACAGTGTCTGAAATATAGCTTTAATTTGTCATAGGAATCAAATGTAATCAAATCAAAAATGTTCTTTGATTTAATTTGCCTTTCTTTTTACTAGTTTTCTGCATTTCTTCCACCTCTCCAATACTAGGGAGATGATAACACTCGTTTAAATACACAGTTGTAATTGAAACTATGAAAGGCAGAAGATGAACCAGTTGTTTTGAACAGGTTCATTGGAGTGTATGCAGAAATCAGACACAGATATTTCAAAACCTGGAGGAATAAAACCCAGACCAGCTAAACTCAAGGGGAAGATACCTCTGCAGGAGGTTTGGGAAATGTGTTGTTTGGTCATTTGGCTGAACCTGCCCTTACAGGTACCATTTGAAATGAGGGGAAAGATAAAGCCTGCCTCCGAGTGGATTTGAGGTCTTATTATACCCCGTCCTGACAGCACACAGAGCGATCTGTTTTCTTCTTCCTCAGTCAACAGTTTTCTTCAAGGTTCAAATCCTTGTTGAATGATAATTTCTCAGAGATCGATGTGCATTTTGAATGCTAATTGTGAGGTATTGATCTGTGTTCCATCTCTATGCACAGCTAAAGGTTTCATTAGTTTCTTTATCCATTTTTCTCGTTATGGCTGAATTCTCCACTTCCTCCTCTGCCAGATCCCATCACCCCCTGCCTAACCCTCATCTGTTTACTCAGCCTTCTCTGCTGTGTGTAACTACCCCTTTCCCTCCCTCTCATCCCGCTCTTACCGCTGCATAGCTCTCGTAGACGTGGCTGTCTGTCTCAGATCCGGAGTCGATGAGCAGGGTGCGCTGGGCTGCCGTGTTGATCTTCTCTCTGCTCTCATACTTATTGGAGGTGCTTACAGTTGAATGACTACCCCTGTATGGAGAAATTTGATTCGGTCATTTACTTTAACTTTCTTGAATTATATCCAAACATTTGTAGTACTTAATGATACCAGTGATGCGGTTACTAAGGATGGGAATTTGAAAGCAAATGTATATTCGAATATTCGACCCCCAAAAAAAACGGTTAACCGATTAACCGAAATGTACATATCCTATTTTATTAAATTTTGAAAAATAAATAAATACATGTTCAAATAAGTATAGAAACCAAGTCGAATTTGTCAAATGTATTGAACTGGTGATCACAGTTTGAACAGTTGACAGCTATAGGCCTACAGCTTTCATGCTTAAAACATAACTTGGTTTTCTGATGGATTTGGACATAAACGCGAGTGAAGTATAACCGGACGCGAGAGAGAGAGATCAGCACCTGCAGCTCTGCCCGCTGTGAGGGACCGGTGAGCGGAGCAAAACACATTTAGCTATGGCACTGTCATATACATTGAATTATTCCATTTGATAATATGTAATCAACTTAGGCACCCCTCCCAAAAAAAAATTAATAAAAAAGAAAAAAAAGAGAACAATTTTTATAACTCATATTCTCATATTCTCATATTCGAATACCTGATTAATTTCGAATATTCGATTAATCGTTCCCATCCCTAGCGGTTACCCTTGGCTTTTCTGTTTATGTCTACGATGCTGTCGACTGGCAGCTTTAGACTATGCTCAGGAATTGTCAATGTAATACCCAGCTTTTCTCTTGTTCGCCATACAAAGGTTTCGGGTACCTACTTACTGTATATTGTATGTCTTTGCTTTATTGTAACTAAAAGAACATTTCAAAATAAAGTATTTAAAAAAATAATAATACCAGGGATGCAAAAATATTGAGCACACACAGCTCAATATTCTAAATGCACATGTTCTTAATAACAATGTATATTGACAGAGGCTTGTTGTTTTGCCAGCCTGGCTGTTTTAGTAGCTGGGTCAGCCAATGGAAAAGGCCTGAGACTTGGAAGTGGATTGGATGTGTGTCTCTTTAATACCACTTCTGATTGCCTTAACTTACCCCTCCTCTTTATTCTTCTTTCCATCAAGCCCACTGCCTCCTCTACCCCCTGCAGGGGGAATGGAAACAGGAGGGAAAAGGCTTAGTGTTAGGAAATCAGAACTCGAAGAGAAGAGCATCATCTCATAAGCACTCAAATTGATCAGAGCAATAAAAGGGCCAGAGAGTGAGAGTGAATGAAAGACAAGTGAGGTGAGAACATCTATGTGGAAAAAGCAAAGGGCAGAGGAAGGTGAGGAAAGAAAAAGACAACACAGAGAGGGGAGATCCTGATAGTTAGACTGAAGAACAAATAGAAAGAGACAGAAGGAAAGATAGAGGGAGGACATAATGCTAGCAAATGAGATAAAAGATATGGACGAAATGCAGAAGTGACAGCTTTGAAGGATGAATGTGGCATGAGGTAGAGGCTGAGAGAATAAGCGGAAGAAGAGGAGACAGGTTAGACGGGTGGAAAAAGGGACATGGAGAGATGAATAGAGAGTGAGAGGCTGAGCTGACAATTGCATCATGGTTCTGGAGTAATTGCTTTAGAGTTCTGTTGAGGATTCGGGACATTATAATGCCAGAAAGGGATAGAGGAAATACTTTCACATCCATAGATCAAAAGATCATTATGGTTACCTGTCTGGCCTCGCCTCCTTTTCCACCTCAAACCAAAGAAGCAACCCACTGAATTAAACACCAGCAGGACTCCAAACACCACGGTGAACACTACTGTCAAGTAGGTGGGCAGGCCACTTGCACCTAGTCGACAAAACATTACAAAGATTAGCTCAATGTATAATAATAAAAGTTAAAGAAGAAGTATGATAATTACGGTACAGACGCTCTCTTATTTATCTTAATTTAAAAGGGGAAAAGTATGGGTGGGTACCATGACAACTGCTTCTCTGCGTAAAGCAAACATTAACAGCCTTGGAGGTGCATACATTAACATGATTTAGCCAAATGAAGCTAGCTGCTGTGCAAACAGCAATTTCCAACTGCCCTTAAGAGCTTTTTTCAGGGAGAAAAAAGACTTACTCTGTGAGACTGAGTCATCGTCTGTTAGGACTCCTTCTGGCCTCTCTGTAGAGGAAGAAATACAAAACAGAAACTTATTAGCCAAACTTCTAAGCATTATACGTTTATATTGAATTTATATTAGATCATCAGACGGTTGTATGGTGGAGTCCTTTCAGTGTCAAGCTGGGGTTACTCCAAACTGACCCTTGGTGGTGATGGTCAGTACTGCATTATTGTCAGCATAGGCACTCTCTCCCATTGCATTGAGGGCATTGACAGAGAAGTTGTAGCTGGTGACAGGCTGCAGGCCGGTGACCGTGAAGGTTGGAGCTCCGGGAGGAAAGACATCAACATACAGAAAACTGTCTGACTGATCCCAACGGTATCTGTCAACCAAAAGCTTCTGTCAAGTATGGGTATTTTATTTTGAAATGGGGGTCATTCTTAAACCAACATCCCTTTTTTGACATCTCACCTTACACGAAACCTTTGCCGCAGACCACCGTTGAAGCTGGGGATCCACTCAAGAGTGACCGAGTCGTGGGAGACGTCGACTTGGCCAAACGATGAAGGAGGATCTGGGTGATCTGAGGGAAGAATAAAAGAAGAGATGTTTAAAAAGAAAAAAGAGTATGCAGTCTGGATGTTGTGTGAATACTGAAGAGCAGAACACCTTCACTTGACGGGTGGCTATTTGAAAAGGCTTTAGGTCCTAAGAAATGGTGAGGTGTGCCATGAGACAGTCAAGTGATTATATCTGCAGACTCTGAACACCTGAGGCCCTGCTGGCCTGTACGAGCGTGCATCCCCGCTTACTGCTTCAGAGCGATTAAAAATAGATAAATGGATATCACTGAGAGAAATTGCAGAGCTGATGTTCTTCTCGATAGAAATAAAAAAGGAAGAAAAACGATTTGAGATATTGTCACTTATCCTGTTGAATTGATTTTAAAAACCATCATTATTCTTATCATTAGATACAGTATGTGTACCAGAAGAAGCATTTATAACAGTTTACCTCTGAGCAAAATGTTAAGTGACACTTTAAGAAAATGGAATGAAGGAAACAGGTACAAAGAACACTGACGATAAATAACTAAAAACAATATAAATCAAGGAGGAGAGAGAAATAATATGCTTGGAACATGGTCTTTTCTTATTGGCTGTTTATTCCAAAGGCTTTGAAAGAACATATTTTTCACGGTGCACCACTTTATCGGCTTTTTACTTAAAGTGGACCTATCATGCTATATTTGAATAATATAGTGTAGGACCATACCTATATAAGGCATATTTATACTTTTTCAAAATACCAAACAGATCATGCATTTTAGCCATGCCTCATTTTGCTCAATTTGACAATTTCTAGCTCTTTGCAAGGGCTGATTCTGTGAGAACAGCACCACCTACAGGCCCGGCATATGTAGCGTCTCCAGCGCTTTCGAACGGCAATGGCCGTGGCTGTCTCCTCCTGATTGGTGGAGTTGGCCCAATAGCCGTAGCGCCACCGTCCTGACGTCAGGACAGTGTTCAAATCTGGATCAGTTTTTATCAGATCCGTTGCAGCCCCTTTTTTAGAGATTTGGGTATGGAGGAAAATAGAGAGGGTTGTGTTTTCTGACACTTGGTGAGTTCCCTGGAACACCGGGGACACATATTCATGTTTAAAAGACGTACAAAAGTGCATTTTGCATGATAGGTCCCCTTTAAGGTTTTGCTTTGCTGTATGAATGATCAGAAAACATGGACAGAGCTATAGCCCATCCCTTATAGAGCAAAGTGGCTGATTTGTCCAATTTATCCAACCAGAGTCATGCACCGACTGACGAAGCCTCTTGATTATTATCAGTATTGTTAACACAGATCAAAAGAGGCAAACCAGGCCTTCAGTCCGACATGAGGCACTGCTTCAGTCAGGGTAGTGAAGGGAAAGCAGATTATTTTGCATTTGGAGCATGGAAAGAAAGGAGGGTGGTTTTAGGGGCAGAAGTAGAGATAGTCAAGGAGAGAAGGAGGATACATAGTATAGCAGCAACATACAGTAAGAAGGGGATGCTCAACTCCTCTCTGGCTCCAGGCTGCAGCCCAGTTTGTGGAATAAATAATTCCCACTATCAGCTCTACTCATAAGATTCCAGGGCGAAGAGGTCAGCCTTATTTGGATCTCGTCTCATTCAAATCCAAAAAGCGCCAGGCTAAGAAAAAAAACCACCTCTCTTTTCCTCTCGAGCTGTAAAATGATAAGGAAGCATATAAAATGTATTATCACTGCGTCAGATTAATTATAAATATGCGCAGCACTAACAAAATGACTGGGGAAAAACAGGCCAATATTGGATTGTATTTTATGGTTTTCAAAGTAAACATTAAATGTGTCCAATGGTGGCTTTGGGCCTTCGTTGAGAGCAGGACTGAGTTGATAGTGGCGGTGGTGCAAAGATACTCTGGTGGCTTGAAGGCAGAAAAGTCTAAGCACGCCGGGAGAGCAAAGCATATCGCTGCAGCATTATCAGAGGGGGAAGTGAAGTACTGCTATGGGCTGAATGATAAGGGAGATAGAGCAACAGAATAAGTTCCTTAAAGGGCTGAAACTCAGAAGCAAAAGCACTCTCCAGTTTACAGAATGATGCATGTTCAATGGCCCTCCCACACTATTGTAATGATGCTGGAAAAGGCTGATAAACCTTGGACAAAGCAGCACAGACGCGATTATTTTTGAGATGCTGCCAAATTAGAACCAAAGGAATAGTTTGTGCCCCACTGCCAAGTACGTGATATGCATAATCCCTACATGTTGTGGGCTCTTAACACTGACTTTGATCATTTGCCATTCATTTAAAGATGCATAAGGTAATTTTAACCACCAGGGAGCAAAAGGATTTAACTAAACTGATAGCACCGAAGGTCTGACATAAAATACTGAAGGTTACTTACACATCTACACTAACAAGATACACTCGCTTTGTAGCTCTGGTAGTTTTATCTTGGTCTTTTGATCACTAGATGGTTGTGTTCTTAATCTACCTTGAATTGGACTCCCTGTGTGTTAAGTTAAGAGTATAAAGACTGTACAGCATATGTGCAGGCCAGCTCAAAAACAATGAGCCGAAATTGGCAACAAGCAGCTACAGTTTTGTGGAACTGCGCTGTTGGGTGTTATTCTCAGTGGTTTGTGTTACCTACTGACCCTCCACAACACAATCATTACATACAAAATAATAATTTTCACTTTTAGCAAATTGTTGCTGTTAGGGAAAAAGTAATAGGATCATGTTTTACACCATGACATCTCCTCCATCTGAAGCCAAATGAACCTTTCAAAGACCCATTGAATTCTTATATAAAAAATGCATTGCTCCAACGCTGAGACCGGGTTCTTATTCGTACCTCATGAAAAGTTGACGGTTTGAAGGTACATGTTTTTTTTACATAGGCCAACATTAGTCACCCAGAGACACACACACACCCATACACACACAACCCCCAAATGTACTCAGATGCAGTACTTGTGCTGACGAGCTGGATGTGGAGCGTGTCTTCCCCGAGCGAGTTGCGAGCCGTGCAGCTGAAGACAGCGTAGTCCAGGTTCGTGCTCACATTTACAACTCTAACCGTGCTGGTGTGAAAGGAGCCCTCCCTCACGGTCCGCTCCTCATACCTGCAGCATGCACGTACGCACACAGACACACACACAGAAAGAGAGATAAATCCCGAGCAGGCAGACAGCAGGGATTGTGATGTCCTGCAGATCGCACTAAGTCACCCAATTTCACACATCAAAGAAAGCATTAAACAGGTATTTGCATAGTGAAAAGCAAAGTATAAAATGCCCTAAATCTGGATTTAGTGGTGAAATAGCAAGGAATAGCTAAAGAATATATTATATTTGGGTAAAACTTATTCTAATTGTGAGGATTCATCAGTATGAAACCAAATGCTTACAGTAGCACTGAAGCTAACAGTGTGAGGAAGAATGAGAACATAATAATGCATGCTCTCTGACCTCGGGTTGGCAAAGTCCATGCGAACACCTTTTTTTTCCCAAGAGAAGTCGACGCGAGGAATCCCTTCGGCCTGACACACTACCTCAGCCGTTGTGGTGCCATCGCCTCTACTTGCTACCTTCGTCCATTGGGCTCCTTTCTGAAGATTAGGTTTGACTACACAAAACAAGATGGACATGGAGGAAGGAGTACAGGTGTATTTGTCCCTATATGAGTATTCATGTATGTTTTATTACCCTGTTACACTGAGAATAAATACTAAAAACGTACATTGTACTACCAGCTGCACTTCTACAGTGGCAGGGGGTGCTATGTCGTTATTGGCTGAGCACTGGTAAAGACCAGCATGAGCACGAGTCACATCATGGATGGTCAGAAGGCCAGATTCGTCTTGCTGGTTCTCCTCTCCCATCTCCACCTCCCCTTCTCCCTGCGGAAGACAAAGTGAGGGCGAATAAGCGGCAGACAGCAGCTATCCCTCAAAACACACTCCCCCTGCTCCTGGGTGAGGGCTCGAGTAGGGGGGAGGGCAGTGCGAGTATTAAGTCAGGTAGACAGTGAGGGAGAGTTGAGCAGGAAACTATCAGGGCTTGAGGTCGGGATGGAAAGGGCGTCGGGGGAACGAGCTCTGAGGACAGAGAAAGATAATGCTAAGGGTTGGAGAGCCACAGGGAAAGAGAAACGGGAGGGGCTGGGCAGGTTGAAAGCGGGACACACGCTATTGCCAGGGGGTGGGTTAAACCGGAGAAGGCATCAGTAGATACAGAGACCACGCCACATTGACGAATGTGCCCTTTAGTCACGCAGCGGTAATGAAAGCTATTTTTCTGGATTTGGACCGTGTGTGGAGCAGGAAGAGGTGGGGCGGAGGGATAGTTAGAGCCAGTGAAATATGGTGCATCTGTGCATTTAGAAAGGCCAGTGATAAACGGTAAGAATGGATAAAATAATAGAAAGCAAGCCAGATAAAGGAAATATGATACAGGGGATGATTCTGTGTGTGTATTCCGAGCTCTTACCAGCCATTTCCAAGTGAACATGCCAGATATAATGGGGTTGGCATCTGCCACACATATTAGGTCTGCTGTTTCCCCCAGGTTCACTAACACAGGGTCTTTCTCTGCCTTGACACTGGGAGCATCTGAGAGTCAGAAGAAAAGGAGGAGCAAAGGTTAACATGTCAACTTGGGAAAAATCATTTGTCAACCCATTAAGCAAGCATGTCGCATTGAATTACCCTGGCACTCGTTTGCCTTTGAAATTGTTCATAACCCTGTCTTAATTCGGCTTTGCGTTTGAGATGGAACGCTTTTAACCCTTCTATATGTTGGAGGATTACAGATGCTTATGCAACCAAACAGAGAATTGTGCCGTTGACCCAGAAGGCCCTCCACTGACAGCTGATTCCCACATGACAGACTGACCGGCTCCCCTCTTTTCATTAAGTCTTCTTTCCTTCCCGACTGCTTGGCTCCTCTAGTCATCATTTGCCCATACCGCATAAGCTTGTTATACTTCCCATGAGTGCCATGTACTTGCAACAATAAGGCCATTAGTTCCTCCATGTCTAAACCTATGTTCGCACTTGAAGAACAGTGGTGAGAAACACCAGAGAGACACAGACCTCTGGGTTGGTGGGATCCACCCGTGTTGGCCTGCTAACCAAGACCGACATTGTTAAGTGGGCTACACCGCCACCCATAAAAGCTACTACAATCATCCATACATAATGAATATCTACAACTGTCAAGCCCAGTCAGTTCAGGCCGGCAGAATCCATTAGGTGTGTACCATGGGCTTTGGTGAAACAGGCAGACCTACATTTTCAACACTTCCATTATTAAATCATCAGTATCGGGGCAGAGGGTTGGAGCTAGAGGCGAGGCCCCGGGCAGCAGTGGAGATGCACGGCCTTGCATTGAGGCCTAATAAATGTGTCATGCTTGCTGGGTAGGGGCTGAAAGCCAATGGTGATGTCTGTGCGTGTCTGTGTGTGTCTGTGTGTGTCTGTGTGTGTGTCTGTGTGCGTGGATGCTTTGGCGGTTCTGATACTCAGCAGCTTTAGAGTTCAAAACATGTGAGAAGTCTACAGATTCAAATCCAACGTACAAAATGGACAGTTATTTGTTATTTCTGCTCACTCTCTGTACTTTAAGTACGAAGCCTATTCAGCTTGACTTGTGACCACTATGGACCCAAGGTTTACCTGCAAATCTGGCATGCTAGTAAAAGAGTGATCAATTATGAATGGATAGCAGGAAGGTGAAGAAATAATGATTTTTATACTCCCATCCTTTTCTCTCATTTCCATCCCTTTTGCCCATTTTCCTGTGTTCAGTGCTCTAGGGAACTTTAATTAAGCTTCAGGAATTACTGTAAATAATTTAACTTGCTTTCAAAGGTAAATGAAAAATGATCCGAACACCTGGGGAAAAAATGCAGTCATGTTGCCACTGCCACCAAAGTCCTTTTATAATTCAGGACTCCCACAGCTTCTTAAAGGTGGGGTACTGTAGGTAATTTTGGAGAAACCGGCTCGAGTGCGCTAGAATTTGAAAATACACAGCCGGAAAAAATCTGCCACTTCCTTACAGAGCCCCTCCTCCAACACACACGAACGCGCACATGACCAATGAGGGCACGAGATAAGTTTGTGCACAGATGGAAGGCTGACAGGCAGGTAGGCCATCCAGTTATTTTAGCAGGGCCGGCTAAAATGATTGGTCGTGCTTTTTACAGTATTACAGCTTCCACAGATGACATTTTTTAATGGATTTTTTGTCAAAGCACTTAAGATATTCATTGCTATCGGGATGTTAAGAGCATTCCATGGAATATAACAAAAAGTGTATCTCGAGCCGGTTTCTCAAACTTACCTACCCCACCTTTAAGCATCAAATTCAAAGACTTTTAAAGCCCAATTTTCCTCAGATTTAAGGACTCAACAAGGCTCTAAGAAGGTGCTGTTTGAAACAATGACGCAACTGCAGTAGATACACACTCACATATCAGAACATATATTATTTACTCGTTAAAGAAAGAAAAAAAATCAAAAGAGCTTCAATTTCTATTCTTGCAAAAAAAAAAATATAAATTGAAGCACTTTTATGACCTCTTTCCACCTGTATCAATTCACTTTCAAGAATTTCAAAGACATGTGGGATCCATGTTGATATGTGAATTGGTGTTTTGGTTACATGCTCATCCACTCTGTGTGTGTGCAGTTCTTACACAGAACATCCAGCATGATGGAGGCTTGGTTGACGCCCTCCTCGTTTGTACACTTGACCGTGTAAACTCCAGCATGTTTCCTTGTCACGTTCTTGATCTCCAGGGAGTTGTCGTCTGACCGGTGGAAGCGCAGACTCCCCTCTTTACAAAAACATTGAAACGCACACACGCAGAGACATGCAAAACAACGGTAAATTAAGTATTCATTACACTCTCATCAAGCGCGTGTCCTCTGGCCACTGGTCTCTAAGTGACATCTAATCCTGCATTATTGATTGGCCTGGCAGGATTCCCACATCAAGCCGACAATGGGCTGTGTGAGAGACAACTCCTCAACCGCAGCAGTCTTAAATGCAATAGGTGGGTTTCCACATTCAGGATAGATTTTATGATGGGGGCTGCGTATGATGGAGCTAACAGAGTTACCAGAGAAAGAGAGTGGGTGCAGCAGGGCCCTGATGACACCGGCCTGGAGGAGAAGCCAGGTTTAGAATCGTTGTGTTGTATTCAGGGAGACAGCAAACCTCATTTAGACTGCATACATTAGAGCCATAATGAGAATCACATTTGGCAGGGTCCCATGCTGGCTAACCTGCCATGTTTTATTCAGACCCTGAATGGCAGAGCTGAGTGCTTACTTGCTGGCTCAGCTCAACTAGGACCTGGTTTATAGAGCCATCACACAGCCTCGGATCACCTCTGACCAGCGTCTCCCTGCGGTGCAGCCAAATGCAGGAGACCTCCTCCGGGTTAGCTGAGAGCAGCAATGGGATGACTGCCATGTCATCCTCCAACACCTGAATCTGCGCCGGCTGCTTAGGGCTGAATTCTGGTGGGTCTGACACAGAAACAGCACAGAAATTCAGCTACGCAAGTTGGATTTACACCAAAAATACATGAGCAAAGGCGTGAATACAAACTCGAGCACAGAGAATGACACGAACCAGCTAAGGAGAACACAAAGACACACAAAACATGTTGAGCGTGGAAGCAGGAAGAGACACTAATGAGAGTCAAACCAGTAAAAAAAAAGTCGACATCCCACCAATAAATCCAGATCTAACCAACTTCACATACTTAGATGGCGGGGGAGAAAGGCAACGCGGGAGAGAGAGGGACAGGCATTAAAATGACGAGTGACAGTACTGTTGTCCAACTGCAGCTCCGCACAAACACACAGTGACATTCCTTCATGCTCATACACAGTAGCAAGCTTTGAAGCAGAGGCTGGCTGCTGCCTGTGAAATGGCATCAAAGACAAACATGGCCATGCAGCAAAGCAAATGCACAATTAGGACACACTGCCGCAGAGCTCAACAGACCCACAAATCCCAACAAAGGTTTTCCCAGCAAACAAAAAACACACGCACATACTATATGCTGACATTTCTGTGCAAAAGTACATCAGTAAAGCAGCTTACATCTGCACCATCATAAATCACCATTATGCATTGTTTAAGAAAACACATCTCATGGTCACTCGCCAAGAAAGAAGGGAACAAACAAACCAAGAAAGAAAGAAATTAAAGATGTTCCCTCTACTTACAATGCACATTTAGTTTAAAGAATGTGTTAGCCCCCTCAGCTAGCTCCGGAGTGTAGGCCTGGCAGATGACACGCTTGTTGTGATGCAGTGAACTCAGATTTAGGGATAGGGAACTCTGCACTGACACACCACCAAAATGAGCCCTCCTGGGGGGCTGCTCCACTCCCTGTAACCTACTGTAGGACACAAATTGCAACCAGCCAATCAAATCAACAGGAGGGTTCAGGTTCATCAAACAATCACAATTTTAGCACCATTTTACAGTCATTCAGCACTAATATGTATGCCGCTATCACAGTGTCAGTGGGACTCGTGCAGGAAGCGATATAATTCAGATTTTCTCTTATTTTTGTTCATATCCACATGTTTTTCTTATTTTATTTATAATTATTTATTATTTTATTTATATATTTTCCCATTGATTTCTGGGAATCAACAATGTTAAACATTTTTTGCTTTTTCTCTAAGGTAAAAGTTTTACCAAGTTTAGAACAAATATTTGTTTATCCATCGCAAGAAAAACTAATCTGAATTTCAGGAACGTAAAATGCATGAATATCATTCTATGAAATTTAGATTGTTGTATGTTTTAAAATGATTATAATCATAGGATTCTTTTATTTTTGGGCTCAAGAAATACAATTTGTCCGTTGATCCTAATAAAGCCTTTGAAACCCTTAATGGATTAAAGTGTGTGTTCACCTTCTGAATGACTTACACACTGCTATTCAATGATTGTTGACTTTTCTGTAACACAAGTTCTGACATTCTGGAAAATAAAATGTTTCCTTTGTTTAGCTTTATTTGCTCTGCTAAACAAAGCTCCTAGTACTAGGATGGGTAAAAAGCAGAGAACAAATGTCACTGTGTGTGTGTGTGTGTGTGTGTGTGTGTGTGTGTGTGTGTGTGTGTGTGTGTGTGTGTGTGTGTGTGTGTGTGTGTGTGTGTGTGTGTGTGTGTGTGGCTTGCAAAGAGGGTTTCATCCTCCAATTCTATTTAACAGTACCACAATTTCAATACTGCTGACGTTTTGGTGGCATCCATTCAATTCTTAAGCATATGTCAGAGTGTTTGCACATGGCACAACACCTGCCATGGTTCAGAATGTTTGGTGTATCAGGAGACGATAATGATTCTCTTAAATGAATACAAATTCCAGGGAAATTCAAAATGATGTCGCTGCATGAGGCCCACTGTCTGCTATGGGCCTTTCCACCAATGGCCTTGCCAAACCTGACTGTGTCCAAACTCCAGCGGATGCTGGGCTGGGGGTTGCTGCTTCCAGACTGGCACTCCAGAGTTAGCATCTGTCCCTGACGTTGCACCTCCTGTTTGGTTGAGATCTTCATACTTACTGCCAGGACTGGAGCACCATAGAGTAAACAAAAAAGACACAATCTTAACTCACTGACAATTTCAAGATGAGAAGAGTACAAAATGCTGGAAATCTGTGTGAAATGGTTTAAAATAAATCCATTCATCTGATATTGTGCTTTTCTCTCAGCTGAGTGAGACTGAAATAAAGCTCAGCATGTGTTATTGCAACCGAGTCTCACGGCATTTCGTGTTATAGTCACGACATTTAATCTATTGATTCGTGTTCACCAACACGATTTTCCCCTTTTTTTTTTTCGTGTCACACAGAACGATTTTAAAAGCAATGTATTTCTATTGGTAGTATGTTTCGTGCCTGCAACACGTCTTTTTGTCCGGTCGGGTCTTGGAAGACCGGTAGCTGTGTGGTTCATAAAAACATGTTCTTACTCAATATCAAGCCACGATTATTGTTTTTATTTTAAATCGTATAATGTCTGACTTTTTTTGTCGTCTTGTGAGGAAAAGAAATGGGCCTCAGAGCCTCAGAATACTGATATCTGTATTTTTTTAAATCTTTTTTTCCTTCTAATTTGTTATTCTTTTCTAAATAACACACTGTTATTTACTCAACAATAACACACAATTATCCTTGTTTTTATTTATTTGTTTGATTCCATAATCTCAGGCTTTTTTGGCGTCCGTCAGGAACTGAATTTCAAAATAAAAATAACCGGAAACAGACGTAGGCCTATAAGGGACATTTCGAGCATCATTGCGATACACAGCCACTGAACTGATTACCCAAGATCCTCAGCTATGGTTTAAGCTCGGTAATTGGATGTTTTAGCCGCAATGCACGTTGGGATATGGTGTTAATGCGATATGAAATCCGAAAAACATTTCGGAGTTTAGGATGGCCGAAGACACTACACTACCCATAATCCCCAGCTATCGTTTGGGACTACAGTCCCCGTGATTAATCTTCAAACTCTGGGATTGGATGTTGGAGTGGCAGTGCGCCAAGGTTACGCCGAGCGTCAAACAGCTCTTTGAAATCGAACGAAACCACGGCAGACTATCCAAAACTGGACTGGAACCCCCCCAGAGCTACACATGCTGGCTATTGTGTTTCGCAACATGTTCTATGGCACGTCTCTACTGGGAATTGTAGTTTTAAAAGTCGTTTTCGTTTTTCCCAAAATTAGAAGTTGACAGTATTAAACTGTGTACATCCCTGGAGGTTTAGGCGATAGGAAACACATTGGTGTGTACACATTTAAAACATATAATTAATAAATGGGTGAACATCGCTTGTGTACATAATGCGCAGCATTAATATATATCCACATGACAGCTCATTGTTACTTTGTAATTCTACTCCACTACAATTCAGAGGTTAACCTGGTATTTCTACTCCACAACATTTATTTTAGTTACTTTGCAGATTCTGATTAATGATCTGAAATATAAACAACCCTTAAATTAGGCTTTAGTTACACCTGAGTAAAATTCAGGGAAGGTGATTGTCAAATGCCAACAATCAGGAGAGATATTTGATAGTTGCTGCTTGAGAAGACCAAACATTTATCTGCAGATCCCTATAAAGTATATTCATTACTCGTTATTCTCTACTAATAGTTAATTAAAGACTGTATATAATGGCTATTTTGCACATCCCTTTCAAGATTTCAAAATGTTCTAAGGTTTATTGACATATCATATACACAACTAATTCAATAACGTGCTTTAACCACTAGGCGGTGCACACAGCCATAATAACTTTGTATTATTAGTGTAGGACACTTGTGTATGTATAATATCTGAAGATGTGTAGTTTTATTCATGTTTTCACATAATTGTACAGGATAGCCTCTTGCTATATTATTTCACATGTTTTACTTCTAATATCTGATTTGTAAAAAATCACAGACAGAAAGGTATACCCGTCATTTAATGGTAAGCTATTGAAATTCTGAATCCATAGATGTGTCTCCCATCACCCAAATCCCCTGACTATTCTTTAAACTCAGTATTTACATTCTTTAATTCAAAGAAAATCAGTAATATCTTTAAAAACTACAAGTCCTTTTATATCAGCTGTGCACCGTTATGGTGTAAATATAACCTATCTACCAATTGGATCAAATATAAAAGTCAGCCGAATTAGTGTTGATACTGCAAGGAGACGTATTGTGTGAAGAGAAATTGAAGATGTTGTTTAATTGCTGATATATTTATGATCCACGTCACGTATTCAGTTTCCGTGGCAGTTCTTCCAGTTTGTCCAGAAGTCTTCTAATCAGGGCTCTATAAATAGAGAACTACGGCAGATGTGTCATATTTAATGCAACCGAACTGTGTATTACAATGCCGTTATGTGATGACTTTCAAAGAGAAAAGCAAGAACACTCGGAATAAAGTATTATTTTCTTTTTTTAAATGTTTTTCGGATTTCATATCGCATAAACACCATATCCCAACGTGCATTGCGGCTAAACAATCCAATCACCGAGCTTCTAGCTGAGGTTCTTGGGTAATCAGTTCAGTGGGTGTGTGGCATGGATGTATAATAAGAACAGTGTGTGGTCTGTATCGCAATGATGCTCGAAATGTCCCTTATAGGCCTACGTCTGTTTCCGGTGACTTTATTTTGAAATTCAGTTCCTGAGGAACGGCTAAAAAGCCAGAGATGATAGAATTAAACGAATAAATAAAAACAAGGATAATTGTGTGTTATTGTTGAGTAAATAACAGTGTGTTATTTAGAAAAGAATAACAAATTAGAAGGAAAAAAAGATAAAAAGAATACAGATTTCAGTATTTTGAGGCTCTGAGCCCCATTTCTTTTCATCACGGATGGCAAAAAAAGTCCGACATTATACGATTTAAAATAAAAACAATAATCGTGGCTTGATATTGAGTAAGAACATGTTTTTATGAACCACACAGCTACCGGTCTTCCAAGACCCGACCGGACAAAAAGACGTGTTGCAGGCACGAAACATACTACCAATAGAAATGCATTGCTTTTAAAATCGTTCTGTGTGACACGAAAAAAAGGGGAAAATCGTGTTGGTGAACACGAATCAATAGATTAAATGTCGTGACTATAACACCAAATGCCGTGAGACTGGGTTGGTTATTGTGTCAGAGCTCCAGTCTAACTCACAGTGAACCTTGAACTTAGTCTGGGCAGAAATGGTCTTCTTTGCTTTATTTATGGCATCACAGCGGAAGGTGGCCATGTTGTCACTTGGCGTCAGAACCAGGATCAGTTCTCGAGCCACACCCCGCTCAAAGGACGTCTGCCTCAGTGCATCGTGGACTGCCCTTCCATTCTACAACAGGAAGGGAGGAAATTACACAGGGAAGAGTGTGTATTTCAGACATACGCTCCAATACACACATACAGTACACACTCACCTTGAACCAAGTCAGAGTCGCAGTGGGATTGCCTCCAGTGGAGAAGCAGACGAGACGGACCGTGGTGCCTGAACGTGGAGGGACATCTGAAAGGGGGGTATCGAGCCATACATTTTGAGGGGGATCTGATATAAAAAGAAACAAAAATATGTCCTTTAGTAGAATTTTTGAGTAAATTTACATACGTGTTTATTTTTAACAGTCCAGTAGCTTCACTTAGAGACCATCACTCAAGGTCAGTTATATAGAATATTTTCGATTTGAAAAGGGGAACAGAAAACACTTCCATTAACACACATTTTAAAAAACAGTCCTAAAAAAACAATTGCACATTCTGTGTTGAGAATTAAATGAGTGAGAGCAATTTCTTTCCTTTTTTTGCATTTCTTGACATTCAGAGCTGTAATTGAAATCTAGCCCTCCTGAACTATGATGGATGAGCATTTGATAACATGTTAAAAGTAGTACAAAATAAAATGTCATTCTCCTCGCATAGGTATGTTATGCTAGTTAATTCTACAACAATAGAATAGAAAGGCTTACTGACAGTAGACATTGAGTATGTCGAACTGGGTCTTGGAGAAGTGTGTCCCCTTGTTGAAAGCCTCACAGGTGAGTTTCAGTCCGTCGTCCTCCCGGGAGACCCTGTGGGTCATGTTGGACACGGTTGTCATCCCACCATTGTCTCCCTGCAGACATAATGCACACATGACAGTTAAGTCAGGGGACAGACAGCCTTGGTTTCAGGGAGAGAGAGGGAGAAAGAAATCAGTGAGAATAACAACCCACAATGGTTTGTCTTTGCGAATACAGATGGCAAATTAGCGGCTGTAATGACTGATGTTGTGCATGGTCTTTGATAAATAGCATATTCATCTGTCTCTTCTGCTTTGCACGCTGTTTTAAATTGAGCAAAGCATCATTTCGCACCTGCCTGATAGTGGTCATGCCTGTGCAGCACATTTGGTTATTAAAGCCATTATTGTGTTGATTACTGTAAAAGCCCCAGTCAGAAAGACTAACAAAGACACTGGACAGGAGCGTCAGTCTTCATTAACCTCACACTGTTTCAAATGCATTAAAGCTCACACACAGCACACTGAGTGCCTTGTGTAAGATCAAATGAAAATGTTGCTGCCAGATGAATAAAGAGCTTGTTTAATAACACTCATCTTCCGTGTCAGCTTTTATTCACTTTGATCTGATTAACATACACAAAAGAGGAGAAGAGCAGCAGAATACTCTTTTTAGAATCACCTGCTGATTCATTTGCAGTATACTGTAGTTCTATTCAGACACACTGCTCATGGTCATAGCGTTTCCTTTCATCTAAAAGGTTCACAGGAGGTCACATTTTAGAGGATTCTTTTTTAATTCAATGGGAGGCCTTTTAAACGTTTTTTCTATTACCCTCAAGGCAAATTTAAGGGGGCAAGGCGTTTGCCCTTTATCTTTTAAGGCTTGTGTTCACCAAAAAGACACAATAACATACCCTACTGCAGTATTCGCTTTAAAACAACAAGCATGATCATTCATTTAAAACCCATTGTCACTGTACACTATCTCTTGCCAACATAATTGTTTCTACTTGCTTAGACAGATTACAACCTTGTGTGCTGTGTAGTCCCACCTCTTCCATAGCTTCTCCGGATGTGTTGAGCTCCTTGTAGCCCAGCCACCAGCGGATCTGGACAGGTGGATTACTGGAGGTGGCGTAGCAGCCCATATTTATGTCCTGCCCCTCGATGGCCGTGAACGACCCCAAAAGTGTCACCTCTGCAGGCTCAACTGTTGTACACGCACACACAGACAGGCAGACATACGAAAACAAGTTGGTACAAATATCGCCCATGAATAGTACATTCAACAGCTACCTTTTCTGATCACAGTGGCAGCGCACCTATTTTGGGATATGAAACATAGAGCTGCATCAAGGGTGAGAAGGAAAATCACTTTGAGTGGCAACTTGTTTTCTCAGGAGGTTTTCACTGTGGTTTTTAAAGTCTGCTTCGTTTTAACCACAGGGGGAGACGGGGGTACAATAGCTGCAGGCAAAGCGATGCAGCTGCATAAAGCCTTCCGGGGAATACAAAGACTGGGGACTGAGCAGGCAGACATGGCAGACATGGGGAAGGAGGGGTCATGTATGTAAATCTTAATACTTATTTGTGTCTTTCCCACATGAGACATAGACCGGGACGCCTGTGTGAATGCCACACACAAAGAATGTTGGAATTAAGCAGGAGCCGTGAGGTAAAAGAGGCATATTCATATTACACCAGTGAGACGTGCCCTCCAGCCTCTGCCAGTGCCTGCAGCGCAGTCAGGCAGTCAGCAGCTCATTTTCAACATCCATGAATGGATGACTGTGAGGCATGGCACCGGGGTCTGTTGGGGGCTTTGTTAGGAAAGGAGGAGCAGTGGAATAACTTCAGCCACCCTTACATAGAATAAGCAGGAGATTTCTGCATGGACCGTTTCTAATTCAAAGCATATTTACATAAAATAGGTGCATCAATCACATTTAAAGCCCGGACTTACATAGTCTGGCTGTGTAGTGGTAATCAGGCTATTGTTAGACTCAATGCACTAAGGCTGCTGAATATTAATTCTGTATTTGTTTTATTGTTGCTGAAACAAACATTTTAAATTCACAGAGAAATGTATAATCTATTAAACATGGGCGTTACTATCGCACAAAGTGTAGGCTGTACTGCCTCAGGATTGTGCATTGAAGCAAATCAGCTAAATTATTGTAGCCGCTATGAAAGAGCGTGCTGTGATACTAATCTGAAGGCAGTGGGAAAAATTGGCCGCAGCCATAATAACCATTAGTTTCATTAATGATCTTAGCATTAGAATTTATGCTGGGACAGCAATATAATAGTTTTTTGAGGTAAGACTCTTATTATATTGCTCAGCCTTTTGTCCATATCCTGAATAATCCATTGCTGCTCGTCTTGCCAGGGCTTTGAGTGTGAGTGTGTGTGTGTGTGTGTGTGTGTGTGTGTGTGTGTGTGTGTGTGTGTGTGTGTGTGTGTGTGTGTGTGTGTGTGTGTGTGTGTGTGTGTGTGTGTGTGTGTGTGTGTGTGTGTGTCTGTATGTTCCAGCACTGTGCACTGTAATAAGCATTACTTTCACTCACAGAGCACAGTGATTTTGCGGCTAACAGAAAGAGGTGACGAAGACACCATATTGACGCTTTCACAGCACAACACTGCCTGGTTGTCTGTTGGACGGATTTTCATGAAGAGGATACTGCTGGACTTCTGCGCCACAACGTCCTCTTCCCACGTTGTTGAGAGAACTTCTTCATTCTGTAACACAGACACAAAAAAAAAAAAAAAGACAACATCAAGAATATGTTTCGGAAATTAGCACAGTCCCATATGGCGTACTAAATAAAGTACAGAAGCTTCTAACAAAAGGATGCTTACACTGCAAGTTGAATAAAAAAGCTAATTTTGCCAGTGTGACAGTGTGTTCCAGAGCCTGCTTAACAGATGGTGCTGAAGATTTACCTTGGTCCATTGGAGAGTGGCTAGGGGGTTTCCACCATGAGACACACACTCCAACACGAGCGTTCTTCCCTCTTTGACTTCCTCTCTCTCTAGACCCAAAATAACTGGAGGCTGAGGTGGGTCTGCCAGGAAATGAGAGACAAAAACAATTTGGACTTTACAAAGGGGACTTACATAAATGGCGGTAGAAAGCAGAAGAAAAAGAGGGTGAGAGATGAGAAAGAAAGTAGTAGCTTGGCCAAACGGGGATGGAATGACCATCAAGAGAATAACATAAAAAAGAAACTGCACTGCGATGAGAACACTCTTGGCAATTAAGTAGGGAGCATCCGTATTTGTTGAGACAGGGCCAATAAATTGGGCACAATCAACATGACTGTGGGATAAGAGGTCCAGATCTGATGAAAGCATTAAGTATTAAGGGAGCAGTGAGCTGGATCCAGTCCATAAAGTCACATAACAGATGTTCAAACAGTAATAAGGCAACGTGAAATATGAATAAATTAGAGCCCCCTTGAATAAAATATAGGCAGTAAATAGGAGAGGACGGGCCTTTGTTATTGCTGCAATCAGTTTCAGAGAGCAGGCTGCGGACCCTGGGCCAGTGTGACAAATTGCCACCTTGCTAACAATCTGGCTGGCTGAAAATGGCCACCGCGCTGGCTTTGATGGGCTGGCATGCTGAGTAAGACTGCAGCGGTGGTCCCGAGTTCTGCAACATTAGCACTTAGCACCGTGCCTATGTTGTTTAATACAGAGCAGGAGACGGAGAGGCGGGAGGACTGCTCACGGTTATTGGTGGTTGTTTAACCAGCAGCAGCTGTTTCTAATGTGGAAGAGTATAGATAGAGACAACATTAAGTTTTCTAGTCAGCCTGTGGATAATACGGCAGCTGAGCTAGTGAGCGCTCACTGCTAAAGGTGTCAGCAGCCCCGCTCTACTTTAATCAACAACATGATTTAGGCAAGGAGAAGCAGGTGGGAAAACTCTCGGGCCTAAACAATCAATTACTTCAACTGATCAACAGAGTAGAAAATACTAAACCAACTGTAGTAAACATTAGCTGCCATGTCACACTGTTTGTGTGTTCAGCAACAATGGCTTTCATTGTTGCCTCTACAAATAAGAGGAACAAGAAATGCCAAATGCAATGAGAGCCAGAGACAGCATATGTGTCAACTCACCTTCGGGTGCTGCAGTAACAATTGTTTTTATATAATGTTACGCGGTTTGTGATAATAGCATGAAAGAAAAAAGCAACAGAAACTGCCTCCCCTCCTGCCTCAGTGGATTCTACATTTAATTTAAGCTGATGAGCACAAAAGTTTGCTAGGTTAGTTTTGTAGGATTCATTATCATTAACTGTGGTGGCCTCAGCATCCCATATTAGTTCATATTACTTTAAAAATAGCAGGTCCTGAGGTCTCACTGATATAATCCCTCTCAGTTGGTCTCGTAAATAGTTTATGGGTTTCGGTTGGAAATAAGGGTGTAGATCATTTTAAGAATACTGAATAAAACAGTAAATATAAATTGATTCATGGCACCACTGTGGACTAAGCGGTTTTACAGTAAGAAAACCAGAGACCTGCTTCTTTGTTCATATTCATCTCAGCCCACCAGGGGCAGCCGTGTGAACTGGAGGCAGTCACACTCACGTTGTCTTGAAGTAGGTGTGAGTTTGCCTTCAGGTTGAATGCTTCTCCTTGGACTGCTAACAGAGACTGATTGCACAAGGACGGTTACCCTTGGGCCTCCCCAAGGTTGTGTTCCTGTGTGGTTGACTGTGTTTGTACACGAGGGCTTGTTTTTTTTGTTTTTTTAAAGAAAAGGGGGTGTTTACTGTCAGTTTAAAGACAGGATGAGACACTCACAGTGCACCATCATGGTCATTGTGGTCTCCACAGGCCGGAAGAGGGCGGGGTTCTGTGCATGACATGCCAGCTGCCTCCCGTTGTCAGAGCTCACAGCAGTGACCCTTTGGGAGGAAACAGAAACACAGACAAAATGAGAAGGTGAAAAGACTTGAGAAGTTAACATTGAGCCAGATGAAGTTTTAAAGTTGTCAAATGACAAAAACACTGATGTTGACATACTTTTACAAGTGAAAGTACTGCAGTTGATCCTATTCGGTAAAAGTATAGAAGTTTTATCAGTAAAATATGCTCCAAAGTATCAAAGTATAAGTACTTGTTCCATAGTAAACTGTCTCGTGTGGCATGTGATATTTGTTTGAAATGTCTTTTTCAGATAGTTAGAACTGGTGCATCAATGTGCATTTGCAATATACTGTTAGCTGGTGGAGTTGGAGATCTTTTTCACTAGCCTCTCTATACAGCTGGGTAGTTTAGTCCAATGGGAGTCACAATACAAGTCTGAGGGGCTGTGAGATGGTTAATTGGACAGGATCGAAGAAAAATAACTTCTGGTGTGTATAGGCATGTCTTTGACTTTTTCGCTAGTCTTTGTTTTTTTGCTGAAACTTTGGATGGATCTAAACCATCTAAGGAGAAAAGAAAGTTGAATCGAAACATAAAGCCCAAACTATGCACCAAACCAAAAAGGGTTTAGAACCGTTTTAACAATGTGTTTTAGCCTTTCATATATTTGTTTCCTCTGAAACGTAGTTAAAAGTAGTATATGGCCAAAAATGGCAATACTTCGTACAGGCTCTTCCAATGACTTCTTGAGTGAATTTACTTTGCACTGCTGTGTGGATTGAAAAATGCCCTTTGCAATGTTTATAAAAGAAACGCCGGTCCCTTCAATGCAGTGGTTTTATTTTGAGCCTAGTTTACTCTCTCAGTTCATGTCTTCTATTTCAAATTACAGCAGAATGTCGGCTGTAACGATCACACATGGCCCGCTGCTGCGAACTCTCAGTGTGAATATGAGGAAGGGGCATCAATATTGCTTAAGACCTCGGCAGCTGAACAACGGTGCAGCTCCTCAGTCCCAATGTTATCTCAGGATATGACAAGAGGTTATTATCTTTGACACAGAGGAGACAAGCAGGATTAAAGTAATCTATGGGCCTGTTTAATGTAAAGGCACCTGGCGAACCTGCGAGGATCGGATCGGTCTCGCTGCCGGAATGTAATTTCGTGCATTTGACAAAGCTAATTTAATCGCACAGTGCCAAGTAACAGTTCGCTGTGTGTAGAAATTCATTGTGCTCGCTAAAACAGAGGGAGAAAATAAGAGCGCGGTGAAAACAAGGAAAAGGAGAAAACAAAGACAGACTTGGGGAGATTGAGAATGTAAGTGAGGAGAATGAGTTTGGCAGGCGGGCGAACACATACGTTACTTCGGCATGCGTGTTCAGGAGCTTATCCTTTGAGCCAGACATGGTGAAAGACTGTGCACCTGTCAGCTCCACTCCATCTAAGAGACACAATGGGGGGAAGGAACACAAAAAGGGAGAGTACTGTGTGTGTAAATGTGTTCATGTGAAACAGAAACATCAGTGTTATTCTCGTGTGGAATCGTAAATACTGTGATATGATGGACATGTGTATTTCTGCGTGTGCAACAATATATGTCTGTTTCAGTAAACATTACCCCTGTCTCAACCTATTTTTAAATCGAAATCATACAGCGGTATAATAAGACCAAAACAATTGTATGTTTTATGGAAACAATAGAGATGTACATTTTGACATGAACAAATAATGTATATATGTTAGAACTACAGCACTACTCTGAGACTAATCGACACCAAGGAAGAAAAATAGAACATCACTCCCCCTCCGCTTCAGCAATATACAGTATAATAGGTGTGACGGGGGAGCAAGAGGCAAAGATAGAAAATGGAAAAATTGCTGTTGTTCTTGTGAACAACTACAAAACTTGTGACACATTCTCTGTACATGCAATCGTAAAGTCAGTAGAAATTGGAAATTCAAATGTGAGGCTATTTCCTCCCACACGGTCTGCTACTTTCAACACTGCTATTCAAAGACTATGAAATAAGAGATCTTTGCTGGTCTCATATCTTACAGTATCTTCTCCAATGTTTTTTATATTTAAATATTCAGCTTGCAACCTATAGTTCTAACCTGTCAAACTCAACGTTTCTGTCACATTTGTGGCGACTCACCTTTATAGAGTGTGATATCAGCCATGGGCTTTGAGTCAGGGGCGATACAGGTGACCGTGTACTTGGACCCTGCCACCCAGGGGGTTGCCATGTCCACCATAAGGTACGGCTTGGAGGGAGGAACTGGATGAGAGAAACAACAGCTGAAGATTTATATTTATCCAATCATTTACCTAATATCCATCAGGCTAATCTTTGGTTAGAGGAAGCAGACGCTGTCACAGATGGATATTGGCCTATGCAATGATATAATAATAAGCGCTGGCAACATTTGGAAATGACTGGAATGTCACGCTGTCAAGCTTTTGAGTGATTCACTACAGCGAGGTTTGATGTTCTGTTGTGTTAGAATACAAATTGTGGACAAAAAGAGAATACAGAGATGAAATGGTGATGAAACCGATCCAGTGCTAATCTATCATAGCAAACACCAAACACTCTTCTTCTCAGATCACCCCCGAGCTAAATATGTGCTTTCTGGACTGATCAAAGCAGTATTCACTTCTCTACTGTTCTACTCTAAAACCCTTTTATCTGACCATAAATAGGAATTCCAGGAAGGAAAAAAAACTGCTTTTAACACAAGGGACTGGAAATAGTTTGGCAGTAAATTGAGAAATCTGTCACCAACTAACAATCAAAGAGATTTCTGCAGATCTTACCAAGACTATCAATTCAATCATGCACAAGATACAGGAACCTGATTGTCTATTGTGCCAGCTTTATGTAGGGGGTGAGCCTGTATAATGACATACTATCGGTACTGTTAAGTTTTTCTTTCATCAGAGATCAAGTGCAAAGGCTGACGTCAGAGATTGAACTGGGAGCTCAAAATGCAGGATAGGTAAACATGTGTGAGAGAGACATGAAAGCCTCTGGCCGAAGAGTAAAGAGGTATGGCCAGAATGAAAAGTGAGTGTAAAATAAGCTGCAGAGGAGAGCAGGAGCACGAGGATACCTGCTGCTGAATTCTGGGATACATCCACTGCTAATGTGCGGGTAAACAGCTGGAGCACAAACAACCACATCAGCAAGCCATCTTCATCTTTTGTCACATACAATCAATTCCTGTCCACTAGGAGGAGCTGTTGCTGTGTGCAGGGCCGTCCATTGGCTCCAGTCTGCTATTGAGACAGATGAGATGTGGCTGCAGCTCCAAACTGATTTAAAAGAAGCAATTGAATCTGTGTGGACTGTGATGGGTTACCCAGAGCACTGCAGAGGCGCGCGCTGCAATAATGAGATGCATTTGTTTGTTTTCCCCCCCCTCTTCCCTGAGAAGATGACTGGGCCATGCATCTATTGACAGCCCCTGCACTCTCAATCTACTCAGGCCCGCACGATTCAACATAGCGCATCACTTGTTGTGCTCCAGGAGTGTCTGGCAGCATAACAAATCCTAAAATAAGAATAATGATATGTTCACAAATGAGGCAGGCAGGTATTTCATTTTTTTCTTCGCTCGCTCATGCTGGTCCTCTTATCTCTCATTCACTCCATCATCCTCTCTCCAGCATCCGGAGCCCACCCCCCCTCTCCCCACGCTATCCTTCTTGACCACTGCAGTTAAACTGCAGAAGTGAGGGGGAAGGTGTGTTCCAGCTTGCACTGGGAATAAAAGGCTGCCATCCATCACATCAAACAATGTGACCCAATCAGCTCAGTCAGGATGAACATTTGTACAAATGTAATAGTACATGTGGACAACAACAACACACACTCTATTCAATTTACTGGACATGCACTCAGAGCAAAAACAGACAGCATACAAGCTGTTCTCAGAATTAACTCTTTCTGCCCCTTTCTTTTCTAATTGCCTGTCGGCTTTGTTATTTTGTCTCCCTGTCTCTCCCTATCTCTCTGCTTTCTAGTCCTATCTCTCTTATTAAGGTACATATACGAACAATAATAGATAGGTACGGAAAGACTTGCTTCAGACGAGAAACAGTGAGCCGCAAAATTTGATTCATTAAACAAATACAGACGGATGGATGGATAAGGCAGATAAGAAGCAGATTAGTAGACACACATCAATATGCATATCCACCTATCTTTCTCTCATTCACGTACAGATGCACACGTGCACACACACACACACACACACACACACACACACACACACACACACACACACACACACACACACACACACACACACACACACACACACACACACACACACACACACACACACACACACACACACACACACACACACACACACACACACACACACACACACACACACACACACACACACACAGCTCCTTTGCATAAAAACACCCTAAGATAAACTCAAGTCTACAGTGCATGTAGATTTGCATTCACGAACCCACTGACAGAGATGAGCGTGTGTGCAGACAAGCAACAGGGGCCAGAGTGTGTGTACAGTAACATGTGATACCAAGCTGATTCTGTAGAGAAATTATTGGAAGAGGCCCAGAGGATAAACCAGTCTCTAAAAGGCTTATTATGCTGAATTAAGAAAAAATAATGGAGACTGAAGATCACACAAACACAACTTATTGGTTTTATCTCTGTATGACACAGATTGGCTGAAGGCAACACTTCCATGTAAAAGGATAGATTTTTTTTTATACACAAACACACGGTTTCTCACACAGATACGCACACATTGTAGGTCTCAGGTGTGTGATCTCTGGCTATAAAAGCCTCTGAAACAGTGCTTTTTTTCCAGTGTTCCCTTCCTCACCGTCTCCCGTCTGTTCTGGGGGAGAAGTAGAGCAGCAGCCATCACGCCACTCCTCCTGAACCAATACTGCCCTCTCTTAGCCTTTGCTCTCATGACCATTTACCAAAATAATTCACACATTCAAGAATAGCAAGTATCCCTTTTTTAATTGATTAAAAAGAGTTCAAATCAAACGAGAGAGACAAAACAGTTGAGTTGTCCATTTAGTATCTCATTTGACCATTTAGCAGGGCCTCCTTTGCTAATTGTCTGTTACCATAATAGGCACACCGTAACACCACTGTATAACACACCATCGCCTGATGGGGTTACATCTTGGGTAACTGTCAGAATTTTCCATGAACGAAGATGAATAAAGTCACTATGTTCTGCGTTGCTTGTGCCCCCATTTATAAGTTGTTCCATTATTCATAACAGGGAATCGTAAAATGAAGGCTCATTATATGCTCTTCAAGTGCTAAACTCATTAGCTACCGCAAAAACCTCACCATAGCCCTCGTTCCTAAAATGTCCTCTAACCTCCAACCAACACTGATAATAAGCTTACACACATGGGCACACACGTGCATAAACACGAAAGCGCTCACACACACACCTCTGTAAGACCCAACTATGGCAACAGAATGAGTAACGCAGTCTAAAACCAGAAGACATCAAATAACTGTTTTGAACATTTGCAGGAGGCATCTGTACAGGCTGGCAATGCAGAGACGGAGAGAGTTGTTCATTAATAGGATTAAATGCTAAGGCTAATGGTGTAAACCGAGACACAGGATGCGTCAGGTATGTGACAGGCACGGTGCAGGGTAAGTTTTAGAAGAGGAGGGGGTTTACGGCGGAGGGGGTAGAGGTTGTTATTGTCATGGATTACTCACTGCCACTTGATCTGCCTATTGCGGTAATCCCCTATCTAAGCTCTACAGGAAGGCAAAAACACACAGGAGTTATGTTGCACCAATGGAAATGTCTTGAAAACATCTCTTTGTAAGCTCATGGATGGGGCTTATTGACATTTTTACCCCCGTCCATGATATTCACTGCCTGTGGTGATTCATCTTGAATTAGCCAGTCATGATAGCATTCCCTCTGACCCAAAAATCCAATTATACGACCAACAATTTCTGTTCTGTTTTCACATTCCTCCCCTCTCCCCCACTGTATCTCCTCATAAAGAGTTTATAGTGTTTTGATTTGATGCAGGGCTTGATGGGATATGGCCATGGTTGGCTGGCCAGGGGTGTGGGGCCTTGGGAGCTGTAGTTCTGTGATGGAGAAGTCTGTGGGGAACTCATCAGAAACAGTGCTCTTCAAAGGAATGCACAGTTTCCAGTCCCAGATCAGCACTAAGAGGAGATTGAATTCATCAGCTCATTATCAAGCCTCAGATTAGTCACGTACTTTGAATCAGTTGAGTTGGTGGGTTGGAACAAATGACCCTTTAGGACCAAGGCTGCAGAGTGCTTTTTAAGGCAGTCGCCTCACTCTTCGCCCTTTGCAAGAGTACAGCTGTTACTGTCCATCTTAAAAAAGTCAACAGCTGGAAAGTGTTCCCAAGACACTGAACAAAAACACCAGCTGAGATTCAGATCTGAGCATGTCAGGCACACGGTGGCAGTAGGTTTCAGTCATGGTAAATACGAGTACCAGTGATCCCTGATGCAACACGAAACATAATTCCCACACATTTTGACCTTTTACGACATAGCCTAAGGCAATCTTGTTGACTTTGTGTATGTGGGCGCATAATATGCAATAGGCAATTCAGAGGTAATAACTGTGGGAGTCAAGCCTGCTGTGGCTGCAGGTGTAGGCCTGCTGTAGGACATGAGACTGCTGCAGTGTAGAGCAGAACGTAGCCATTCAAAGGAGACCTCTGCGCTCTATGCCTCTTCGTATCCCACACCACCCGCCATCCCTCCCACCGGCCCATTGATGTCAGAAAAACCTGCTTTCTTCCCAGAGGAGAGTGAGGCTGCTATAATCGCCACGGCCACCCCCCCCCCCCACCCTTTCCAAAAAAAAAAACCCTCTCCATGGTCACCAAAGAGAAAGCCGGAAAGCGAGGGAGAGGGGGAGAAATTGTGCAGAATGGGGAGGGGGGGGTGTAAGCAAATGAACTACGCCTGGAGAAGAAAGGTTCTTTTAGAGTCCTTTCCTTGCCACATATGGGCTTGCTCCCACAAGCAAGAGGGATAGGGAGAGAGAGATACCGGGTGGTTGTAAAGGTGACAACAGGTGGTCTAATATAGTCGCACAATTACATCTATTCCAGCGCATGTCTGAGTAGGAACTTTTCAATCACTTCTGATATAATGTATTCCTGTGAAAGGGGGAGACATGGATCGCCCAGAGGCTTGCCAGGGAATCCAGGCTGTGTTAACACTCTGTATTGTGTAGCTGCTGGTTAAAGCCAAAGACCTACTGGAACATGTGGGGAAGGCATGATGCGTGTTAAAGAAATAAATAGTCTGAAAAGTTATGAAAATTGATACTTTCTACATGGATCATACATGCTTCAAAAACAGTGCATGAAGGCAACCGCTGAGTTCTACTGTACCATGGACACTTTAAATGTAGTCTCTAAATTCAAGTGTGTGCTGCTGTAAATGCATAATCTTAAACAAATTCAAACTTTTTGTCAGTAGAAATGAATATGTAACAGCTCTTTATATGCTGATTAGCGGTCAGGAGGTTATGTAAGTGGAGTATTGAGAATGCTCACTGTGCCTCAATACATACAACATTTTGTTACATGTTTTCCTAACATACAGGGATCAAGCACACTCTGGCAGACAATTATCCAGATCAATCATCACTCATAATTTATGAGTGATGATGCAGCGCAAAGAGCAGGTGAGATTTGTTGTCATTCTCCCTTTGCAAATTAGTGTGTAAGTTATTTTAATCATAACTAACAATATTTTCTCAGGTACAATTTCAAAAGCCCACACATCCCCTCTGTTCACACTTCCATGGTTGTGCTCACTTAACATGAAGATCCATGCTGTGCTGGAAATGATAGCTTGACTGCTATCAGATCGGCCCGCTTGACATTCATATGAAGCTTCATCTTCCAGCAAGGTCTTCTCAATCTGCAGATGATGCTGTCCTGAAGAGGAGAGGGAGAGATCGACGAGACACATTATGTTGTGATAAGTATGTTCTCACTAAAAGCATGTCAATAATAACAGAAAATAAACGCTTGTTTGGTTTTCTTCTCTACTCCCCACTGAATATAGCACTCACTGTTCAGCGTTGTTACATGTGTATCGATAAATGCCTCCTGCAGGCTTTATTTCTTCTGTGTTGATTTCAGAGAGTCTGAATTATAGGCAATTTTCAACATGGGAAATGGGAAAATTAACAATAAAAGCAATTTGTAGAATGACAGTCTCGCTTTTCAATTCAATACGGTAATATCCTCTACTGCTGACGCGCGGGTATTTGATTTGATTATAAATAGACTATTTTCATATTTCTGTAAAATGGAAACATCTCACTTGCTGCAGGCATTTCCATTGACATGCAAGTGGTTGTCTGTACTCATAGCCGAGGCATTTTGTTTAGAATGACTTTCCAGCATGGTAAACGAAATTCAATTCCAGATTCACAACGCAGACCGAATAAACCGTCTATTAATTGATGCCAGGCAGAGTCCTTCTCTCGGTATCTCTCTTCTGATAGTCTGGCATGCCAAAATGACTTGATTTGTTTGATGCGTTGCCATAACCTCTGGGGATTAGATGATGTTCAGTGTTGGTTTTTCAGCTCCTGATTCTCTGGCTCGCTGCCTTCTAACATGTACAAAATAGTATCTTGGTTTGACAACCACCCTGGCCTAAAAATGCATGTGTCAAGTAAGCTGGCAAGATAATTAAGACCAACCAGAAGCAATTTTCACATCTAAGTTATCATTGAGTGCAGAGAGAGAGACATTGAAGTTATTAATCATATTCCTCTTTCCTAGAATTACTCACAAATAGTGCAATCAAGTTGTACAGTGTGTGTATTTATGGTAGTGGAGATGGTGGGTGGCTGCTTCCCGATTTGCTTATTTGTCCATTATTCTGTATTTATTTCAGCTAGGGTCTTCACAATTTTGGGATACAGTAAATCTACATAGCCATTATGTCAGCAGCAGTGTACATTCTCTCCCCTGCAAATCTGCATTTTTGTATTGGCGGCAAAGCTGGCAACACGTATTCTTACATAATTAAGAGAGGCCAGTCCCAATGGAAAAGGAGAAAAAGTGTAAAATGTTGATCTTGATGCGGAGTCTTTAAGGCAGCCGGGAATACTTTGTCTCACTTACTTTTTTTGTAGTTTGAAAATCAGGCAGTTTCTTACAGAAAGTAACAGCCTCCATTTTACAGGGCCATTCATCCTTTCAGAAAGTGAATATGTCGTTGTCTTTAGTGGAACAAGCTGATTAAATATAAAGTATGCACTTCTTATTCTTAAACAAGAATGTATAGAATGCCACACAATTAATGAAACCTATTTCTATTATGTATGTAAGTAGTATGACCTACATGTTATAGAATATGTGTTCGTTTTCTAATACATTCTTGTGTTGCCAACATGCCACAAACTCTGAATATTGATGTGTGACTTTGGTGTTTCACTTTATAAATGCTTAATATTAGTTAGCTGATATTAGAGGAGAAAAATGTGCTCTTAGGGTAAATGCGATGACATGTGGACAAAAGAGTTCATTAATAATTACATTGTACCTGATTGATTGATTGCATGACCAGTATATAGTGCCTTGAACAAGCTGTTTTATCTGTTGTTCTTTGTGTTGGTCTTTGCAGTGCACAATATTGTGCACAGATGCATGAAATCCTACAGTAGATCTAGCCTCGTGTTTATACACATTTACATCATTGCTTTCTCTTGTTGAAACTAAGGGTGCTACTTAAACTGTAAGTATATGTTGAAATCAATGCTGGCCTCTTCTGTTTTTGTAAATGTGTCATTTCAGGCTTTTTAAGCATCTATAAACATCCCTGATGGGGACAATCAGCAAAGACTGGTGGAGTATCAAGTGCAGTCAAGTGCCATCTTAACGATTTTGCTCTTTCCGTGCAGTGTAAAGTGATTGCATACATCCGTTTGCAGGTTTTGTTTCTGGTAAAAATGTACCTGCGTTGATGGGTTGTTTATTCATGAGTGTATGTTTGAGTGTTTGACAGCTTGTGTGTGTTTGTGTTCCTTATGTGCATGTGTATCTTTTTTAATGTAGTTGTATGTCAGGTAAAAAGAGGCAAAGACATTTTTTTCCTGTACCTCCTGTAATGCTTACCGTAATTTGCTCACTGACGACTAATCAGCTGACAGACATAATTTAAGTCTTTTATATGTTTGTTTTGATGTTAACTATAGGGGTTAATAAATATAGACAATGCGTGGTTTGGCATGCAGTGTCTATGTGTCGCTGGCGGTCTCCGACACTGAGCAACAGTGAAGTGCGGCTTGTTGCGGGCTGATCAGGAACAGATGCTCTTCTCTTACTCTGGATTGCTGTCTAATTGGCTATTACTTTTTATAGACTGTGTTGATTCTGCAACACACTTTATTCCCTGCCACATTTCACTGATTTGCTGACACTATCGCTTTAATATTTTTTTCTGTCTTCACATGTGAATGACAGTGAGGGGGACGTGTGAGAGGCTGTTGACAATCTCATCACCTCCTCACTCCCAGATGCTCCCAGTATAGAGAGCCAGTGAGGCATAAGGTTCCATAATGTCTGTGTTGCTTTATTAAAGGACTTTGAAGCCATAGCAACCACATCATCCCATTTACTTTTAGAGTAGCCAATGCTAAGCTGAACTGCCTCCTGAGCTGACAGCAGCACTTCACAATTAAAACTATTTGAACTATACTGTATGTCACAATAACAAAGCAGTACCCTGGATAAATCAAATACTGACCATTTAAGATGACTCGTTCTGTTTTTTTAATTTTATTCCTGTTTTTATTATTTTATTCCTGTTTTTATTACACAAGTTCATTTATTTAGCTTGGATGGGTCCATCAAATCCCAATAGGCCATATACCTTATTCTGTGAGTCTCCCTGTTTACCTCTCTTGAGGTTTCCAATCATGCTGTAGCGCTCAAAGCCTGGCAGGCTTCTCTGTGGTCCCAGGAGGAGGCCATCTTTCACCCACTGCACAGTCCCTGAGGCCCGGAGCACCTCACACCTCAACACAGCTGTGGCTCCCATCCGCACAGTGAGGTTCCTGGGCTCAGTCCTGAAGGCCTGCTGGGCATGCGTGCCTGGAGACATAAAAAGGGAAGAGGGGGAAAGGAGTTTGAGTGGAATGTTAGAGGAGGGAAGGGATGTGATGGGATTTAATGTAAAAAGGGGGAGAAGAACAAAGGCAAGTGAGTATTTTTGAGGAGTGTTATGGAGGATGTAAAAGAAGTGGAGGGAGCATGCCATAAACATACACCACAGGGAAGCAGTCTTGCGGTCTTTTGTCTGAGAAGGCCCCCCATTGTGTCTGGTCACATTATTCATGCTGGCATATGTTTTATTGATGGGAAACTGCAGTGATACGGTCCTGAAAATGAGTCAATAAAGTAATTACTGCGAATTAAATCCCCCTTCAGCCATGCAGATAGGGTATTGGGAGAAGGGAATAAGCATGGGGTATCAGAGACCTTGTTCACCTGCGGTTTTTCTTTAATGTCGATGTCCCACCAGCTAATTCCTCTTGGGAAGAGTAATGATTATCACTTTAATCCCCCTTGTTTGTCATAGGTGGGGTTCGCCATCCTTCAGCCAGGCTCTTACAGTAGGTGACATTCCTTGGTGCATTGCATTTAAGTCAGGAAGTTAACCTTAAAACAGGCAGTCCATGAGCTTCTAACAATGGGGCTAGGATTATTATACATAGAGTTTATGAATAAATTCAGTTTAAGGAGCCAAACGCAACTGAAAACTCCAATTAATGGCAAATATCTGAGCGTGAATCTCGTTTAAACAGTGCCCCACAGAGAAGGCAGCTTGATTCCGCTAGGCTGTTTGAATCTTGACCTTCATTGAGGCAATGACCAAGTTGTTTGTGAAGTGCATGCTCTGTTGCGTCTGACAACATGAGTGAGAGGCAGAGCTCTCAGATCAAGGCTGAACCAGTCACCTCACGTCAAATATGAAGGGCAAAATTGGCCATTACAGAGGATGCATACCAACAACCAAACACAGGAGAACATTTGCATACAGTTTACATAAATGAATACTCAACAACAATCTACAGTCGCTTCAGAAATAGTAATAGGCTAGTGTATTATTATGAAATATAACAATACTAAGTACAGTATCACAATGTAGTTATAGGAACCCTCATGAGAGCATGTCACTTTTTACATTAAGAAATAGGCCCAATGTACCTCTTACAAGATATTTTTATGAGCCCTAGATCGTACCCTTGCTCAGTTTATTACATCCAAGGGTTTTGCTACCTAACCAAGAGTACTTAGGAGTGTAAAACAGAACATTGGAAATAACAATGTGGGACATGTTATCTGTACCATTTACCCAGGTTGCTTGTTCAACTTGAAAAATGGTAGAAAGAGGGAGAGACCTTTTAGTGAGGATAAGTGTAGTAGTTGCTGCTAGCTTGATGTTTAAGTTGACTATAATGCTACATACTGTACAGTTTGATAAAAACGTATATTTAACCTCTGTAGAGTTGTTTAACAGAATAAGAGTAAACCAAGAGCTAATGAACATAAGGTTTATGTTTACCTGAAGTAAAACTTATGGTAACATCGCACACTAGCTGCCATGAGCTAACTTACTGTAGCTTATGGTTAGCTTATGGTTGCTATAGTGTGCGCTAATGTTACACAGCCTGTGTTAATTGTATTACAGATTACTGGCACTGCACTGCTTGTGCTACCCTCACCCTACATTTTAGTAAGTCAAAGATTCAAATTGTAATGTTTTTCACAAAAATAAAACAAGGTAATACCTCACCATGTTTGTTGTTTCCTGATAGTTGTCCCACTCTACCACTCTCTCCCTTCCCTCTCAGCCAGTCTGCCTAATCATGATGTCTATGTCTCTAAACCACCGGAGTCAGTTGTAATGAAGGGGAATTCAATGATCCATTATCATCAATTGGCCATTATTCTGCGTTTTAGACTGTGACCACAGTGTTTCAGTATTATGTGTTTTAGGGGAATTTCTGATAAAGGGGGTAATTCTCTGTGAGTTTGTCAGTGCGGCCACCTTTCAAATTAAGTATTTGACCCATTGTTGATAAAGGAATATTGAATAACTACAAACAGACATTACAAATCTGCACAGTTATTCACATTAAGTGTCTCAGTAAGCAGGTGTGCTCAATATTATCTGGGTACTGAAACTGCGGCAGCTAAACGCAATGCAGTCATCATTAATTGATATTATTAATTACAGCTGGGCTTTAATTCTCTGATCTGTCAAAATGTCTGCAATAGAATATTTATTTAAATTCTCTATTTAAGAGTGGATAGCTACCTTTATACTGTATATGCATTACATTTCTTAACCCTGATTTCTTAAATAATTTTCACCATAGTTTGTAAGAGTAGACTTCTTTCCAGACACTATTTCACGACCTCTTCAGCAACAGCATATTCCTCACATTCCTGAATTCACATATGGTATTGTCTGAAAGGTGTCTGACCTGCTAATATGTGTTTAAGGCTAAAAGAGATAATTATATTATATTGGCAGATATCTTAGGGGTATGTTTGGTCCATGAACTTTTATTAATCAGCATGGAAACTTAAGAGGGAATACTGTGCAAATAATACCCAGTAGCAGAAGTTAAGTGTTTTATTTATTTTCTCTATAAATAAATTGAAGCTGGAGGTGAGATTAAGAGGGACATTCAAAGTGTATATAAAAAAATGCTAAAGATGACATTCACAACACCATACCGCTCACATTGGACAGATTTACATTGAGCTAAATGTCAATATGGTCACATGGAGTAACGCTTCTGGCCATACTACGGTTTAGGCAGTATTTGGATTAAGCTATTTGCATAAAACATGAATACCCTGAGACTGAGTTCCCCCTGTGACCATGAATAAATTGGTTAAAATGTGTTTTTCTACCTGTTCAAAGGAAGAATGCTCCCAAAGCAAAAGAGGCTAAAAAGGAAGCTGATGTTGGTTTTTCTATTTGACTAAGCAATAGAACAGAGGAAGGGAACAATAATTATGTTATTAGTTTGTCTTTTTTGCCAACTTAATTTCCAAGCTGATTTATTCCGAGGCTGAAAAAGTGAAACGTGAAAGAATAAAGATGTCCTTTGATACTGCAGTAAATGTGTTTTCTTAGACTAGATTTTCACAGTTTATAATAAAGAAATAACTATAAGTTAAATGTGTTAGTTAAACTGGCTTAATCTCCCCGTACAACAGTCACTGTAAACTGTGTGACTTGAGAAGGTTACACATACAAACAAGCAAACATAAGCTATTATATTACAGGGGAAAGTTCAATAAAGTCGAGGTTCCCACTACTCAGCTGAATGCCCTGAACATGGATGGGTCTTGAAAAGGCCACAGTTGCTGTAATGATAGCTTCATGGTGACATTTGATTATCTTACCCAAGATGAGACAGAGAAAGGGTAGAGCTGAAGGAGACACAATCCATGCTGACATGAAGTCCATTTCACCATTGGCACCTGACCTTCGACAATCCTGGAACAACCATGAAAAAAAGGACATGAAATATACATAAACTCTTTGAACCCACAACATGAATATAATAGGCATTTGTTTTTCAGAGGAAATCACAAGTGTTGTAAAAAGAAGCTATCAAATTAACATGAGTTCTAAAAATGTGCTTCTTTATTCTCAAGATTTTACTTTCCGACAACTTACTGTAGTTTGGGTCTGCTATTTACTATTCACTTTAGCATCAAATCTCACAAGCTTCTGACAAACATTATTAAAACATAATTACAGCAGACCTTTCAGATTAATTAATCAGTTATTAGTCCATCAATCCTGCATGAGTGTGCAATGAAAACATAAACAAGTTAAAGAAAGCTTCAAGGCAGATTAAAAGGTCTTTATAATAGTCTCATCACAATTCAATAGCACAGTATTAGTTTCCCCAACATGGTGTTAATAATGTGTCTTTCAGATGGAAACTTTCTCTGTTTGAGTGGCCTCAGTTTGTTCAGCTAGTTTTAGTCCCCTGATGAGTCACAAGAAGAAAACAACATCCTAAGGGCTCTACATTTAAAAATGGTGGGTTGTTGTTATGAAGACCTCTGTTGCTCTTTGCGGCATTTCATCTGGCTTCTCTTTGCAGAAAAAATCAGGATCAGCTCCAAAGATTTATCTCTAATAAGTCCTGATAAATAGGTAAACATACCTTTTGCAACAAACTTAATGTAAATCAAACAAATGGTTTCATGAAAAGCAGGAGATGCCTTTAATAGGTTTAGAAATTAAATTGCTACATGGTATGACAAATATCAACAATGTAAATAATATAACATTTGGAGTGAATAGAAAAGGGTCTTCTTTAGAAACAGTCCAATACCATAATAGCAGCATATCTTATTTGCAATGGCAATAATGTTTGTTAGTTGCCTGAACTATGCCTTAACATCACAAAGGGTCATGTTTAGTTGTTCTGGTATGCGTGCGTCTGGTCCTTGCATGGATCACGGGACAGTTTTGGAATTGAGTCCATAGGTCTTGCTGTGGCTCTGTGCACATAGCATCCAATACTCTTCCTTATTTGACCTGGAAAAGCCCTCTGTGGATTTTAAGTCAGTTTGTAATCACTTCAATTTATCTGCTGCAGGAGTGGAACAAATAATAGTGATTTACTTAATTGAAAACTAAATATTTTCTCATCTGAATAGACAAAATGAAATGAAGGGAACAGCTCTTTGACGCATCTCCCTTCAGTCGATTAGTTGCACTCCAACAGGCTTTGATAAGAATTAACTCACACTCAATTTTTTTTTAATTCTCAAAACATTTGCGTATTTCAGAGGCCCCAGTATACTTTTTGAACACACAGGGGCAATTACCTCCTTCTTCAATGAATATAATTACTCTCTGAGGTTAACAGTGCCCGTCTTCTCTATTTTTCTGTCCCTTTTAAAGGCTCGTGATGGTAAACATAAACACAATCATCATATTCTGCCTCTGTTACTATTTCTTCTCGTATGCATAGTAATTGACAGTTATCCATTTTGGTAAGCAGAACTGGATTACTTGAATATGTTAGTACATTACAATAAAACAGCCAGAACCTCATCTTATCCTCAGACACACAGACTGTTAGACCCCCCCACATTCCAATAACATAGTCAATACACTGCCATATTTGCTTGAATTTTTATTTGCTGAAATATGGTCATTTCTTTGAATGAAAAATCTGGGATGGTGGAGCAGTTTTTACATATCATTTAATGGTTGCTTAAAGTGTAACATTAGATAAATAGCACATTGTGTAGCATTTCATTTGTCTTCCAATATAAAAATACTTTTTACTACAGCAGCACTGCCATAGGTCTTTCTGACCTTGTTCATCACAAGCTTCTTACAAATGCAAATTAGAAAGTTTGATTTGAAATTTGATTCGCTTTCAGACACAGGGCTTCCACTCTCCCCACAAGGGCATTAGAAGTAGCTGAACCATTCAGCGTGACCCCGACAGGTAGAATTGTAATGGCGTCTTTCATAACATCATCAAACGACTCAATACACTCAATTCTAGACCAATTTAACGTGAAACCCCATGAAATCCGTCAATGTGCAGAAAATGAAGTTTCAACCCCGTGCAGCCATCCATTTCAGATGTGGTCCTACATCTTAATACCAGCCTAACTTCGTAGCAATCTCACCAGATGCCTGTAGCTCCAATTACTATAGCTTATAAAAGCTGTCACTGCTTTTGCTTTAACAATGAGCTGCTGATAAAGTGGATGTCTAAAAGACAAATATTAGATTATCAACAGAATCTTATCACATCTGAATGATTGATTGAGCGTTAAAACATGCCATTCTTTAGACATTTCTATTCTAAGACAGAATAGACCTCAGCCTCGAGGATAGACCGGCTACATCATACAGTGTCAGCCTGGTTCAGCAGCTCAGCAGCTTCATATGTCTGGTGCAAATCCAAGGCACTCAAGGAAACCCAAGATAGGTGTTAGTGTGCTTTGTCCCCACTCTCTTCAGCTCGAATTGCTCAAGTTTACTGGATTACTCTGACTTTGCAACACACACTCTCACACCTGCTCTTCCCAGGAAAAAAAGTTAAGAGACTGAGAGGCAGAACCTTCTTTCAACCTCCACCAACTCAAGCACATCAGCCTGCCTAGGGTGCACACAGAGAAAGAGTGAGGCACACAGACAGACACACAGAGAGGGGGGTATCTCCTTCTTAAAAAAGCCAGGAATCTTTGAATAGGTGTGTGGATATGCATGAGAGAAAGAGAGTTGTGCTTACCTGTTGAGCGACGCCAAGGCTCAGGAGCGTCTTTTTGTCTTCCTGATCTACAGATGGCTCTCTGAACACAAGTGAGCGACGGAGGTGTTAAAGAATGCCAATGGGACTCCCCCTTCTATCACTCCTTAGACTGAAGGCAGAGGCAAACAGATAAAGAGAGGGAGAGAGGTAGACAGTAGTAGACTGAAGAATGAAGGAAAGATTACATATGAGAAGTGTTGGTGGTGAGGGGGTCACCTGAACAGTCAAATAAATGTGAAAAAAACATAACAATGGCATTTGTTTCCCAAGGATTCAAAGAAGATATGTACTTTTAAGGTCATGCCGTATTAAAATGACCAATTAAAACGTTTTTAGACCTATTGTTTCAGCAGGACTGAAAAAATAGCTATAAAAGTGTAATAAAGTTGCAGTGAGCCAGTATTAAGAGTGGAGGAATATGCCTGTAGTTTCTTTCTTTTCTGCCTCTCTGCGGAGTATTCATGGATCCCATTATTTAGCATTTCATTGTACCGGGTTGGAAGGAGCAGCGCAGCACTCAAAGATACAGTTGCAACATGGATGTCTTCACAGCTGCTAGTTTGTAACATTTATGCTCATACATAATGAATGGAGTATCCAGATTACTATATTTGCTATACCGAATAC